TTTGTGTATGGAAGCAACGAGTGGCAATTTGATTGGTGTTTCTGAACAAACGACTGGTGGGTTTAATTCGTTTCATCTGATCATTAGGTAATCTCTAATCTATTTCTAATATGTGCTTTTTATTCAGTCGTTTTATAATTTTTTGGGTGTACAATACTGTTTTCATATATATTTTTTTAACGAACGATTGGATGTATTTCAGGGTTAATGCCATATGTGAATAAGTGATCAGTTTTATATTTCTTTATTTGGGCCATCACTCTTAACGAGGTGAATTTCTTCTGTAAATCAGAAATTTACTATCAGTTTAATTTAATAGTTTTTAAATTATCGTAGGGTGGATATAATTATGAAAATTTAGAGAATTGATGCATGAACATTTGGATCCTATGTCTACCGATAAAACATGTGATCATCTTATAGCTTTATATGTACCCATTTAATATTTTTAATTTCTTACATGGTTTCCTTGTTTTTTCTCCACTAACCAATTTGTTTTATTGGAAAGTTCAGTTTCAATTATTGAGAAGCTAATCTCTCATCGATGGTTTGGTATGTTACAGTTTGTTGGGAAGAAAACTTTTTTAGTAATTTATTGTTCTGGTTAATAGAATTGGATTCATCCGAAGGATATGTGATGATGTACAAGCTTTTATTTCTTATATATACTATGATTAGGTTTTCAAAATATTACAATATTTTCAGAGAAAACAAATGTTTTCATGATGGACGCAAGTGCACGAGTAATTTCTAGAAATTTTTAGTAAAACTTCTTTTAGTAAAACTTTTATGGGACTAAGAATATTTTTGAAGCTGTACACGTAAGCTTTTAAACGACTAATCGCGATTAGCCATCTTGCTATAAGCTTCTAAAAACGTCCACGTGGGATTTAAAACGACGAATCACGGTTAATCATCTCATTAATTACTATTTTTAGCCATCATATTAATTAACATTTTAAAATTTTAATTTTTTCTATATTAAGATATGTATGAATAGGATATATATATATATATATATATATAATAGAAATGTAAAACTTTTAAAAAAAGATATAAAAATAAGAAAAATGTAAAATTAGTTATTAAATTATATTTAGAAAAATATCATTATTAGTTTCACTATGTAAGCTTCCAAATAAATTAGGAGAATATCCTAATTCTAAAATTATGTAGTTAATAGGAATTGGAAAAAAATTTAAAACATAAAACAAATTATGACATGATTTATATTAAAAACACATATTAACTTAATCTTAGACTAAAAAAATTTCGTAATTCTAAGTTAGTAGTCTCATTCCCAACTACACATAATCATCAATAACTAAAATATTATCATTCCAAAAACATGGTAACATATGGTTAATAGTATGAAAATTTGCTATGAGATTATATGTTAAAAAAGAAGAGAGATTATATGTTAAATTCCAAATACAATTAAATGTTAAATTGTCCATATATGTTAAATCGTTCAAATATTTTTTAAAGGAAACTTTTCAAATATTCAAAAACCTAAAAACATGTTAATGTTAGTATAAGAATTTTTAAGGTTTAGTTTAAACAGAAAGGGAAAATAATGCTAAAAGATGAAGAAAAATATGACTATAACAACAAAATGGAAAAATATTCAATTAACAACACAACGAAAAATAAGTTAATGATGGTCGAAAAAACTTTTAGTTTAAAACAAAAGTTTCTAAATTCTAAAGTAGTGATTAATTTTATCTAGAAATAGCCATCTAAAATTGATTATAGAACATAGATATATACTTGAAAAATCAAAACGTATAGTTTTTGAGAGATCAAACAAAGAGCTCACTGAATTACGAGGGCACCTTGCTGTCAGGATCACCCATTTATGGGCAGCACAGAACTTTTAATCTCATGTATAATCTTTGAATCAATAAATCAAATCGAAAATCAATAACAAAGAGGTGACATACGGTAGTGAGGAAGAGATTCGATCAGGAGATTTGCAGATGAAGATTTGGAACAAGAGATTGCAACAGAGAAGAGATGGATTGGATGCTTGAGATTTCGGCAATAGTATGGCAATACGAGTCTGAAATTGGCAGATTCGAGCTGAGAGAACGATAAGGAATTATGCCTCTAATCAACAGCTACATTTCTCTCTGTATACGTCACTAAATTTTTTTTGAGTTCTACATGGACACCATGTTCACGACCAAGCGGGAGAGAAGATGGTATCATAGTCGTTGATGAAGTGGAGAGCTGATCAAGAAGATGCCACCTAGGAAGATGAAGAGCAGTTGCTTGCTAGCTTTCCAGATTATCTCCAACACCTTGAAGACAATGCTGTTGTTCGAGGATGGGGTATTGATGGGCCAAAAATATCAAGCCGGCCCGTGTGTGTGAGAAGGGCGAATTCTCAGCATGAAAACTAGACTGTTTATGTTTTACGATTTTGATTTTATAATTCTATTTAGATTTGGATATTATTGTTTCCATGTATATTATCCGGTGTTAGTCATAACTACTTATTTTAAAATCGTTTGTCATTGTTCTTATTGCTCTTGATTGAGATCTATCAGTCTTGGATTATATATTACATGTCACGATTTGATTTTTGCAACAGCTGATATAGACGTCTTTTGGGATGTAGTAATTTTTCCAAACCCAAAAAATATTTCAAATTATGACAAAAATCAAATCAGTTTTTGCGATTAAGGGTAAAAAAAGAAGAGGTGTCAACCCAGCTTTTTAGCCAAAAATATATGGGTACTCTATAATTACTTGATTAATAGTAAAAACTTTTATTAATATATAAGAGAAATATAGGTACGCCCAAATGTGTACATATTTAGTAGATTAATTTCTAATATTTTGTGAAAATATTTTCTTAATTGCTTTACTAATAGCAAAATCTTTAATAATGTAAAACAAGTAATAGATAATGACACATCATATTTATAATTTGTTTCATACCAAATTTTATCCTACAAACTTTTTCTTTCTTATTACAACAAAATTTGAAATAACGTAAATGATACTAAAAATAGAAATAAAAAAAAACATTTCCATTAAAAATATAAATAAAAGAACATTTCCGTTAAAAAATATTAAAAAAATTATATTACTTTTGTATTACTAAATATATAGCTACTTAAATGATAATAAAGCCTAAAAATATATTAAAACAATCAATAACAACAAACCCCCGCGTAGCGGGGGTTAATAACCTAGTATGTGTGAAAAAAATTTAAACAGCACTTATAATAAAAGGAAGAAAGTAATTCATATAAGTGCTCAAAAAAAAAAAAAAAGCTTAATTTCCAAGATAAATATTTCATGCTAATAGATAAGAGTTTTTTTTTTAAACATTAAAAAAAAAAAACATAGTTAGATTTGAATACAAACTATAACGAAACGATAACATTAGTAAAAATCATTTACTTATACCACTTCATGGCCTATTCCCTTTTTGTTCATATATGTTTTTGGGTTTTAAATCGTAAAGTGAATACTACAAAACTGTCTTAGGATTTTTTATTCTTAGCACCTTTATACACACACTAGTCGGACTGTTCGTTTGTGCATCTTGATGCATCGATGCATATACAAGATGTTTTAAAATATAACATATCAACTAGATAAGTATATAGATACATCTGAGTTCGTCCGGTTGCTAGGTACGGGAACGGAAGACGAAGACGCGGGTTGTCAGATAGCTGCTCATTATGGGAGGTTTGTGGCGGATTGGTGGGTCGGAGGAAGAGAAATGGTGACGGAAATCGGATGCTTTCGTCGCTGCTTTTCGTCCCTCGACTTTGTCGTGAAGTTGTGGACCTTGCATCCGCCGGAGCTCATGAAGGGTTGTCTGCTTCCGCTGGTATCACCAGGAATCGAGCCCTTTTTCTAGTTCCGTTTTGTTTTCCGATATCACTTTTTTGTAACTGCATGATATGTGTAATTGGCTTTAGCCCATTATGGAAGATTAATATATATATATAACCAAGTGTCGTTAGCTCAACTGGTAAAGACCCTAGGCGAATCTTAGAAGTCGTCGGTTCGAGTGACGCTTGAGACGAAACTAATATTAAATGATGTGGTTTCGGGCCTGGGGGATTATGAGCTTTGGTCCAGAACTTCCTGGTATTCAAAAAAATATATATATATATATATAAAGTATAGATACATTAAAGTCATAAAATATTTTTAGAAATTTCAGATAAGTTTAAAATACGTTCAGATATAAATACTCCATTTAGAAATTGAAAATGTGTAAAATGCCATCATTTACTATTATAACTCATTTTATGTTGTTTTTTTAAAAATATAAATTTCACGTTTTACATTAAAATAAATTACAAATTTGCATCGAAATTACATATAATATTCTTTTGCCAAAATCGCAGAGATCGTCGTCTTACCAAAATAGCAAAATTGCATAATTACGTTTTAAACTCCTTACATTATACTATTAATCAGGGCTGTGCCACAATGGAGAAAAATTAAACATTTGCTTAAGGCATCAAATTATTGAAAAAAAAATAGGAGCATATATTTACTCTTAATAGAGTTATATAAATATGTCTATATGGAACTTATGCTGAAAATAATGTGTTAATAATAAGAAATAAATATTGAGCTTCAATAATCCATTGATTTGGCCACATGAGCTTAATTGTGGAAAAAAATGGAAGAAAAATGTTCTAGAGCAAATTTTTCGTTTTCGACGATGGTGTTTTATTTATTTAAATTAAATTTTTCTATTGAACTGGGGTATTTTTTTAGGCGCTTCTGATATAGCTTAATGTTGCATGGTTCTGCTATAAATGTAGACAAAACAAAAATAAAATTCCTAATCACAAGTATCCAGTCAATATCGTCACATATCTATATACAATGACGTAAAGAGTACCCAAACATCAAATCTCTTCTTTGATTTAAAAAAAAAAAGAGAAAAGAAAACCATCTCATCGATGACTTCACCTAATAACTTATTCTCTATAAAGAGTTTAAAACTTGAAAACTTCTTCATTATTTTGTATCCGTTTCACATTCACAGTCAAACTCGGTTGCCGAAGAAATTTCCCGGCAAAACCTCAACAAACAAAACTTAAAGAATGACCCTTCTACCCTTACCTTTCCTCTTCTTCTTCCTCACATCAATACCCTTATCCGTCTTTTCACAGTTCAACGACCGGTCAACGCTTCTTAACGTGAAACGCGATCTCGGAGATCCACCGTCTCTCCAACTATGGAACGACACATCTTCACCGTGCAATTGGTCGGAGATCATTTGCACCGCCGGGAATATCACTGGGATCGATTTCAAGAACCAGAACTTCACCGGAACAGTTCCGACGACGATATGCGATTTGTCGAATCTCAATTTCCTTGATTTATCGTTTAATTACTTCGCCGGCGAGTTTCCGACGGTTCTTTACAACTGCACGAAGCTTCAATATCTTGATCTCTCTCAGAACGTTTTCAACGGATCACTTCCCGTCGACATCGACCGTCTCTCACCGGAACTTGACTATCTCGACTTAGCAGCTAACGCCTTCGCCGGAGATATCCCTAAGAATATCGGACGGATCTCGAAGCTCAAGGTATTGAATCTCTACATGAGTGAATACGACGGTACGTTTCCATCGGAGATCGGAGACTTGGTCGAGCTTGAAGAACTTCGATTAGCGTTTAACGATAAGTTTACGCCGGCGAAGATTCCGATAGAGTTTGGGAAGTTGAAGAAACTGAAGTATATGTGGTTAACGGAGATGAATCTGATCGGAGAAATCTCAGCCGTTGTTTTCGAGAACATGACGGATCTTAAACACGTTGACTTATCGGTCAACAATTTAACGGGTCGGATCCCAGATGTTTTATTCGGGTTGAAGAATCTCACTGATCTTTATCTCTACGCTAATGACTTAACCGGTGAAATCCCCAAATCTATTTCGGCGACGAACATGGTATTTCTTGATCTCTCCGCGAATAATTTAACCGGTTCGATTCCGGTTTCAATCGGAAATCTAACGAAATTAGAAGTGTTAAACCTGTTTAACAACGAGTTAACCGGAGAAATCCCGCCGGTTATCGGAAAATTACCGGAATTGAAGGAGTTTAAAATCTTCACCAACAAGTTAACCGGAGAAATACCGGCGGAGTTTGGAGTTTATTCAAAGCTGGAGAGATTCGAAGTTTCGGAGAATCAGTTAACCGGAAAGTTACCGGAAAATTTATGCAAAGGAGGTAAACTTCAAGGCGTGGTTGTGTACTCAAACAATCTCACCGGAGAAATCCCAGAATCTCTCGGAGATTGTGGGACGCTCTTGACGGTTCAGTTACAGAACAATGGCTTCTCTGGCAAGTTTCCTTCTCGGATTTGGACTGCTACAAGTATGTATAGTTTACAGGTGAGTAACAACTCATTCACCGGAGAGTTACCGGAGAATGTTGCTTGGAATATGTCGAGGATCGAGATTGATAACAATCGATTTTCGGGTGTGATTCCTCGGAAAATCGGTACTTGGTCTTCTCTAGTTGAGTTTAAGGCGGGAAACAATCTGTTTTCCGGTGAGATTCCGAAGGAATTGACTTCTCTTTCGAATCTTTTATCGATCTTTCTCGATGAGAATGATCTCACCGGTGAATTACCGGATGAGATCATCTCATGGAAGTCGTTGATAACGTTAAGTTTATCCAAGAATAAGCTTTCCGGGAAAATTCCGAGAGCTTTAGGATTATTGCCACGTTTGCTCAATCTTGATCTATCGGAGAATCAATTCTCCGGTGAAATCCCACCGGAGATCGGGAGTCTGAAGCTAACAACACTTAATGTGTCATCAAATAGACTCACCGGAGGAATCCCAGAGCAACTTGATAATCTTGCTTACGAGAGAAGTTTCTTGAACAACTCCAATCTTTGTGCAGAGAATCCGGTTCTCAATTTACCGGATTGTCGGAAACAGCGCCGGGGATCAAGAGGGTTGCCGGGGAAAATCCTCGCGATGATTCTAGTCATTGCTGTTCTGCTTCTCACCATCAGTCTGTTTGTTACGTTCTTTGTGATTCGAGATTACACAAGGAAACAAAGAAGGAGAGGTTTAGAGACGTGGAAACTAACTTCATTTCATAGAGTTGATTTTGCGGAATCTGATATAGTGTCGAATCTGATGGAACACTATGTGATCGGGAGTGGCGGATCGGGCAAAGTTTACAAGATATTTGTCGAAAGCTCGGGACAATGCGTGGCGGTGAAGAGGATATGGGACAGCAAGAAACTGGACCAGAAACTCGAGAAGGAGTTTGTTGCTGAAGTTGAGATTCTTGGAACGATCAGGCACTCGAATATAGTGAAACTACTGTGTTGTATCTCGAGGGAGGATTCAAAGCTTCTGGTGTATGAGTATCTCGAGAAACGCAGTCTTGATCAGTGGCTACATGGCAAGAAGAAGGGAGGTACTGTAAATGCTAATAACCTGACATGGTCACAGAGGTTGAATATCGCGGTTGGAGCAGCTCAAGGACTTTGCTATATGCATCACGATTGCACTCCCGCGATCATACACAGAGATGTTAAGTCAAGTAACATCTTGCTTGATTCTGAATTCAACGCGAAGATTGCAGATTTCGGGTTGGCCAAACTGTTGATTAAGCAAAACCAACAACCTCATACCATGTCAGCTGTTGCTGGATCCTTCGGTTACATTGCTCCAGGTAATACCCGTAAAAAGAACATTATCGAAATTGATATTGAGGTGAGACACTCATTGTGTAATCTCTAACATTTTTTGTGTTACAGAATACGCATATACATCGAAGGTAGATGAGAAGATTGATGTGTATAGCTTCGGGGTAGTTTTGCTAGAGCTGGTGACTGGAAGAGAAGGAAACAACGGAGATGAACACACAAACTTAGCAGATTGGTCATGGAGACATTACCAATCCGGAAAACCAACCGCAGAGGCGTTTGATGAGGACATCAAAGAAGATTCCACAACAGAGGCGATGACAACAGTTTTCAAGCTAGCTAGGTCTCATGTGTACTAACACATTGCCTAGTCACAGACCTTCAATGAAAGAGATCTTGTATGTTCTGCGCCAACAAGGACTTGGGGCGACGAAGAAGACTGCAACAGAGGCACATGAGGCACCTCTACTAGTTAGTTTATCGGGTCGGAGGACAAGTAAAAGGGTAGAAGATGAAGATTTAGGTTTTGTATAATCAATAATCACAACTTTTGAGGTTGTTTTTTTTGGAGATCTAGAATGTACAAATGTATTAGAAACCTTTTAGGTAAGCAAAGCAAAAAGCTTTAGTTAAGAGTATAACTACCAGCTTGTAACTTATTAGAGATAAAATCTGAAACTCTGAATAAAAGTGGTCTTTATAAATTTGCTATTCCTTGTAATAATAACACCCTTATTTCAAATCAAGGCAAAATTTGCATACAAAAACAGAGAAAGATGGTGATTGATTGAGTATTTGAGTTACAATAAGAAGAGACTTTATTTAGAGTCTTGCTGAGCTTTCTTTAACTGAGCCTCGGTGTTTCTTCTCGCGCCTTGTAGAATGGTTTTGTCCGCGGTTATGAAGAACGCAGCGATGGATGCTGTTCCAATCATCACCAAATTCACAAGATAAAAACTTTCAGGAATCAGAAGAAAACTAACACAAACTCATAAATGCTTCCACCAACTCATCATAGATTCAAAAGTTCGAACCTTAATCGAGAATTTCGAGGTTTCTACAACAATGTTCAAGCTTGTATATTTTTCTACTTAGTTCCAGGAAGAACACAAAGTTATGATTTAAGCCACAGAGTTGAGAGAGCTAACCTGCAGATATAATGAGTGCTTGAGCAGTGTAGTTGAGGTTTGCCTTTGCCCACGGGAACATGCGAACCGCAGCTACCTGTTACCATAACAGACAAACTCAGGTTTTATGTTCCAAATTCATATCTTATACACATTATCAAAACGAATGTGACTCTACTTGTGTATTCAAAATCATTCATAGTTCACAAGAACAAAATTCAAAAAATGAATAGGTAACAAAATTGAAACTCTTGATTAATGCAGAACATGAGATTGTTGAGTCACTTTTGTCATAAAATCAGATCATAATTCATTTAAGATCTCAATTTCAAACAATTTTAAAGTTATTTTCTATGATGTGACAGTGTGAACAATAATTAGATGATTGAGATGAAATCATTACTGTGGGAATCGCACTTGCGACGGCGGCAACGGCGGCTGCCTTAGCTCCGGCAATAGCTCCGGCTGCAACAAAATTGGAGAATACCCAAAATAATCAATTTTAAAGAATTTTTTCAGAAAAAGAGAGAGAGAGAGACGGAGAAAGAAGAAGAGACCTTGACTGGAAGTTTCGGCTCGACGGATCTTATCAATCTCGTCGGGAGAAGCTATGAGGAAGAGATTCTGCTGCCTCCGGTTAACCATTTCTGACCGGTTTTCCATTTTCAGTGTCGCGTTTTTTGATCTTTCGATTGAAGAGAGAGAGACGGGTCGCGATTTGCTTTTTTCTTGTTAGGAATAAATTTATTAGGAAGAGAATTAAAAATTGGTTGTTTTAATAAGTTGGGAATCTTTCACCAATATAATGGATACGCCAATATTGAAAAAAAAGTTGTCAAAATATTGTAGTCTATATAAGACACAGTTAACAATTTTCGAAAATATATTCAATCAAACATTTATAATAATTTGTGTTAAAATGACACATTTTTTGTTATTTAGTTATAGATTTTAATTTATTTATTTTTATAAATTCAGTGTTATTAATAAATTTTTGTTATTGATGATTTGAAGAAGTGTTATTTATAATATTTTAAATATTAGATTTTTGGTAAGAGCGGACTGCTTAGCCCGTTTTTCTAAACTATTATTTTCCGAAGTTACTTTTGTAAACTCTATTCCTCCTAATTGGGCAACCAATCAAGGAGTTAATTTTTAATTAATGTGAGGTTAACAAAAAAAAAATATTAGATTTTTGGGGATTTTAAAGCGCTAGTTAGTCTTTTGGATCTGTTTTAGAACTCGATTTTAGAAATATTTGGGCTCAATTTTGTTAACATATGGATATCTATAGGAATAGGAATGTTCGTTTTGAAATCAATTCGGTTTTCGATAATAATTATAATAAATTAATTAATTTTAAGGGCAACGAGAATTCCGGCCAGGTCCTCCGAAGTAAAAGTGGGGCTCTGACATATATGTTTTCCGGTGGAGCTTTGTAGAATAACATTCATACTCATCAGCGTACTCGGAGAGATACTTGGGGTATTTGATCTGCATGGAATAGTCCTTGATCCTAATGTTGGTGTGGTAACAAGCTTCGGCCCAAATGTAAGATGCCCATTGTCCACTCCCCATTGAGGTTGTCGTGTGTGGCTTCTTCAGTATTACATTAGGGCTATGTACTTCTCCACCCCACTGCACAGCGGTTGCGCTATGTTTAAGGTAGGCGAAGAGTGTCCCTGGCCAATAACCCATCACGTTGTTTGCGCAAGTCAACCACCAGTTCCCACTGTTTGGATCCTGCAAATACGATCGACGATAAAACAGTAAAGGAGAATACAAGTCCGTTCCAAAACATATTCAAAAGGAAATCATAGCTTCGAGCTTCAGATTTTTAACGCCAGTTTTTTGGGGCATTACACACATTCGAAAAAGGGAAAATTTTATAATGTTTTTGTAGAACGTAACTGTGAAGGATGATAATCATATATAAACTAGAAAATGTTACCAGATACACGCTAACGGTGATGTCATATTGCGTACTCGAGGCACTCGAAACAGGTTCAACGGTTGCACCAAGGGCAAATTTTTGACTTGTTTGCACAAAACCCGCACATAAGAGATTAATGCACCCTGTTTTAGTGTATGCATCTCCCTGAAAATCCAAATAGAAAGAGTAGTTATAAACTCATGCAAGTGATTTGAGATATTTCAAAGTTGGTAGTTATATAATGGTGTTACTCACAGTCCATGAGATGAAGAGACGGGTACGTGAGTCTCCGAAAACGGCCGGATTCACCTAAAATAGGTTAATGGCAATGGGGTCACGGTTTACTTGTAAAGCAAAGTACAGTACAATACTTTTAGCGATGTAAAAACGTACCATCCAACCAGCTTCTACGCTCTCAAAAGTATCTGAGAGACCACCAACCAGCCAGATTTGGGCAGTGCTGTAGTCACTAGCCTCAACCCTCGGAGGGTTCCAAATATTTATATCAGACTGAGCTCCGACAAAATTGTACCCTAGGGCCACAATAAATGCCTCCTATATCATCATCAACAAATTAAGCATAAGTGTTTCTAGTTAACCATATGAGCGTTTTATTAGTATATAACTAAAAAGGAATTTCAAAATATGAAAATAGAAAGAGAAAAAAAAAATCTTATTTTCTTCGTTTAACATCATACACTTTACGTACCGATCGTAACCTTGGTTGGGCTTGGTTTATTTTTTCAGCTGTTATATTGAAGTTACCACCCTTGTGTTGAAGTGCGTTGTCGAGAAAGCTGTATCTGTGAGGAGTTTTCCTCCCAAATTGAGATGGTGAAGAGGCTCTGCTTATGTCTTCTCTACTAACTCTACGAACCGGTATTGTCCCCATTGGACAGTTTCCGGATTTAGACCAAACCTGAGACGTAATTTGTTCAGAAGAACCGTTGTTTGGTATAGTAGTCTTCTTTGTACTAAATTCCACACTCGGTTTCATCTGCATGCATAAAGGTAGATTAAGTAAAGAACTAAAGATAGAACCTTGCAGCACACGGGTCCAAGGCAAAATATAAACAAAATTCTTTTACTAAAATATAAAGTAGAATTTGTTGACCTGAATTTTGTGGTTTCTTAAAGCGGGATGATCAAAGGCATGTTGTTTGTAGATATCGATACAATCTATTATATCTCCATCTGTACTCTACAAGAAAATGAAATCGATTTAACAAACAATGTACACAAGATGTTATATCATTGCATATTCAGATTCAATCTATACCTTGATGGTCTTCAACGCAGGCTTATTAAGAGCCTTCAATTTCATATCGATATCTAAAGAACTTTTCCCATAGGCTTCATTGTAAAAGCCACACAAAATCACAAGTATTAAGAACAATCTCATTGCGGCTTTTTGTGGTGTTTTTCCTAAGGTTTAAGGAATAGAATTAGGATACTTATAAAGTTTACAAAACCATATGGTGTTTTTTTTTTCTTTTTCCAATTAATATGATATTATCACACACAAAGATTGAGAAAAACGGAAGTCTCATATATACAAAACAATCATCTGCAGATTTGGGAAACGTATGTGTATATGGTAAAAAAAAATCTTTTTGCTATAAACAGCTCAACTTACCAAATATGAATGCTTTAGTAATTACTACTCCTATATTTTGATTTGCTTTTACGTCGGTCCAAAAAATCATTAAGTTATATGGATTCTCTTTTGACTTTCTTTTTTTTGCTCCCAAATTAAACCTTTGATTTTTTTTAATGGTTCATAATAATTCATCCTTTTGGCTATTTTTTTTTTTTACTTTTGCTGATGATTTCTTTTGATGGACGATAAGATTCAAGCTTCTCAGTCAAGATAAAATTTACTACGATTCCCATTTCAATATGGGTTTTATATAATAGGCATCTCTATTGGTGAAATACCATGGATAGTATGAATATTTTAATATCATTTAACTGTAATAAATATAATATTAAAGTTTCATTAATTATTTTAAATATTTCAAATTACATTTTAAATAGATTTATTGTATTAGTTAGTTTTAAGCATACAAAAGTTACAACTAAAATAATATTAGTTTAATATAGTGTATTTACCTTAATTAATGTCAATTAAAATAATAGTAAGATATAATTTAAACTTATGCATAATAGAGCTTAATATAGATAATTTTATTTTAAGATTTATATAAAAAGTTGACACAAAATAAAAAAAGAAATAAAACAGAAAAACTATTTAATTGATATAGTTTTATGTTTATGATTTGTAAAAATTAAGTGAGAACCACTTAGAAGAAAAAGACAAGTATTAATGTTTTAAGGAAAGAGAGAGTTTCTCATTGGTATCTCAACTAAGAAACTTTTTCATAGGGTTCTCATAATTTTTGAATTAAAAAAAATACTATTTTTCAAAATTTGTTTTTATTTTTAGTCTCTTGTGGAGATGCTCTAAGTTACCCGGCCATATTCTTTTATCTTTTGTTCAATTAGATTACTAAGAATATACCTAAAAACAATTAAAAAAAATTGGGGATTGGTGACCTAACTTTATGTCAATTGAAATCCTATTATACCCTTAATTTTATGAATTTGACCGAAATTAACTAGATTAAACAATGTTTTCCTCATAAGATCGATTGAAAGAGAATTAAAACGAAAAGTTTGGAACTAAAATTCTAAGATTCCAAAACGTCATCATCTTCATCTTTGGACGTTTGTAACTCCAACATAGGAAAAACAAAAAAGAGACTGAACATCGACAAATTCAACAGAAGATTAAGGACAACGAGAATTTTGGCCAGGTCCTCCAAAGTAAAAATGGGGCTCTGACATATATGTTTTCCGGTGGAGCTTTGTCGAATAACAGTCGTACTCATCAGCGTACTCGGAGAGATACGTGGGGTATTTGATCTGCTTGGAATAGTCCTTGATCCTAATGTTGGTGTGGTAACAAGCTTGGGCCCAGAGGTAAGATGCCCATTGTCCACTCCCCATTGAAGTTCTCGTATGTGGCTTCTTCCCCACATTAGGGCTATGTACTTCTCCACCCCACTGCACAGCGGTTGCGCTATGTTTAAGGTAGGTGAAGAGTGTCCCCGGCCAATAACCTATTACGTTTTTTGCACAAGTCAACCACCAATTCCCGCTGTTTGGATCCTGAAAACACAGCCACCGATGAAACATTTTAAGCTAATGAGCATGCATGATCGGTCTAAAACATGAGCCAACAGAAACTATTGCTTCAGAATTTTGATTTGTAGCGCCAATTTTTAGGGAATTAACCTAATCACATATGAAAGAAGCAAAAACCAAAAACAAAAATCTTTTGTTGGGTTTTTGGAAATGACTTTGTAGAATTGTGGAGGATATGAGCAATGTTCAAAAAATCGCTTGGCGCTGAGTTATAGTTCGATTTTAGGTGGTTTAAAAGTTTACAACATAAAACATTATAAATATGAAATTATATATGAGAATTAGACCCCAAGAAAAAAAACGAAAAAACAACAATGTTAAACCATAAATAAAACATTGAATATGAGTAATGTAAGGCAAAAATGTTACCAAGAACATGCTGACGGTGATGTAATGTTGTTTTTGCGAGGTAGTCGAAACAGGTTCTATTGCTGCACCCAAGGCAAACTTAGTAGTTGTTTGCACAAAACCCGCGCATAAGAGGTTGACGCACCCTGTTTTAGTGTATCCATCTTTCTACAAATCCAAATAGAAAGAGTGGTTATAAACTCATGGAAGAGACTGGAGATGTTATAAAGCCGGTAGTGATATAATGATGTTACTTACAGTCCAATAGGTAAAGAGACGTGTGCGGGAGTCTCCGAAAACGCGTGGATTCACCTGAAATAGGTTGATGGAGATCACTTTAGATTTACTTCAAATGTGAGATATAGTATCTAGGGTTGGAAAAATGTACCGCCCAACCAGCTTCTATGCTTTCAAAAGTATCTGAGAGGCCACCAAGAAGCCATATCTGAGCAGAGCTGTAATCGCTAGCCTGAACCCTTGGAGGGTTCCATACATTTATATCGGATTGAGCTCCAATAAAATTGAACCCTAAGGCGATAAGGACGGCCTCCTATACCATTAACAAACAACAAGTGTTTCTAGTTAACCATATAACAGTCTAACGATTTAGCTTTCGAATGAAGAAAAAAGGAAAAGTATAAATTATGAATGACTAAAAACGAATAACAAAATTAAATATATTTGACGTACCGATCGAAGCTTTGGGCGGGCATGAGTTATTTTTTCAGCTGTTATATTGAAATTACCCTTGTGTTGAAGTGCCTTGTCGAGAAAGCTATATCTGTGAGGAGTTTTTCTCCCAAAATGAGACGGTGAAGAGGCTCTGCTTATGTCTTCTCTACTAACTCTACGAACCGGTATTGTCCCTTTGGGACAGTTTCCAGATTTGGACCAAATCTGAGACGTAATTTGTTCAGAAGAACCGTTGTTTGGTATAGTAGTCTTCTTTGTACCAAATTCTATACTCGGTTTCATCTGCATGCATAAATGTAGATTAGGTCAAGATAGAACCGTGCCTCGCTAGGTCCAAGGCAAAATTACAACATTTTTGTACTAAAATATTGATAGTTATAATTTATAAAGTAGAATTGGTTTACCTGAATCTTGTGGTTCCTTAAAGCGGGATGGTCAAAGGCATGTTGTTTATAGATGTCTATACAATCTATTATATCTCCATCTTCGCTCTACAAATAAATTACAATCGATTTGGGAGCTTAGAAACCAAAAAATATACACAAAATGTTATATCTTCGCATTGAGATATAGTCCATACCTTGATGGTCTTCAACGCAGGCTTATTAAGAGCCTTCAGTTTCATATCAATATCTAAAGAACCTTTCCCATAGGCTACATTGTAAAATAAGCCACACATAATGGCAAACACTAAGAACAATCTCATTGCGGCTTTTTGTGTGTTTTTCCTAGGTTAAAGGAATAGAATTAGGATATTGCTAGGCTTTGAATCTTGAACTTTCATACTTATAGAGTTAACAAAACCTAATGGTCTTTTTTTATAATAATTAATATGATACTATCACACATAAAGATTGAGAAAACGGAAATCTCATATCCATTATTAAAAATCGTCTGCAGATTTGCAAACGTTTGGTCAATTCTTCGTGCTATGAAACTCAGCTTAACTTACTAAATATGAATGCTCCGGTAATTACTACTCCGATCTTATAATTAAGTTAATCCTTTGACTATCTTTTTTAACGCCTAAACTTTTTTCATCCTTGCCTAAAATTTTCTTTTATTAATGCATTCTTTTGAATAAGGATAAGATTCATCTTTCTCAGTATAAATAAATTTGGAAAATTAGAAATAAATGACACTTTTTTTTTGCGATTTGTCCATATATATCTTTATTCATTAACTGTGATTTGTGCCTAATTTAACTTTTATAATTGATTTAACTAAATTTTAGAGAAAAGAAAAAAAAAAACACTTTGACAAGCACGAAGGAAGAAGACTTAAGGAAGAAACTTTGTAATTGCTGAGAATAGATAGATTTTGGGATCAATTGAATTTGTTCTGCGAAGTTAGAATATTTCTTCTACCTTTTATATATGTTTTCTAGGCACTATACATATTCTACGAGTTCTATAATTAATATACATTCGAAGTTAGAATATTTCTTCTACCTTTTATATATGTTTTCTAAGCACTATATATATTCTACGAATTCTATATTTAATATACATTCTAATATTTCTAAATTTGGATTTTTCATATGTTTACGAAGTTTGGAATATGTATTTTACAGTTTACTTTATGTCATGTTAACGTTAGAATATGTTGTCAACACTTTACTGTGTGTTCTACAAATATTAGAATAAATTGCCAACTATTTACTCTTTTGTTTTACGAATATTAAAAAACAATTATGTTCAGTTTAGAATGATTTAAAATAAGGAAACCAAATCTATGTAATCTATAATATATGAAAATCGTATATGTTGTGTAGATATTTTTTTCTTTCTTTCTATCTTCTACATTATCATCATAGATTTGTTTTTGATATAATCCTATTATATATGATGATCAATCTATCATATCTAAGTACATGCAACACATACTATTATAACGAAGTACGGCTCCAGAAACATTTTTCATTTTGAGAACCCTAGGTAAAAAATTTATGGAGTTGTTCGTGGAGCCGTTCATCATATTTCTAACTTTGCGTTTTTATTACAAATATCCATTATAAAATGTCTACAATGGATTGTCAAGAATTACACCAAGTTACTGTAGAATTCGATTGATTATACAAGATTTCAGTGTTGACTAAAGTACTTTATTGTGATGTGAAAAAAACACTACCAGTTAATAATCTCTCTTTCAAAATATTTGATGTTTAAGGTTTTTGTATATAAGTTAAGAAACTATTTAATTTTAGTCTTTTTAAAATAAAAAATCATTCATTATTTATGTAAACACAAATCAACCAATGATAAAATAACTGCCTAACACAAATGGTTAAAAAATATAAAAAACTAATAAATTTTGCATAAAAAATGAAAAAATCATTTGAAAACAAATTCCTTAAGACATCATTTATTTTGAAACAGAAAGATTTATACAATGATCTTTTATTTTCAAGAGGATAGAGTTGTGATATTACTACTCCCATTACATAGTTGTTGATTATGAAAATTACAAAAATTATAGCACAGAGAAAAAATGTATAAAATAATTAAGAGTTTTTGTTATATATAAAAAAAAGAGTTACCATATTAATATTTCTTATGTTAAAATAAATACTAATCCAAATCTTATTTGAAAAAAAAAAGAGAAGAAAAAAAAAAGGAAAAGAAGAAGCTAATATTATGAAAGTCAGCCCTTAATACAGGCTTTGAAGTTTGGAACTAAAATGTTAGGAATAAAGCTAATGTTAGGAACATCTTAGAAACCAAACACTCTAGTTGCCTTAGATGATGTAATAATAGGACGGCTTTGGATACCTAACCTTCTCTGACTTATGGAGTCTTCACTTTTTTGAAACTTTCAAAGTCGAATTTACTGAAAATGGTCACCGCTCTACACGAAAGCTCCAAGTTTCTCTGACTTATGGAAGAGTCTTCACCTTTTTAATGAAATCCATCGTCTCCAAGTTTCTTCTACACTGACTCTAAAGCTCTTCCAACCATTGTAAGTCTTTTTAACTTTCTTTATTTCTGATAGTCTCTTGAAGTGATTTTATTTCTTTTACTTAAAAGGATTTTTGACGGTTTCTCCTCAATTACTTCTAATTATGGTTGAAGATTACAAGAATTGAATCAGCTAGCTATTTTGTGGATTTACATTGAAAATGTTGGAGACTTTTGTTGATTCTGTTTTGTGGAATTGATTAGTCTGGTCCATGAGTATATTAAGATGGTGGAAAAGAGTTTGATCGCGCTGGTCAATTTTTGTTTTAGTTTTAGGATTTTGCAAGTAAAAGAGTAATCCACATTGTTTACATTGCAATCAAAATTTGATTTGTGATGTTACTTTGATGTTCTTGGTACAGAAGCAGATACAACAAGACGCCTATTTATTAATATTTAGTGTAAGGATGCAGACTAGAGTTGTTCAGTTGGAAGAAGGTAAAGAGATTGTAGTAACGGGCAGCCGGACCGGGCTTAATAAGGCGGCGTTTCCTTTCAAGTTGCTTCTCTTGCTAGGATTTTTTCTAGCTTTTACTGTTGTTTTATTCTTCATTAGTGTATCCACCAACAAGTATTATGGAATCAATAGTGTAGTGACATCAGTCACTTCTAGTTTTGTGCCTTGCCACGAGAAAAGAAATGATCTTGATAAATTGATTAAACCTCCTTTGGTTCTCATGCATAATATGAGCGATGAAGAACTTCTTTGGCGTGCGTCTTTCATGCCTCAGAGGAAAGAGTATCCGTTTAATAGGGTGCCGAAAATCGCGTTTATGTTCTTGACAATGGGTCCTTTGCCGCTTGCACCGCTTTGGGAAAGGTTATTTAAGGGTCATGAGAAGCATTACTCAGTTTACATCCATTCACCAGTATCTTCTTCAGCCAAGTTTCCAGCTTCCTCGGTTTTCTACCGTAGGCATATACCAAGTCAGGTACTAGTTCTTAATCTACTTTGTAAGATTTTGTTTTCTTTTCGTGAATGTGAATAGCGATTCTATTTTTAGGAAAACTTGTGATTCATTGACTAGTTGGTAAATTGTAATTGCATTATCTTCACCATTATGCAGGTTGCAGAATGGGGAAGAATGACAATGTGCGATGCAGAGAGGCGGCTTCTTGCCAATGCGCTACTCGATATCTCAAACGAATGGTTTGTTCTCCTCTCCGAGTCATGCATTCCCCTCTTCAACTTCACAACTATCTACACTTACATAACCAAATCAAAGCACAGCTTTATGGGTTCATTTGATGATCCTAGTCCCTATGGCCGAGGCCGCTACCACGGCAACATGGCCCCTGAAGTTTCCATAGACCAATGGAGAAAAGGGTCTCAATGGTTTGAGGTTAACCGGGAGCTTGCGGTTTCCATTGTCAAAGATACCTTGTATTACCCTAAATTCAAAGAGTTTTGTCAACCTGCTTGTTACGTGGACGAGCATTATTTCCCAACAATGTTGACAATTGAGAAACCGGCGGCCTTGGCTAACCGAAGTGTGACTTGGGTCGACTGGTCGAGAGGTGGTGCCCACCCAGCTACATTTGGACCACAAGACATCAGTGAGGAGTTCTTTGCATGGGTTCTAAAAGGACATAACTGCACTTACAATGATGGCTACACATCCATGTGTTATCTCTTTGCTAGAAAGTTTTCTCCTAGTGCTTTAGAGCCTTTGATTCAAATTGCTCCCAAGATTCTGAGTTTTTGAGTAGGTAATGTCACTAACCAAACTCATGAAATTAACATATATATCATTTAAATGTATGTGGAATTGGGGTTAACTAGCTATTAAGCTGATATTGAAAATTAAGTTTTGGTGGGAGGAGAGACTATTGATTTTTAATTTTCCACGTGTTTTTCTGCGAATTTATAACAATGTATGATCTTTGGATATAAAATCTCACTTAGTTGCTCTCTTAATTCTATATTTTCCATGGTATATGATATTGATGTGTTAGTATTACCACAAAGTTCGTTATTATTTTTGTTCCACATCCATAAACCAAAAGCTCTTTACGTGAATGAATATTTGTTTACTCAATTAAACCGCAACATTTTCGAAGATTATAATATGCCACACTAATTACTACTAGTATATTGAATATTATGGGTTTGATTTGTTCTTTGGTTACTACTACTGCAAAAAAGACATTTGGTTCTTTTGACTCGCGCTCAAGAGAACCGATGTCTATCTCTTGTTTCGTTTTGGATTTGTTGTTATCGACTTAAGATTATATAAGTAGGTTCGAAAGGTGTTTATTGTTCCTTTGTTTTAACTTCAAGTCTTTGATATCTCTGTTTTCTCAAGAAGCAAAACAAGAGCTCCAAGAATAAATTGATGCTCAATCTATTGCATTAATTCCCGAGAACTTTTGTCTAATCCTGCCGCAACACTTATAGGACGAAAATTTTGTTTGGTTTATAAGAAATAAACCTGTGCTTTTTAATATATTTAAATATGAATAACCAATAAAAGAATTGTAATGGCTATGAAAAGGTGACTGTATTTCTGATGATAAAGCAAAACAAAGAAGTTTTTCCTTTTCTTTTGGAGAGCGAGTCTCTGGTTTCATGTGATAAAAGAGCATCGAGCGGCCACAATCCATAAGATATATGGTGTCATCGGTGAGGCTCGTGGTTAATGTGGCCTTGGAATAATGTAATTAACCTTTTTTTTTTTTCTTTCTTAACGAAGGCATTGTAACTCTAAATTAAATACTTGAAAATATATCTATAGACATTTTCAATAACTCTATGGCCGTTAATTCTAACTCCACGTCCAACTTAATTAAGAGGCTTTGAATAATCTACTACAAGGAATCTTGATGCATATATGTCCTTGTAGTTTTGCGCAAACCTTCAATACATGCCATGCCAAGCCCAACTCAACACTAGTTGACTCGCGCCGTGTGGTGTTGATTTGATAGGTCCTCCTTCGGTCCTTCCTTACACAATAGTAGTGACCCAATGTAACAACCGGTGGACTAAAATTATACGTTAAATTATATCATATATAATTTTAACTATACCTTTATGTTATTTTCAAATTCTCCAATCTTATGCATTTCATGCAACTCATTTTAAACCTATATTTATCAATGAACTTTAATTTGGACATGTAGGTATACTAGATAATCCGATAAACTGAGATGAGTACGTGTACGTGAACCATGAACCCACGGGATTCATGTCACCTAAACCTCTCAAAATAATTAGCACATGTGCATTCGTAATGCATACGTCCGTACTCTTCTTTACAAAGGCTATAAAAACCCAAGATTGGCACAAGGCTTCAATGCAACACAACACATACATATATTAACCATGAAGCTTCTCGGGTTCGCCTTAGCTATTCTATTAGCTGTGGCGACTTGCAAAGCTGATGAAGAGATTACTTGCGAAGAAAACGTTCCATTCACATGTAGCCAAACAGATCGTTTCAACAAACAAGATTTCGAAAAAGACTTCATCTTCGGTGTTGCATCTTCTGCTTACCAGGCATGTAACAAAAGTACACATTGTGTTGCCAGACCCAAATGATTGACGTCAAAACTCTAAAATCCAACGTTGCATGTTTATTTCTTTCCATTTCAGATCGAAGGTGGCAGAGGTCGTGGACTTAACATTTGGGATGGCTTCACTCACCGATACCCAGGTTTGTCATTTGCATGGTTCCACATCCATATGATATGAAATATTGGTTATACGTCGTTATACATTCGTAGTAATGTCTTTGTACGTACGCTATCAGAGAAAGGTGGAGCAGATTTGGGGAATGGAGACACTACATGTGACTCATATACAAATTGGCAGGTTAATTTCTCTCAGTATATATTTATATACACACTAAATTATTTATCAACTACGTGTGGATTTACATCCAATTGTGTATATAAACTGCAGAAAGATATAGACGTGATGGTCGAACTCGGAGTTAAAGGCTATAGATTCTCCATTGCGTGGTCAAGAATCCTTCCAAGTATGTACACATTATTAATTTATCCATGTGTATATATTCCATTGTGATAGATTGTTTGAAAGAGTAATATAATATATATATGAGCAGAGGGAAAGAGGAGTAGGGGAATCAACGAAGATGGTATTAAGTACTACAACGATCTCATAGATGGCCTTAGAAATAAGAGTATAGAGCCTTTCGTTACCCTCTTTCACTGGGACCTTCCTCAAACATTGCAAGATGAATATGAAGGTTTCTTGGACAGAAGGATCATGTATGTTATTGATGCCATGCTGCTTATTAAGAAAGATTACAAAATATATAAATATTTGATCTTGCATTAACGAAATGATTCTATAATATGCGCAGAGACGATTTCAAAGATTACGCAGATCTATGTTTCGAGAAATTTGGTGATAGGGTAAAGCACTGGATCACCATCAACCAGCTTTTCACAGTGCCTACGAGAGGCTATGCATTAGGAACAGATGCACCTGGTCGATGTTCCCATTGGCAGGATAAAAGATGTTACGGTGGAGATTCTTCAACAGAACCCTATATTGTTGCGCATAACCAGCTTCTTGCTCATGCCATGGTCGTCGATCTTTACAGGACACAATATAAGGTGAGCTAGGTCTCCATTTGTAATAATATAATATAACATCTGATTCTATATTTTTAATCATCATATATTGTGTATATATGTCTGCGTGACCACAGTACCAAGGTGGGAAGATTGGACCTGTGATGATAACTAGATGGTTTCTTCCATATGATGACACTCTAGAGAGCAAAAATGCAACTGAGAGGGCCAAAGAATTCTTCTTGGGATGGTATATCTATATCCGAGAATGAAAGGATTTTTATTATTAATATGTAAAGAACGAATGAAAACTATGTATGCACACATATGTCAGGTTCATGGAGCCGCTAACAAAGGGTAAATACCCAGACATCATGAGGAAACTTGTTGGTAAGCGGCTTCCAGAGTTCAATGAAACAGAAGCTGCCCTTGTAAAGGGTTCATATGATTTTCTTGGTCTCAACTATTACGTCACTCAGTACGCCCACGCCCAAGACCCAAGTCCTCCGGAAAGACTCACTGTCATGACGGACTCACTCGCAAACCTCACATGTACCACTCTATTTTCACTTAGTTACAACCTTTCTATTCTATCTCTTTTTAATCACAACATTTTGTGACAATCAAACTATATCATCCTACAGCTTTGGATGTAAATGGTCAACCCCCTGGTCCACCGGTATGCATGATTCACCTCTATTCTTTCATTCATTTTTACGCTAAAAAAAATAATCCATTCTTATGATTCTATATTATCTTCCCTTTCTCAGTTCTCTAAAGGCAGTTATTACCACCCAAGAGGCATGTTAAACGTAATGGAGCACTTCAAAACCAAATACGGCGACCCTTTGATCTATGTCACCGAAAACGGTGCGTTTTACTACTCATCTCTTCCATCTATACATGTTAAGTGTATTTCAAGATTTGTTCAAGAAATTGACTCAAATAATGTGGATTTAGGAATCAGTACCGCCGGTGGCGACATACCCTTTACCGAGGCATTTCACGATTACGAGCGGATTGATTATCTCTGCAGTCATCTCTGTTTTCTCCGTAAGGCCATCAAGTGAGTGGATGCTACTCTTCTTCTTCCATTGTTCTTTATATATATAAGACATACATATTTAACTATGATAAGTCAATAATTCAAAAATGTTCTTGTTTCTAGGGAGAAGCGTGTCAACGTGAAAGGATACTTTGCTTGGGCTCTTGGGGATAACTACGAATTCTGCAACGGCTTCACCGTCAGATTCGGACTTAGTTACGTTGACTTTAATAATGTCACTGCTGATAGAGACCTCAAAGCATCTGGCTTATGGTACCAGTCGTTCTTAAGAGATACCACCAAGAACCAAGATCTCCTCCGCTCAAGCCTCTCCTTCAAGAACCGTGATAGGAAGAGCCTCGCATGAAAGCCCCAAACCACTTTATGCCTATCAAGATCATCTTCATGTTTCCTCTTTCTAGTTGCTCTATATGGATAAAAGGAGCTTTTTCTACCTACTGTATTAAATAAAAGATGATCAAACTTAATAAATATTTTACATACTATATTATGTCATGGGATGGGGAAAAAAATCCCGTGAAACCAAAATTGAACCAAACTAAAAATGCTTAGTTATTTATTATCTTAAAACAAAAAAATAGAACCGACACTCAAATTTTTTATAAATTAATTGGTTTTGTTTTCTTAAAGCCCAAGAAAAAACGAAACCAAACCTGTTTTAATTAGTGTAACAAAAAAAAACCTAAACGTATTCAACTTTAATTTTATTTTTAGATATTATAGGAGAAGACGGATCGGAGATATGATGTTCAACATATATATAAAAGAATGATGTAAAGTTCAAAGATTTTTTTAAGGAGGGTTTATGTTTTAGACTTTTAGTTAATCATTATTAGACTAAAATTTGCTTATACTTCAATTTTCATTTTTAACTTCTATCAAAGATAACGACATGTTTTAATTTTTCTTTTGTACGTATGAATGTAAAATTATATTCACCAAAAAAATACTGTTTTATAATGAATGCAAGTTTATAAATTTACAAGTTTACAAGTTTCAAAGAAGCCGTGTATACTTGTCCGGGCTAGACTGGGCTTTAAAATATAAGCTCGCCAAGTTTGTTTTGACTATATTTATGGAGCTGTCGCATGTTGATGTCCTGGATTGAAAAATCTAGAAGAGGAGACATGGATTTTAAAGCCATGGGCCATGGCTCTGGTCAAAATTGTTTTGAAGAGGAGACATGGCAATGACGAGAAACTGACAATCGCCTTTAGGGTTGGTTGGTCAGTGCAACAAAGGATGAATAGATTGAAGCACACGTTTGAGAAGTGAAGGCTTTGACGATAGCTTTATAGGTTGGTGATGTATACTTTGGTTTATAATTATGTGATGTACTTTGGTTTATAATTATGACAAACAATGGAGACAATTTAGCACATGTGCATTCGTAATGCATACGTCAAAATTTTCTCTATTTATTGGTAACAATAAAAAATATTGTCATTTCGATTTGACTTGGGGCCCATCAACACATCAAAATTACATAGACATTTCAAATTTATGGGTCAAATTTGATTATGACTATAACGTTTAATGGATCTAAATAATAACCGAGAAATCTAGTTGAATTCAGCTGAATTGCTGAATTTGGCTAATTTTTAGTGATTTTTAGATAAATCACATGAATTTTTACATTTCCAAATGGTAACTCTTAAATATCGCGGAATTGTTTTGTGATTTTTGGCCGAATCTGTCAAAATAATTAAGAGTTTAACTCAAATATCGTCAAATAATTATGAATATTAGTAGGATAACTAAGAAAATAGATAAATAAAATAAATAACATTATCTAATGGTCTAATTAATTATTATACTAATAAATAAATACTAAAATTATTTAAAATTAAAATTAATAGAAATAATATATTGGCTAGCATAATTGAGTTATTCTTCCATATTTAAATTTTGAACTATTAAAAATATGTAAATAAATTTGTTTTGGTTAGGAACTGGGAAAAAATATGTAATTAATTAATGAAAAAGCTTTGTTGAAAAATTAGTTTCAAAAAGTAACATGATAATCTATATATAATAGCAATCTCAATAAATGTCTTTTGCACATCTGAACGGTTGTATCTTTTAATCGCAACTTTTCGTTAAAAAAATTTTAAACTAGCAATCTCAATAAATGTCTTTTGCACATCTGAACGGTTGTGTCTTTTAATCGCAACTTTTCGTTAAAATTTTTTTAAACTAAAATATATATTTTACGGATATGTCTTTTAGAAAATTGCAATCCGAATGTCTTCAGCGGTTGCGTCTTTTTATTTTAACTCTTCATAAATAGTGGCAACCTCTTATTCGAATTATTGCAATATTTAGTTTATTTCACGAACAATTGCAACCTTTGATTTATATATGAGAAATTGTTAAAAATGCCCCTTTTTCAATACCCCTTTTCAAAAATGCCCCCTTTGAGAGTCCATTTTTAAGTTTGCTCTCTTTTAATTTTTAATGACCATTTTACCCTTATTTGAAACAAAATTAGGTCCACAAAATACAAAATATTTTTTGGCGGGAAAAGTGATCCCGCAATTTTCCCGCCAAAACACTTGTAAAAACCTTTAAAATACCTTGTAAAATTTTCCCGTAAAAATTTTTCCCGCCAAAAAATTTTCCCGCCGAATTTTTTTTTTGCGGGAAAAGTGATTCCGCAATTTTTTTGGCGAAATTGTTTTGGCGGGAAAAATTTACAAGGTATTTTAAAGGTTTTACAGAGTATTTACAAGTGTTTTGTAAGGTTTTACAATGTATTTTAAAAGGTTTTACAAGGTACTTATAAGGTTTTATAAGGTATTTATAACTTGTAAAACCTTATAAAAAACTGGTAAAACCTTATAAAAAAGCTTGTAAAATCTTATAATATCTTATAAATATCTTATAAATACTTTGTAAAACCTTTTAAAATACATTGTAAAACCTTATAAATACCCTGTAAAAAACCTTTAAAATACCTTGTAAATTTTTCCCGCCAAAAAAATTGCGGAATCACTTTTCCCGCAAAAAAAATTTTTTGGCGGGAAAAAATTTTACGGGAAAATTTTACAAGGTATTTTAAAGGTTTTACAAGTTTTTACAAGTGTTTTGGCGGGAAAAATTGCGGGATCACTTTTCCCGCCAAAAAATATTTTGTATTTTGTGGACCTAATTTTGTTATATTTCCTTATATATTGTGATATCTTTTATTAAAAGAAGGGTAATTTAGTCATTTTGTACATAAAAAGGGGTATTTTTAAAAATAGACAGACAAAGGGGGCATTTTTGAAAAGGGATATTGAAAAAGGGGCATTTTTGTGAGTCTCCCTTTATATATTTAGTTTATTTCACGAACGATTGCAACCTTTGATTTATATATTTATTTATTTCACGAACATTTGCAACCTTTGATTTATTTTATAAATTGCTATAACATCTAATATCTACCGTCGAGTCTCTCGGTATAACTTTTCATAAATTACTATTTTTAATTTTTAATTACTAAAATTTATTTAAATGAGATTGTAATCGTTTAATTGAACTGTTGAAACATTTGGTTTATCTGACAAATCATTGCAACTTTTGGTTTTATTTTACGAATCGTTGTAATCTTTAGTTTATTTGACAACTTGAGGAACCGTTGCAATTTTTGATATATCGCAACATTTCATTTATTTTTTTAAAACTAAAAAAATTATTTTACGTTATGTGTTTTAAGAAAGTTACAAGCCGAGTAAATATTTTTTACGGTTGTATTTTTTTAATCGTAACTTTTCATAAAATAGTTGCAACCGTTTAGTTGAACCATTGCAACATTTAGTTTTTTGACGAAAAATTGAGGCCTTGAATGGCTGCAGTTTTTGGAGTAGTATTTGGCTTATGATTGTGCAAAAATCCAATAATTACACGTTCATGATTCTATAAAAAGTAGATTTCCTAAAAAATAGGGAAACCAGATTTTAGGAGATTTTGGTTTTTCTTCATAGAAACCAAAAACCAAGTTTTGTGGGTTTTTCCAAACAATTTACGTCAATTTTTTTTTTAATTCTTTTTTATTATTTTAAATATGTTATTTTTACCATTTACCAATTTATTTAAAACTAAAACCCTATTCTATGTAGAAAAACTAAAAACTAAACAAATTACCATTCAAAATTTTGCAAAAACTAAAATCTACACCAAAAATCAAAAACCACAAAAATCAAAAACTAAAAACGAAAATCCAAAAACTAGAATCTAAAAACCAATTAAAAACTACTAAACATTCAGGGCCTGAAACTTTAAGTTTATTTTATTAATCGTTATAACATTTAATCATCTACCATCGTTATTATTAATTTTTGTTTGATAATTTCTCAAACGATTTTTGAAATACTTTCTCCCGCGACATCGCGGGGGTCCGGAGTCCTAGTATAATATAATATAGATTATGTAATTGTTTTTTAATTGTTCTCTAGTAGTTTAATCAATAAAATGATCATGATAATTAAGAAAACTATTAAAATTTTGATATTTTAAATAATATCTTAGCACATGTATGAGTTAGTTTTGCAAAATTTTAAAAATTTATTTTAAATTATCTATAAGTTATTAAAATGATCCAAAATTATTTATAATTATCCGAACATGAATTCATCTCTTGTCTATTCTAGTAGTGATTTTTTTGTATTTGAATTATTCATTTATCGTATCCGTATAATCTGACTTATTTTAAAATATAAATTTGATTTGCAATATGAGACATCCAAAATATTTTAATTCGAGTTGTGTATTCGTTCTCATCCAAATTCTTACCAGAAATAAATATATCTATGTATCTGTTAATATTGAAAAAACTGTTGAATCTGCTTGAATTTAGTTTTATGCAAATGGTAGTGCGAAATTGTTGAATCTGGTTGAATTCAACTGAATGTTTTTTATGTGTTACCATTTAGACCCATTGTGATTATGGTAAAATTTTACATAGTCATCTTTAAAATTTGATACTTTTAATTACAGAGTAAATCTAACCATAAATACGATGGACAATAAGGGAGGAAGAACCCATCTTTATAGAGTAAATTGGACCATAAATCTTTGACCATCTTATAAGATATTCATTACAAGAAATTTCATAGTCATTCTTACCTCCTCCACGCTCCACCATTATCTAGGATTGTACATTCGTCGTAATTAGGTCCATTGTTTGATTATATTTCTGTCAACGTGAAAATCACAATTTATTAGTTTAAAATTTGATACTTTAAAATATAAGCTCGAAATTACATTAACTTATTTAAAGTTATAATCACAATCAAAATTCCTTCTTCTCGTACGTTTACTTATCCCACATTTGGTCAGCTCTTGCTAGAGGTATTCTTAGAAGTAGCTTCTCCACAAGTTGAGACTCTTTGATAACTTTACTCACTGACTCGTCTAAACCTCACCTCCACACCTTTGTTTTGAGGTACGTATTTCAGCTCTCAATTCAAAGTATATGGAAGGAAAGAAATGGGAGACGTCACTAGCATCAAAAGTCAAGAGTATCATCGACAAAAACGTTCACAATCGTTTGTGCACAATTCAAGCGATTGGTTCATCGCTTTGTGAGGGAGGGCTTCTCTACTGATTTCAAACTCGTAGCTACTAGTTTTTTTAATTCAAGTTGTAAACGCTAGAATAAACTTTCAATTTTTTCAATTTTTTACGGTGCATTCATTATAAAACATTTTTTTTTTTTTGGTGAATATAATTTTACATTCATAAGTACAAAAACAAATTAAAACATGTCGTTATCTTTGATAGAAGTTAAAAATGAAAAATGAAGTATAAGCAAATTTTAGTCTAATCATGATTAACTAAAACATAAATCCTCCTTAAAAAAATCTTTAAACTTTACATCATTCTTTTATATATATGTTGAACATCATCATATCTCCGATCCGTCTTCTCCTATAATATCTAAAAATAAAATTAAAGTTGAATACGTTTAGGTTTTTTTTTGTTACACTAATTAAAACAGGTTTGGTTTCGTTTTTTTTTGGGCTTTAAGAAAACAAAACCAATTAATTTATAAAAAATTTGAGTTTCGGTATTATTTTTTTTTGTTTTAAGATAATAAATAACTAAGCAGTTTTAGTTTGGTTCAATTTTGGTTTCACGGGATTTTTTTCCCCATCCCATGACATAATATAGTATGTAAAATATTTATTAAGTTTGATCATCTTTTATTTAATACAGTAGGTAGAAAAAGCTCCTTTTATCCATATAGAGCAACTAGAAAGAGGAAACATGAAGATGATCTTGATAGGCATAAAGTGGTTTGGGGCTTTCATGCGAGGCTCTTCCTATCAAGGTTCTTGAAGGAGAGGCTTGAGCGGAGGAGATCTTGGTTCTTGGTGGTATCTCTTAAGAACGACTGGTACCATAAGCCAGATGCTTTGAGGTCTCTATCAGCAGTGACATTATTGAAGTCAACGTAACTAAGTCCGAATCTGACGGTGAAGCCGTTGCAGAATTCGTAGTTATCCCCAAGAGCCCAAGCAAAGTATCCTTTCACGTTGACACGCTTCTCCCTAGAAACAAGAACATTTTTGAATTATTGACTTATCATAGTTAAATATGTATGTCTTATATATATAAAGAACAATGGAAGAAGAAGAGTAGCATCCACTCACTTGATGGCCTTACGGAGAAAACAGAGATGACTGCAGAGATAATCAATCCGCTCGTAATCGTGAAATGCCTCGGTAAAGGGTATGTCGCCACCGGGGGTACTCATTCCTAAATCCACATTATTTGAGTCAATTTCTTGAACAAATCTTGAAATACACTTAACATGTATAGATGGAAGAGATGAGTAGTAAAACGCACCGTTTTCGGTGACATAGATCAAAGGGTCACCGTATTTGGTTTTGAAGTGCTCCATTACGTTTAACATGCCTCTTGGGTGGTAATAACTGCCTTTAGAGAACTGAGAAAGGGAAGATAATATAGAATCATAAGAATGGATTATTTTTTTTAGCGTAAAAATGAATGAAAGAATAGAGGTGAATCATGCATACCGGTGGACCAGGGGGTTGACCATTTACATCCAAAGCTGTAGGATGATATAGTTTGATTGTCACAAAATGTTGTGATTAAAAAGAGATAGAATAGAAAGGTTGTAACTAAGTGAAAATAGAGTGGTACATGTGAGGTTTGCGAGTGAGTCCGTCATGACAGTTAGTCTTTCCGGAGGACTTGGGTCTTGGGCGTGGGCGTACTGAGTGACGTAATAGTTGAGACCAAGAAAATCATATGAACCCTTTACAAGGGCAGCTTCTGTTTCATTGAACTCTGGAAGCCGCGGCTTACCAACAAGTTTCCTCATGATGTCTGGGTATTTACCCTTTGTTAGCGGCTCCATGAACCTGATATATGTGTGCATACATAGTTTTCATTCGTTCTTTACATATTAATAATAAAAATCCTTTCATTCTCGGATATAGATATACCATCCCAAGAAGAATTCTTTGGCCCTCTCAGTTGCATTTTTGCTCTCTAGAGTGTCATCATATGGAAGAAACCATCTAGTTATCATCACAGGTCCAATCTTCCCACCTTGGTACTGTGGTCACGCAGACATATATACACAATATATGATGATTAAAAATATAGAATCAGATGTTATATTATATTATTACAAATGGAGACCTAGCTCACCTTATATTGTGTCCTGTAAAGATCGACGACCATGGCATGAGCAAGAAGCTGGTTGTGCGCAACGATATAGGGTTCTGTTGAAGAATTTCCACCGTAACACCTTTTATCATGCCACTGGGAACATCGACCAGGTGCATCTGTTCCTAATGCATAGCCTCTCGTAGGCACGGTGAAAAGCTGGTTGATGGTGATCCAATGCTTTACCCTATCACCAAATTTCTCGAAACATAGATCTGCGTAATCTTTGAAATCGTCTCTGCGCATATTATAGAATCATTTCGTTAATACAAGATCAAATATTTTTATATATATTGTAATCTTTCTTAATAAGCTGCATGGCATCAATAACATACATGATCCTTGTGTCCAAGAAACCTTCATATTCATCTTGCAATGTTTGAGGAAGGTCCCAATGAAAGAGGGTAACGAAAGGCGTTATATTCCTTGCGATCGTGTTATTTATGAGACCGTTGTAGTAGTTAATACCCTCTTCGTTGATTCCCCTACTCCTCTTTCCTTCTGCTCATATATATATATATATATATATATATATATATATATATATTATACTCTTTCAAACAATCTATCACAATGGATAAATTAATAATGTGTACATACAGTAGAACCTCTATAAATTAATACTCGATAAATTAATAAACACGATAAATTAATAAATTTTGCCGGTCCCGAGTCGGGCCAGTGTAAAAATTAACCAAATTCGATAAAATAATAAGATAATAAGTTTTTTGAAATCCCTATGTAAAAGTATAGTCCCAATAATATTATAAATTAATAATTATATAAATTTGCATATATATATATATATATATATATATATATATATATAATAGTTTTAGTGTTTTTCATAAAAATAGCCAAAAGTTTTTGTAAGTTTTCAAATTTTGAATATGCATAATATTTGTTCTAAAAGTTGTATAAGTTTTTAAAATACAACAATGAATGTCACTATTTGTGAATTTTACTTTATGTATATCGTTTGTATATGTGAATTCTTTAATCGTTGTTATTCATTGTAAACTTTTCTTTTTTTTGAAATATTAAGTGTTTAAGTCTAAAACTATAAAATTTATAACATCTAAAACATTAATTTTATTTAGATCATAGCTTGTATTTTTTTTAAAAGTTTTCACAATTAAAACAAAACTTTCACAATTAAAACAAAACTTTCTATAAATTAATAAATATTAATTTATGCTATAATTTATAGATAAATTAATATCACTATAAATTAATAAAATATCATAGTCCCAATATTATTAGTTTATAAAGGTTTTACTGTACTTGGAAGGATTCTTGACCACGCAATGGAGAATCTATAGCCTTTAACTCCGAGTTCGTCCATCACGTCTATATCTTTCTGCAGTTTATATACACAATTGGATGTAAATCTACACATACTTGATAGATAATTTAGTGTGTATATAAATATATAGTGAGAGAAATTAACCTGCCAATTCGTATACGATTCACAAGTAGTGTCTCCATTTCCCAAATCGGGTCCACCTTTCTCTGATAACGTACAAAGAGATTACTATGATTGTATAACGACATATAACCAATATTTCATATCATATGGATGTGCTAGCCTTAATTAGATTGCAACCATGCAAATAACAAACCTGGGTATCGGTGAGTGAAGCCATCCCAAATGTTAAGTCCACGACCTTTGCAACCTTCGATCTGAAATGGAAAGAAATAAACATGCAACGTTGGATTTTAGAGTTTTGACGTCAATCATTTGGGTCTGGCAACACAATGTGTACTTTTGTTACATGCCTGGTAAGCAGAAGATGCAACACCGAAGATGAAGTCTTTTTCGAAATCTTGTTTGTTGAAACGATCTGTTTGGCTACATGTGAATGGAACGTTTTCTTCGCAAGTAATCTCTTCATCAGCTTTGCAAGTCGTCACAGCTAATAGAATAGCTAAGGCGAACCCAAGAAGCTTCATGGTTAATATAGCTATGTGTTTTGTTGCATGGTAGCCTTGTGCCAATCTAGGGTTTATATAGCCTTTGTTAGAGAATATATTGACGTATGCACATGTGCTAATTATTCTGAGAGGTTTAGGTGACATGAATCCCGTGGGTTCACGGTTCACGTACACGTACTCTATCTCAGTTTATCGGATTATCTAGTATACCTACATGTCCAAATTAAAGTTCATTGATAAATATAGGTTTAAAATGAGTTGCATGAAATGCATAACATTGGAGAATTTGAAAATAACATAAAGGTATAGATAAAATTATACAGACCTCTATAAATTAATACTTGATAAATTAATAACCTCTCTAAATTAATAATTTAGTGTAAAAATGACACAAATCGATAAATTAATAAGATAATAACTTTTTTGAAAATTCTATTTAAACATATGGTTCCATCAATATTATAAATTAATAATTATATAAACTTATCAATATATATACATATATATGTAATTTTTTTTATTGAAATATGACTCTAGTATTTTTTGTTTTTCTTATATTTGTATTACTTTTTAGTAGAGTTTAGTTTTAATATTTTTACTACCTCAGAAAAAGTTTGTGTTGTTTTTAAACTTAATAATTGATTTTCTACTTGTAATTGGTTTCAGAAAAAAATTTATTATAAAGAAAAAACTGTTTTCCAGATATAATTTTTTTTTAAATTACAAAATTAGTAAAATCTCTCTATAAATTAGTAATTATTAATTTATCAATAAATTGATACCTTTATAAATTAATATAATTTCTCGGTCCCGACATTATTAATTTATAGAAGTTTTACTTTATATGATATAATTTAACGTATAATTTTAGTCCACCGGTTGCGACATTGCGTCACTAGTATTGTGTAAGGAAGGAGGATCTATCAAATCAACACCACACGGCGCTGAGTCAACTCGTGTTGGGTTGGGGTTGGCATGGCATGTATTGAAGGTTTGCGCAAAACTACAAGGACATATATGCATCAAGATTTGATGAATTTTGTCGAGATTAATGGCTAGAAGAGCCATTATCTCGAGAGGACGTGTGGAGAAAGATCCCACATTGAAAAGATAGGAACGGATTTGAGTAATATATAAGAGATTTGGGCCAATCCACTCATTGCCAATTGGTTTTGAGTTGGAAGCCCATGAAACTTAACATGGTATCAGAGCCCGATTCATACGCTGACCCATTAATCCGGCCCGGAAAGTGGTCCGATCACCCCCACTAATTGATGGCCCAAAGGAAGGCTCAATTCTGTCGAGATAGCTAGAAGAGCATTATCTCGATGGAGCGTGATGGATTCTGTCGAGATTAATGGCTATAGAGCCATTATCTCGAGGGGACGTGTGGAGAAAGATCCCACATTTGAAAGATGGGAAGGGACTTGAGTTGTATATAAGGGATTTGGGCCAATCCACTCATTGCCAATTAGATTTGAGTTGGAAGCCCATGAAACTTAACAAGATTCTTTGTAGTAGATTATTTTCAAAGCCTCGTAATTAAGTTGGACCTGGAGTTAGAATTAACGCCATAGAGTTATTGAAAACGTCTACAGATATATTTTCAAGTGTTTAATTTAGAGTTACAATGCCTTCGTTATGAAATAAAAAAGGTTACTTACATTATTTCAAGGCCAATTTCACCACGAGCCTCACCGCTGACACCACATATCTTATGGATTGTGGCCGCTCGATGCTCTTTTATCACATGAAACCAGAGACTCGCTCTCCAAAGAAAGGAAAAACTTCTTTTTGCGTTTTAATAGTTACCAAAGAATTGGAGGTGCTTTATCATCCGGAAAACAGTCATCATTTCGTAGCCATTACATTATGTTTTTTGGTTACTTATATTTACGTATATTAAAAATACACAAGTCAAAAAAAAAAAAAAAAAAAAAAAAAATACCAAAATCATTTCAAAACTAACTACGTCATCAATATATAATATCGTCGGACCAAACGCCGTCAATAGTACTTAAACTCGGAACCTTAATTTGAAGACTATGTAGCGACTAAAATGTTTTAATCTACTTTTAGATGGCCAACTAGTACGTTATTTGAGAAACTAACGCCTAATTAAAACATGTCTTTATCTACAAAACTACTAAGAAATCCAGACATAGAGCCTATTTGAACCAAACATTACATTGACTTCAAGGCTCCCATGCTGCTCACTGATTCGACGTTTAAAGGCTCCATCGACTTTCCTTCCAAAAAATAGTACACTCAATTTGGCTAGAAAGGATAGACGCAGGCATGGAGAGAGCTCCCAAGCTCGCCTGATCAACTAATCAAGTTTCTTGACCGGATCATACGGAACAAGATCTCCTCAATACAGCTTACAGACTCACGCAAACTCGAAGATGGGCTCCGGCCCCCTGGTTCAACTTGAGAAACTAAAGTTTTCATTTTGGGTGCTAATCCTTTAAATATTTTCTGTCTAATACTTTAAAACACTAGAATCAAGGACGCATACAATGTAACACGGTTTTTATTTGAACAAATTTTACATTCATACAAAAAAAAACATTACATTGACTTGTGTGTTGTACCGTTTGTTCCTCTTCATCCATATTTCATTGGTTATCGTCAGCCACACCATAACTCTGATAAGGATTTAATTATCAACCCATCATTCTTTTTTTCATAAAACAATAATAATAAGAAAAGAAAAAAAAAAAAGACTGAACGTTTAACGACTCGATATCGATTGAGATTTTGTGGAAACTTTGTTGTCCAAAAACAAGACCGCGCATAATACAATTGATTCAAAGACCAATTTATGTTTCTATGATTTTTGAAAATATGAATCATTCTTATATAAAAGAACTTTTCCAAATTATACGCATAACTATGGATGTCAGATTCGAGTTTGTAAATTTCAATTTGGTGCGGATTGGTTTTATTGCGTTCTTTTCCCTTCCAACATAATGTAGTAAATAAAGTATTTATTAATATAGATCATCTTTTATTAGGATTTTTATTTCAATACATTAGGTAGATAAAGCTCCTTATCTATGGAGCAAGTAGAAAAAGGAGACATAAGATGATCTTGGTGGGCATATAGTGGTTCGGGTCTTTCATGCATCTGCAAGACTCTTCCGATCACGATTCTTGAAGGAGACGCTTGAACGGAGGAGATCTTGGTTCGTAGAGTCATCAGTGGTAACGTTTATGAACCGCTGGTACCATTTGCCAGATGCTTTGAGGTCTCTATCACCGGTTACATTGGTGAAATCGACGTAACTTAGTCCGAATCTGACGGTAAATCCGTTACAGAATTCGTAATTATCCCCAAGAGCCCAAGCAAAGTATCCTTTCACGTTGACAGCCTTCTCCCTACAAACAGAAACAATCATTACATATATATATATGTATTTTGTTTTTAGGGAATATATAAAGAGCAATGGAAGAAGAGTATCATCTACTCACTTAATGACTTTACTGAGAAAGCAGAGATGACTGCAGAGATAATCAATCCGCTTGTAATCGGCAATAGCCTCGTCAAAGGTTTCATCACCGGGGGTACTAAATCCTAAACATGAACAAGTAGACAATATTTGATTCAATTTCTTGGACCAACTCCGAAATACAGTAGACATGTATAGATAATAGAGTGTAGAACTCACCGTTCTCGGTGATATATATTAAAGGGTCACCGTATTTGTCTTTGAAGTACTCCATTACGTAGTAAATGCCTTTTGGGTAGTAATAACTGCCTTTAGCGAACTGAAAAAGGGAAGTATGTATATAATCAGAAAAAATGAATGTTATTTTGCTTAAAAAGAAATGAAAAAATGGATCATGCGTACCGGTGGACCAGGAGCATGACCAGTTGCATTTCTAGCTGTGAACACAAGGATGAAATAATTTATGGTCAGAAAATGTTGTAATTACAAGGAGATATATATATATATGGAAAGATTTTAACTAAGTGGGTATAGAGTGGTACATGTGAGAGTTGTGCGTGAATCCATCAAGGCAGTGTGTACGTCCGGAGGAATAATCGTGTCATTATTTTGGGCATATTGAGTGACGTAATAGTTGAGACCAAGAAAATCATATGAACCCTTTACAAGGGCGGCTTCTGTTTCACTGAACTCTGGAAGCCGATCTCCCACATATTCCCTCATGATATCTGGGTATTTACCTTCTGTTAGTGGCCCCATGAACCTGATGTACATATATCCATATGTTTTATTAGCTTATATATATACATATTTATGTTAAAAAATCATTTCATTTTTGGATATATATGTATACCATCCATGAAAAAATTCTTTAGCCCTCTCAGTTGCCGCTTTGCTCTCTGGAGTGTCATTAAATGGGAGAAACCATCTAGTTATCATCACAGGTCCAATCATCCCTCCTTGGTCCTGTGGTCACGTAAACATATATATACACAATGATGATTAAAATACAATCACATGTTATATTACACATTTTCAAAAATGGAGAACTCACCTTATATTTCGTCCTGTAAACATCAACGGCTGCTGCATGAGCAAGAAGTTGGTTATGTGCAACAATATAGGGTTCTGTTGACGAATTTCCGCCAGGACATCTTATGTCAATCTTAGGAGAACATCGACCAGGTGCATCTGTTCCTAGTGCATATCCTCTCGTAGGTACTGTGTATAGCTGGTTGATCGTGATCCAGTTCTTTACCCTATCACCAAATAACTCGAAACATAGATCCGCGTAATCCTTGAAATCGTCTCTGCTCATATTATAAAATTATTTCGTTAATGCAAGATCAAATCTTTTTATTTTTTTAATCGTTTTTAATAAGTAGCATGGCGTCAATAACATACATGATCGATCTGTTCAAGAAACCGTTATATTCATCTTGCAATGTTTGAGGAAGGTCCCAGTGAAAGAGGGTAACGAAAGGCGTTATATTCCTTGCGATCATGTTATCTATGAGACGGTTGTAGTAGTCAATACCACCTTCGTTCACTCCCCTACTCCTCTTTCCTTCTGCTCATAGATATTGTATATTTACTCTTCCAAACGATTACAATCGAATATTAATATACTATAATACATGGATCAATAATGTGCACATACTTGGAAGGATTCTTGACCATGCAAAGGAAAATCTGTAGGCAGTAGCGTTGAGTTCGTCAATCACGTCTATATCTTTCTGCAATTTATATATATACACAATCACATAGTTGATAGATAATTCAGTGAGTATATTAGCTTGCATATATATAATGTACTGAGGAACTAACAGGCCAATACGTATATGAGTCACAAGTAGTGTCTCCATTTGCCAAATCGGGTCCACCTTTCTCTGATAGCGTACAAGCGATATTACTAAAGAGACATAAAAAAACATCCCTCGCATATAGATGTGTAAGCAAATATATGTATATAGTAACCATGCAAGCTGCAAACCTGGGAATCGGTGAGTGAAGGCATCCCAAACGTTAAGTCCACGACCTCTGCCGCCTTCCACCTGAGATGAAAAGAAATAACCATGCAACATTAGATTTTAGTGTTTTTTAAACTGGGGTATGGAAACATAATGTGTGATTTGTTACATGCCTGGTAAGCAGAAGACGCAACACCGAAGATGAAGTCTTTTTCGAAATTGCCACTGTTGAAAAGTTTAGTTTGGTTACAGGTGAATGGCTCGTTCTCTTCACAAGTAAACTCTTCAGCTTTACAAGTCACCACAGCTAATAGAATAGCTAAGGAGAACCCAAGAAGCTTCATGGTTAATATGTAGATGTATGTGTTGTATTGCATGGAAGCCTTGTGCCACTCTAGGGTTTATATAGCCTTTGTTAGAGAAGCATGACGTATGCATTACCTTGTCTTAGCGTCATGATATTTTGGGAGGTTAAGTTGACATGAATCCCGTGGGTTTTGCTAACTCTAGCTGAATGTTAATTAACCTATTCTGGTTATGTTTGTTCTTTTATTTGTTTCCACTTTTCAGACTGCTTTACTCTTCAATCAATCATTTCGTTGAGGAAAATGTTGCATTCTTTTACTCAATTGGGAATTGCTTATTACTATCGTTATCTCTATTGAACATTTGTTTCTTATCCGGAACACGACTTGGAGCACAAACTAAGTTACATCTTCAATTGATTGGTCAAAATAGGCATACAATATATATAGTAGGGTATCAAATGTCCGCAAAGTACTACTCCATGCATCAAGAATGTTAGTAGATTATGTTCAGAGCCTTTTATGTTAAAATCGACACCATACCATTATTCAGAAATATGGTGTCGATTTCTGAATCGACACCATACCATTATTAAGATAATAATAATAGATACATGAATCGATCGTAGGCCATTCATCACGAGGCTCACCGCTCACACCTCACAGTCACAGCATATCTCTTATTGATTTTGGCCGATCGATACTTTATCACATGAAACTAGGGCTCTCTATCCAAAAGACAATAAATAAAATTAACCAACCAACCTTTTGCTTTTTTTTTTAATCGTTATTAAAAATTGGAGGTGCTTTATCATATGAGTCATCTTCCCTTTTCTTCTGGGATTGCCAAGAGGATCATGTAAATTCGTTCCTTCCTTACCGGTAATTCTTCTGGGTACCCACCGTGGAGATTTGAATTCGTGATCTTGACTGTAATTCTTTAGAAATATCCCATGATATACGGGAAAACGGCTTATTCCTCCCTAAACTAACTTACTTTGGCGTATTCATCCCTTTAAATTTGTACTGTGCCGAAACCCACATAAACTAAGCTAAAGTTTGAATTATCTCCACGAACAAAACATTTATGGACTAAACCCACAAATCGTGTAACACCGTTACTGTTCCGTTACGTCAGAGTTGACTAGGATGCCACGTCATTTTTCTAAACGACCGTGTATTAATCAAAATGACATGTGAGGATGCCACGTCATTTTTCTAAACGACCGCGTTTTAATCCAAAGTTTTACACACCAAAATAACACGACATCACCAACATTTCTTTGTCTTCCTTGCAAATCGATTTGGGGATTTTATTAGTTTAGGGTTCATCGAATTTCAATTGGAGATACTTTGCTTTGGGTTTGAGAGGGACAAAGAGTGAATCAAAAGTCGATCGAAAAGAGGAATAAGGGTTGGAGATTTTTTTTAGTTTAGGGTTCGACATCAAGTGTCGGATTTGAGAGAGCGAGAGGGAGACAGAAGAACGTATATCAAAGAGATTCGAGCTTGGTGGTTGTGTAATCAGCTCTGGTGGAGGAGTAATTGCAGAGCTCAATGAGGTAAGCGCTCGAATTCTGGGTTAGTCGAGTGCATTTTCGATTTGGATTTTGAATGGCTTCGTTGGAAAGTTTGGTTTTGCTTGTCTACCACTCGTCTTTGCTTGTGTGCCTCTTGTCTTTTCTTTTCCAATCTCTGCAATTCATCAAATTGAGTTTTGTACGTGTGTTTCATTTATTTCTGCAATTCATCAAATTTTCCTTATTGTTGCAGGGAATGAAGTATTAATGGTGTTTTAGTTTATGAAATCTGGGATTTTGATTTATTTTCTAATGTAAAACTCAGATTATGATGTAATTTTGGATTAAATTTTGGATTCTATTTGATTATGCATTTTGGAATCAATATGATGTTTTGTTAGAGATTATATTTTTTGCTTGAACAGGTCTGATCAAATTTTGATAATCTACAATTCAATTTGTAAAAAAACGTCATTTTTTTTGTTGGGCAAGATGTATAAAACGACGTCGTTTTTGCTTGATGATGTGACATCCTAGTCAGCTTGTCATTAACAGAAGACTAACAGCGTTTAGCGATTTGTGTAATTATTCCTAATTTGTTTTGTTCAGGTAGGTAATTCAAAATATAGAATAGTTCATGAGGTTTTTGGCACAATACAAAGTTCGGGGGATGAATAAGCCAAAGAAAGTTAGTTTAGAGGTGAAAAAGCCGTTTTCCCCGTGATATACTAATAGAGCTACAAAGGCGAGGTCGAACAGTCATATTTTTAGTAACCATTAATTGTTTATTTTTGTGGTGTTAAAAAAAAACAAAAAAACAAGTCTATAATTTCGACAAAAGTGATAAGAAATTCAGGCATATATACAAATATACAACCTATTTTTTTTTTTTTTTTTTTTATATATACAACCTATTTGAACCAAACATTACACTGTATGTTGTGTCGGTTGTTCCTCTCGTCCGCATGGCCAGCCATAGGCCATGACTTTGATGAGCACTTGACGGTCACAAGTAATATATTGGATTCTATGATATCTTGTTGAGTTAAGAGATGAAATTACCCTAAATGAAAAACAATGTGTTTTTTTTTTTGTAGGTATACATTGTGCTAATGTTGACGTACATAAATATGATATTCAATTTAATATGTCTAGTGCATTATATATATCATAGTACATGCATCACATATTTTGGGTTCATAGTTTGATATGTACATATACAATATATCAATATATCATATAGTACATGTATTAGGGTTTTCATTTCCTAAATTAGAGTTTTACAGTATACTAGGAATAAAACAAAATGTGACACTTGTTGTAAGGGTTTGAAGTATATGTCACAGTACGCACACTACATGTATTATGGTTTAGGTTTTCTAAGAATTAGGGTTTCGTGTAGGTATAAAAATACATATAGTATACGTACATCAGTACTTGTAAATATTTGATTGAGGGAAAAAATAGTCTTATAAATTATATATATGATGTCCTGTGATCCAATAAAAACATGTAGGTGACACGGAATGCAGTAAAAAGCTTAAAAGGGTGAATAAATGATGTGGTTCGGAGAGATGATCTATATCTATATAATAGATACAATATAAAAAAAAACAGCCTAAACGACTGTGTGTGAATGCAGGATCCCGTTGGAAAGATGCATATGATATTTGATCGGGGTCAAAGTTTCTTTGATAACATGAGAAATAAGAAATAGTTCCCGTGACCTAAAGCAAATTTTGGCTCACACGATCCCGAAGTTTTTTTTTTTCGAAAGAATCACTACCTTGTTTTTTTTTGGGCAATGGTAGTTTCGTAGCTGGCTAATCATTTTGTAAATAACTTACGTTCAAATTAAACACTATACATTTTCCTTAATAAGAAATTGATAGCAAGGTGAACAATTGTAACACTCCGGTTTCAGGATTATGATGGTGCATGCGGACTGCGGAGAGGTTTAAAAGAATTGATTTGACCACATATGTCAGCAAAGTGCACTTATCTTTTTGGTCAAACGTCTTGAGAGAAATCCACAATTAAACGTGCTTGAGCTGGAGCAATTTGAGGATGGTTGACCTTCCGCGAAGTGATTGTCGTCGGAACTGTGTGAGTGAGGACAAAATACAAAGAAAAATCATGTGGTGATTTGTAGGGTCGGTAACAAGTCTTTAAAGCCTTCCGGACATAACGGACCGACTGTCGGACAGGAGTGAAACCCATGGGCTCGAGAGAAGACGTGAGTGTTCACTGGTAGGGACGGTCGGGGTGTTACAACAATAAATAGGTGTAAGGTAAAATATGAAGGTAAAATGAAGTAAATAGATGAATTTTATTTTAGTTTTCTTTGAAGGATTACAATGACGAGAAAGGGAATTTCGGGCGTAAAAGAAGATGATCTTTCTTCTTGCTTTCTTATGTTCCTATAACACTTATCCTTGTTAGTTGTTAATGTGTCTTCAATCTAACCTCAATGACTTAAGTGATAATAAGTCTAGTGATCTATATTAATCATGTTGTTATCTAACTACCAAATTCAAACCCGCATGTTGCATGTTATAACTAACGGAAAAAAAAGTAGTTTCCATTATAAACAAAGCCTTTACATTGGAGAGATTAATTATCTTTTAATATCCATTATATAGCTGTGGCATTATGTGCAACAACTGCGACCATAATAGCATAATGTATATTATGATTCAAGTGTGCATAGTACAACTTGGTTGTTCCTTGTTCTGTAAGAAAAGACATATTACTGTAATATCGTCAATTTTGGTAGATTTAAGCTTTTTCTTCCATGCAGCTTCAGCCGCCTCCGCCACCAATTTAGCGGCCTCAGCTTGCTTTTTTCCCGAACTCCATATCAGCGATACAACTTCATCATTGCTAAGCATATCCCAAACCTGCGATGACGATTTTAAATACAAGGTGGTTCATTAAACTTTTTGAAACTGAAAAAAAAACTTCAATATTTGAATCACATTTGCATCTACCCCATCTGTAGCGAGTACAAGGAACCAGTCGTTCGAAGTTATTCGGTGTTGAGAGATCTCTGGAACCGCAATGACGCCGTGGTCTTTGAGCCTAAAATTTCCAAAAGCTCTTGACATGGCTAATCCTGGTATGTCTTGGTTGGGTAACCACACCCTTTGGCTGCACGGTTCTGCTTTCATTGCGAAAACACGACCTTTGCACATCCTTATCCTCTCTGCTTCACCTGCAACGCTAGAACTCGCTAAATAAATATCATCAACACTCTAATGATACAACATTTCTTTAGCCAAAATGAGAGTAAAAAAAAACATACTAGGGACATCAGGTGTTAGGTCTGATGTTAATTGCACTGCCATGATCTCACCATCTTCAGTCATTGTCCCCAACACTGCCCTTGAATCACCAAGGTTCGCTATCACAAGATCATCTCCCTACAACAATCCAGTAAGCAATTTAACATTTTCCCAAACAAAAAAAATTAAAAAAAATCAAGTAAGCTAACTAGTGAAATATTTTAGGCTTTGAATGTTGGTAGCAGAAAAAAAAACAGAATATATACTTTTGGCTCAAGATTGGCTTTTTATTCACCATTCATAAGTTTTGGTCTATAATGGCGCATGAATGGTGAACAGAAAACCAATCTTGAGCCAAAAGTATTATTCTGTTTTTTTCTGCTATCACCATTCAAAGCCTAAATATAGACCAAAATTTGAACTGGCAGCAGAAGAAGAGATACTAATCTTGTCTGTCGGCTACAAAATTGAACGGTCCGCTACCACCATTCAAACCCTTTAAAATTGCGGAAAAACATAGAAATAAATGTACCTGAGTTATGGCAACCACTCCAGTGGAGCCACTGAAAGAGCAATTAAAGACTTGGAGATTAAGCTCTCTGTCAATGAGTCTAAAGGCAGTAAAACAAGCTTTTTCCCATTTGTTAGATTCTTCTTCACAAACATTAGATTCTTGGTTTAGCTCTTCCTTTAGTGCCAAAAGAACCGATGGCAATCTATTCCTCACCATTTTGCTCACCATGTGCCCATTTTTACCGTGCCCATCAAACACTCCACATAGCTCTGTTTCCCTTGTTCCATATCCCTACGGGATTAAAATTAAACAATTTCTACTACTTAAATCAAATCACACTAAATTCTACTCAATAAACATGGAAGAAATTTTAAATGTTTTTTAATCTTTGTGAAAAATGTCATGTGAAATTATATGGAACAACCGCGTTAAATTTAATGCAATCATACATTTTTACATATGAATTTTATATATAAAATGAAAATCTTTTAATTTTTTTATAAATATGAAAAGAATTTCAAATATATTTCACATGTAAACACAAAAGTAGAAATTAACATTTGAATCAGTTTGGCCAAATATGGTGTTGTTCGTTTGTTTATCTGGATGGTCTATAAGATGATGTTCGTTTAAACAAAATTAAAGACATTATCTACAAATATTAAAAACAAGATTTTACTCAAGTTGAAAGAACCAGAAAAAACAAAACAAAAAATTGTGAATTTTTTTGTCCTATCTAAATTAGGGAAACGAAATTGGTTCACCATCTACCCTAAAATGTTGATGGTCATCTAAGGTAATGATTTATAGAAAGAGAAGGAACATAGAAACAAGAAAATAGCAAAAATAATGTCAAGAAAGTCTACCAGGTAAAGAATAGCATGATCTTGGTTAAGCACTTTGGTTCCTTGTATAGAGCAGACCGAACCAAGTCGATGAACCGGAAGGTCATGATCTAAACCGAACTCTTCTCCATAACACACCACCGCATTTCCATCACCGTGCTCGTTATCCTCGTGAATCTCCGATGAAGAAGACGGCAACGAAAAGCAATGACCCATACAATCTCTCTTTCCGATCAGATTCTCACCAAAGTGACCCCCAAAATATGGCTTCGGAGAATAATTCTTTAAAAAGTAACCTTATGATATAATCGGATCGCAGATCTTAATTATAATATACATTGAGTATGAAAAGCCTTTGGTTAGATATCTTATAAAGCTGACTTTCCATATATAAACATTATTACTGTTTATGTGGCACCAACTTGAGTTCCAAGTGTCAATGAAATCAATTTATTATATGATAATATACATATATGTACCGATATACGTTGACATGTATGTTATGTAATAATGCATAACAATTATGTTGTCCGTGTTTCGCTTGAAAGGGCAAGTTCTGATCCTGGCACTAGTTTGACAGGGCATTCTACTTATAGATATCATATCCCTTTTTTTTTTTTTACAGAATATTTTTTATTAATTAAATACTTAAATATCTTAGATAAGAATTATTGAGGAACTTTGAAGTTATTTGAATTATAGGGTCAATTTGTTTGAGGAGATCACACCCGCTGAGCTAGCAGCATTTGTGAATTTTGTGAGAACTCTATAATAGAAGAAAAAGGTTTTGTTGTTGGTGTCGGAATTCGTATATAAATCCGGTCTAGCGTTTTGAGCCAGAACAAAAACAAGTTTGATCTACCGAATTCCGATTTAACTTAGAAAACAAGTGTTTTTGATGAATAAAAGTCTACATGACCTAGCAAGGAAGCCCATAAAACTCATCTCCAATCACAATACTTCGGAAGCCGTTATTGTAACCCAAAGTTTGTTGCATCTGATTTTTATTGAAAACAACAATATCAAAACGGTTAAATCTTGGCTATTAAAATTGTGGATGTCAAAATTCTCTTGAGTCACTCTTTCTTTTGTTAGACACAGAATTTTTATAGATAATACTTTTAGACACACTAATATTATATTTATAGATAAATCTTTAAGATCCATAAAAGAATAATATCTCTTCCACCAGGAAACTTTAATTAGGCAGACAAAAGAAACTTCAAAAATCCATTCGCCAAACCATGTGGTCGAGCAAGCATCATAGATAAATTAGTTAGTTTTGTAACGACTCTAGATCTTTGCTTACAATAATTCTGTTATGGTCCCCTTAATGCTATTTTAAGTTAAAAACAAAACAAAAAAGGTAAATGAATTTCCGGTATTATGGGATATACATTCCATTTTCCGACCAGTTGAGATTTTTTGGCATGTCTCATTACTTGGTCAACTAAATTTTTAGTTATCTTTTCGTATCAAATTATTTTGACTAGTCAAGTGGGCATTATTCGGCCACGTAGCCCCAATCCCCACAAATCAGAAAACAATGTCGTGTTTTTCAATCAAATCTCGCAATTATTCATAGAAATCAACTTTGGTTTCTCATCACAATGATACTTTTATGTACAAGTTTGTCAAATACTGTTATCATCCGATTTCACCCAAGTTTTTACAAGCTGCTGGACAATATATGTGTGTGAAATTATCTTTTATTTCTCTTAATACTATGATTAGAATCTTAATAATTAAGGTTATACAATATAAGGTTACGAGTTTCGAGTTTACAGTATTTGCAAAATTATGGGGTAACAAAATCATAATATAGACGGATAGTAATTATGTGCACATCAAAACTATTGATAGGCGGGAAGTAATCGGATTAGACGGAAATAATCGGATTACTGATTTTTTAAAAAGGATTAGTCATTAATCGAGATGGATAGGACGAGTCTAATGATTAAACGGGAATAATTGAAGCTAGACGGAGATTTTTAGAACAAGGCATTCAAGTAGGTTCTATCAGTATGAGACCGGTTCAGTTTTGGTTCTATTCGGAGAAGAAAATAACCACTTTATTAACAAAACGCAGCCGTATTATCTAATTCGGGACCCAATAAGGAAACGTATAAATTTTGACTCCGAAAAAAAAAAAAAACAAAAAAAAAACACCTAACCTGCTTCAATGGAAAAGTCATATACATTTACCTAACCAGACCTTCTTCGCATCTTCCTCTTCCTTCTTGATGTCTCAAATTCTCTTCCTTTAAAGTCCTTAATCAAAACCCTAAACCCATAATTCCAATCCCTCCTTTCGAATTCTTCAATCTCCTTCTCTCTCTCTCTTTCACACACAATCGCTGATCGATTCTGAAATTCGTAGCTATGGAAGCAACAGCGTTATCATCTGGGTTTAATCCTCTAATCAAGCGTAAAGATCACAGATTTCCCAGGTTAGGGTTCGATTTTGTTCTTCGTTTTATGGTTTTACGATTCGCGAATTGTTGATTTATTGGTTTTATGTCTTTATAGGTCATATGCTCAGAGAAAGTCTCTGTCTTTGATTCAATTTGATTCAAAGGAGAGATCTTTTGGACTCAAGAACTCGAAACTTGAAGGGTCTATTGCGATCACGCGTCGTGGATTGAGTTTTAAGACGAATGTGTTTGAGCAAGCTCATTCTGTGACTGGAGATTGTTCTTTTGATGAGGCTAGAGATAAAACACGTTCTCTTGTTGCAGAAGATAAGATTGGTGTCTTGCTTTTGAATTTAGGTGGTCCTGAAACTCTTAATGATGTTCAACCTTTCTTGTATAATCTCTTTGCTGATCCGGTGAGAATCTTTGACTTTGTGTTTTGTGATTTATGTTAAGAGTTGTTTTGGGAATGATGATTGGTTTTGTTGTTGTTGTTGTTGAAGGATATTATAAGGCTTCCTAGACCATTTCAGTTTCTTCAAGGGACTATAGCGAAGTTTATATCTGTTGTTCGTGCTCCGAAATCGAAAGAAGGGTATGCTGCTATTGGTGGTGGTTCTCCTTTGCGTAAAATAACTGATGAGCAAGCGGATGCTATTCGTATGGCGTTGCAAGCGAAGAACGTTGCTGCTAATGTTTACGTTGGTATGCGGTATTGGTATCCGTTCACTGAGGAGGCTGTTCAGCAGGTGGTTTTTAAACTCTAATTGTGATTATTGCTCCTCAGTATTGATGGAGTTTCTTATGTTTGTGTCATAGTCATGTTTATCTTAACAAGCTAATTATGTTTAATCAGATAAAGAAGGACAAAATTACAAGACTTGTTGTACTGCCATTGTACCCTCAGTATTCTATCTCCACGACGGGTTCAAGCATCCGCGTTCTCCAAGACTTATTCAGGTTTGTGCAAGCTACAAAGCATATACGTAGTTTATTGGTTATTTAGTATTAAACGATTTCTTAGTTTCACGAGCGGTCCTTAACATGAATCATCATCATTCAGGAAAGATCCGTACCTAGCTGGAGTGCCGGTAGCTATTATACAGTCCTGGTACCAAAGGCGAGGGTATGTCAATTCCATGGCCGACCTCATTGAGAAGGAGCTTCAAACTTTCTCTGATCCTAAGGAGGTACAGTTATAATCCCCCTCTGTTTTTGCCTCTTCATTACACATTTCTAGTCCAAACAGTGGTTAAATTAGTCCCTTGTCTGTATGATTTAGGTTATGATATTCTTCAGTGCCCATGGTGTTCCGGTCAGCTACGTAGAAAATGCTGGAGATCCGTACCAGAAGCAGATGGAAGAGTGTATTGACTTGATAATGGAAGAGCTAAAAGCTAGAGGGGTTCTTAACGACCATAAATTGGCATACCAGGTTTGTTCACATCATCCGTTGTAAAAGTTGCTTGGCATTACCTCTTCATGTCAAACCCTCTAATTGATTCTTGCAATAATCCTTTCTTTTCCAGAGTCGTGTTGGGCCTGTTCAATGGCTGAAGCCATACACCGATGAGGTTCTTGTCGACCTTGGTAAGAGTGGTGTTAAGAGTCTACTAGCCGTTCCAGTCAGGTGAGAGACCATATAATAATCCCTGTTAGCTCATTTCCGTATTGTGGAAGAGATACTTTCCAATCAGCCATTATCAGATTCTATAGTTACTGATCATTTCGGCTTTCTCAATTTTCTGTCTTATTTTGGATCTCAGTTTCGTGAGTGAGCACATTGAGACACTTGAAGAGATAGACATGGAGTATAGGGAACTAGCTCTGGAGTCAGGGGTAGAGAACTGGGGACGGGTACCAGCACTAGGTCTCACACCATCCTTCATCACCGACTTAGCTGATTCAGTGATAGAATCGCTTCCTTCAGCAGAAGCAATGTCGAACCCAAATGCAGTACTCTCAGAAGATAGCGAGTCTTCAGATGCTTTCAGTTACATTGTCAAGATGTTCTTCGGTTCGATTCTGGCTTTCGTCCTACTTCTCTCCCCAAAGATGTTCCATGCTTTTCGGAACCTATAGAATCTCGTTGGTTTTGTGTTAATCGTTTCTTAGAGAAATGTCTTGGTCAAATTCAATATATATAGTCCAATCTATTGAAGTACTAGTACACCAGTTCTAATAAGCTGATGTGGGTAAGTAGTTCAATAGATTGGACTATATATATTAAATTTGACTAAGAGATAAACTAGAGAATGAGAATAAAGAATGAGAAAGTTCTTTGAGGAAGAGACGATTTAGATGCATTTAGCTACTATAAACATAGTGCTACGTTCCTCTTAGAGATGAGGAGAGAATTATATTCTATTATTATTTGGTTTCTTTTTTTCGTTTTTGTTTGGTTTCAGTACTTTTTTTTCACAAAAAGTGGTACCATTTTAAATACTTAATTGTTAAAAGTATCCTATAATTTTGTTGTTCATAGTGTTACAGATTTAAATAATACCAAAGAACACAATACACAATGTTTAAAGTACAAACGCTCCATCAATTCACGTTCCATTAGACGAAAACGAGGAATGGTCCACATATACAAAGGTGACGAACACATCATAAGGGTCTCTCTCAATCTTTCTATACAAATATACACACATAGAAACTCTGCTTTTGGCAAAACCTTTGACAAAAAAAAAAGAAAGTATGACAGTTCAAGTGGGAAATATCAAATATACACACCTTTGACAAAAAAAAAAAAAAAACTCTGCTTTTGGCTCTATGACAGTTCAAGTGGGAAACTTATTCCGGTTGTGTCTGGATTAACCCTTGTCGTGAGAGATTCTCAATGGAATCCGCAATAACTCTGGCGCTTGACTTCATGTACCCGCCTGCACAAAGTATTATCACATAACTTCTTTTATTCTTTAAAAACCATTACTCACAAAGGCCATACATTGTTGATTTATATATGTTAAAATCCAATTTAGCACCTGAAGTTAGCATCACAAGAGGAATATTTTTCTCCCTTGCAAATCTGAAGACTTTCTCGTCTCTACTCGTTATGCCATCGGGGCTTATCTGTCACACAAGAGTCACCAAGTTAGAGACATTGTAACTGAGAAAGAAACTATATATTCTGCTGCGATATAAATGCGTCATCTGCAGTATATAAATTACCTTTAGAAGTCCTAGAGGGTCACCGTCTAATATATCTGTCCCAGCATTGTAAATTACCAACTCCGGTTGGAAGTTTCGCGAAGCAACCTGACAGTTATACATAGGTTCTTCTTAAGATCCCTAAAGACCACATAGTTTTTTTGAGGAACCAAGTTTCTATGCTCATAATCTATCATCTCCAGTCAGACTATATATCACATAAGTAAACCGCCAGGAAACATGAAATTTAAGGAATGCTCGAATGCATACCTCAAGGGCTTCATCTAGTTTCCTCAAATACTCATCGGTGGTGGTCCCGCTCTGTCAAGATATACGAAAAGGACAGAACTATAATGTGACACAAAACAATCAAACTAATTCTAGCTGATACATGTAAGACGATAGGCTTACCACGACCTCAATGTTCTGATCGATAAATCTCCTAGCTCTATAATCCTGTGAGAAAAAGAAAGAGAGAAAAAAACAGAGCAGATACATCCAACTGTCAAAAGCAAGCACAGAGGTAACTGCACTATAAGTTCCAAGGAATGGAAATGACTTCAAAAGTGCAAAGCTCCAAAGATGACAGCTTACGAAAGGGTATATCTCGGGATTATACATATCCAGAATGTAAACGCGGTCTGCAGACAATATACTGTTATCACCATACCAAACACCATTATGACAAAGGATCATGAAATAAAATAAAAAAGGTTTTATCATACTGTCATCGCCGAGATCTGTTTCGTGGCCATTCCCTTGATGAGCATCAAGATCTATTATCATAACCCTGTTCAAGTTTAACAAGGTCAAGGAGATGATTAACATATCAAGGTCTAATCAGATACCATTAGATAAACTTTACCTTGATAATCGCAGACGAAGAAACGCAAAGTGAATACAGAGAGAAATATCAGCAAAAGCACAAAATCCGCCTCCTCTTTCCGCAGTACAATGATGAAAACCTCCTCCAATGTTTATTGCCCATCCACGTTCTGTTGCGAGTTTAGCTGCCAGAATCGTCCCACCAACCTGTCACACACCGATTTTATAATCACTCCACAAATATAAACTTCTCGTAAACAATCAAAGTAGTAATGCAACAAACGATTCTTCAACCTGCTTTCGGAATGGGTAAAGAACTTTCTGCTGCACAAGAAAATTCGGAAAAAACGCAACTGGTGGAACCTATACATTGTAGAAAACTTTAGTTCAACAATACTCAAACAGATCATTCAGTGACCAATTCTCATTTAAAATCCAACATTACCTCGGTTATCCTAGCGACAGTGGCACTACTTTTCAAGCTGTTTAAGTAATTCTCAGAATGTACCTAATACAAAAAAACCGCAAACGAAAGGTTACACAACCATCAAGATGCCAATACATAGAAAAAGGGAACCATATGACTTATAGCCATCAGTGATTGATCACATATTCACAGTTCATACATCTAAGAGAAACCAAGTAGTACCACTAAAAGATCAGTCTTTGAAGCTTCAAGAGGCTCAACAATTGCTTTCTCCTCCAAAAACCCATCTGAAACAAGGAACTTGCAAACTCTACCCCACTTGGAAGAATCAAATGGATGCCTTCACATACCAAATCTCAACATCAGAAAGAAATAAAAACACCAACTTTCGAATTCCCAAGATTGATCAACAGAGAAAGACTCACAATTTCTCAATACCCATGAAGGAAATATCATACGCCGATGAATAGATAATCGAAACCTATCAATCAAAATCAAAATCAAAAACCATTTCTCACTTCTCAGTCAAAGTCGTGAAATTTCTCCCATAGACATGAAAACTCTGTTACCTTTGAAAGAGGAACGTCGAAGTAGAGTTTGCTGTTGAGAATTCGTTCTCGTCGGAGAGCTTCGGGATGAGTCGCCATCGAAAACGATGATATTTCAGATGTTCGATTACAGTAGAAGAGAAATTTGTAGACTTTGATGGCGAAAAACGTGAAGAGCAAGTAAATAGCTGAGTCGCGAGTTAACTCGGTCCAGGTCGAGATGACTCGGGTATTTGTCATATGAGGTTTTGGTCTGAAGCGGTGAGAGATTTTTTTGTTGGAGAAGACGACGACAAATTTCAAAACGCAGGGAAGAAGTGCGTTTCATTGACTTTCTCTTGGGCAAAAAAAAAATTAATCCTCAAGACTAATTAGTTTATTTTCGTTGACCAAAAAAAAATACTTCACAACCATGTATTAGATTGTTTAATAAAAGGATCTCCTAGCTACATATATTTGATATACGATTTAGGGTTTGATTGGTTGTCCCGTTAGCGGTTAGTACAATCATATAAACCGTTCCATACGGGTCTAGAGGAGGAATGAGACCACGAATAGTAACGGTTGTGTTATAAACTAAATTTGCATCGTGATTCAACATTTTAACTCGTTAGAATCTGATCTCACATGGAAAGTATGAAAGGATCATCACTAGAGAGCCCCAGCACATGGTGATGAAACATTCCAATGGGACTTCCACTTTAGAAGAGCTTCACTTAAAAATTTTTTTAGTTATATATATGTATAATTGTAAATATGAGAAAAATAGTAAGTTTGATGAACAGTTTTTGAAAAAAAACCCATAAAAAAGTTTTTTTTTTTTAAGATTTAAGTTATTGTTTCTTTTGTTTTAAGGATATAATTGTACTATATTTTTAAAATAATAGTTTTGTTTAAATTGATTATTTTTACTTTATAATTTTAAAAAATATTAAAAATTATAATGTTATTTTTTTTCTTAATTCTAATAGGGCCCCAAAATTCATTGGTCCTGCTCTATATAGAAAATATTGGACAATTTATTCATTGTCAATTAGTTTTGAAGAAGCATATGAAACTCATGATACCAAAGCTTCCTTTGTTGATCTAAGTAGGGTAGCCCAAGAAAGTTTTCTTATCGGTCCTATAGTGGGATTCGGTTTGAGATAGACTGATAAGAACTATTATCTCGAGTTCGTGTGTTAGGATCACATAACGAAACACTACATTGATTTAAAAAAGATAATGATTAACTCACTGTCAATTAGTTTTGAATTGGAAGCATGTGAAACTTAAATTAACTCACCATTACGAATCTGCCCAATATACAAGTTTTATCTCCCCGATTCAAGATTTTCGAACTAAGAGAAATTTTAGAGATTATGACCAAATGTTTGGAACTTCTATAGTTAATAAAAAAAAATATTAACTATAAAAAAAATTGTGATTCGAAATAATAAACTACACCATAATTTTTAGTGTAGTATCGTAAATCTCAAAGTAAACTTTTATGTGTATTTGTAACCCCATGAATATATCTCTCAAGATAGTGTCGTCCGAGTCTAATACAAAGTGAAGGGGTATAAAAAATGAATAAGTAATATCAATGGTTGAGACTCGTAGTAGTCGAATGGTTTGTGTTGTATCATTTTCAAACCCATAAATTGCATGTTATCGACAAAAAAATAAAATGAATGATTGTTGGATAAAAAGAATTGAAGATTCACCATTTCCAAACCCATTTGCTTTTGAGAACATCAACATATTTCCTGCGACTATCCCCTCCTCCATCTTTTACGATCCTTCTTAGATATAATCCATCTCTCTTCCCTACCCAAAAGCACTCGTCCCCTCCCACCCCACATTCCTTTCGAAACCCGCCTTTGACAGAAAACACCGTCACAACGTCTTCGTTCGTGGTTCCAAACCCGCTACGAAACTGGCAACGGAACTCAGTTTTCTGAAAGGGCCACATGTTCATTGTCGTAAACGTCCATACCCGTGATTGCTTTGGCTTTATCATATCCCACCCTAGGTCATCCTCGTTTGACCAGCACCGCACGGCTAGCTTCACTTTACGGACACTAGCGACCCCTGATATTTCGTTCTTTAGCTCTAGACGACCCGCCATGGTTAGTGTGGGTAACAAAGCTGCTGCTACCACCACAACCGTCGCCACGAAGAAGCACCAGCCGAGGTCTCTCCCCATTTCGATCAAATGATCGCTATGTTTTCTTAATTCTTGATTTCTTCGAGTCTTGGTGCTTACGGAACAAATTGAGTCAGGTAAAGATGGAACCGATATATAATGTGTATTAACTGGCAATTAGACCGTTACTGTTGCGGCTTCCAAATTTAGAAGTACTAGAAGCTATTTTCATCTATATTTGGAGATAGAACAGAGAATAAATCCCAAAAGTTGAAAAATATATAAAATGTGCTGTTTCAGAAACTTTGACCACAAATCATCTTTGAGATTGTTTATCACATAGGTATGATGGTTGAAAAGTTTAGGACGTTATCATACACCTTTTTAGTTTTATAACGCGTTTTTGTAACTTTTTCACTATTCACATTGATCAAGATTTCAAGTTTTCATGTTTACAAAAACAAGATTATTATATGTTTACACACATGTTAAAAAATAGATATATTGTATCAGTTTTGTGCTAAATTAAATCGTTAAACCGGATTCTCTTCATTTGTACTTATTGTCCTCCGTTGTGTTTACAAAAAAAAATAAAAACAATAAATAACAACATTATTTTCCACATTTTTGTATCAGAGCACAATGGCTTGCATTATTTGATTTTCTTTGCTCACTCATTTTTTTTTGTCTATAGTCGTCAATGTCACTTAACCTACTTCATAATTTTTCTTCGATTTAGCTGATAACTGCTTCGATTTCTTGATAAATATAGATTGTAACACCCTGGTTTCAGAAATATGGTGGTACATGCGGAGAGGTTTAAAAAGAATTGATTTGGCCACCTATATCACCAAAGTGCACTTATCTTTTCGGTCATCCGTCCTGAGAGAACTCCACAGTTAAGCGTGCTTGAGCTGGATCGGAGTAGTTTCAGGATGGGTGATCTTCCGGGAAGTGATTGTCAGAACTGTGTGAGTCAGGACAAAACATAGGGAAAGATCATGTGGTGATATGTAGGATCGGTAAACAAGTCTTTAAAGCCTCCAAGACGGAGCGGACCGGCCGTCGGACAGGGGTGGGCCCACGGCCCGAGAGAGGACGTGGGGCCTACAAGTAGAGGCGGTCGGGGCGTTACAATAGCCCCTTCAAGAATCTCTATTGGTAGCGACTAAAGTTCTTGGGTAATTATCTTGCATTGCAAAAAATTTTTATTGTAAATTTAATGTTAAATTATATTCAAAAGAAAAAACATATCGCTTTTACAACAAGTACGACGTTTTCGAATTAAAACTGAAAATTTAGAAACAATAGTGTTTTAAGCTCTTGAATCAAACCACATTTTTTTGGTCAACTCACACTTGAATCAAACCACATTTGAAGCCCTTTGTCATACCGCCTATCAGCCATGATTCTGATCGATGAAAGGTTGTTTCGAAGTTGAAGCCATTTGTCATATTGCAAAAAAAAATTTAAATTACCTTTTAGGTTATGGAGTTTCCCCTTTTGGCCTAGAATCTCCTGGTCGACCAGAGACCAGACATGTAAACTTGTCCAGTTTCCATCATCAAGATTTGCCCTTGTGATCTTAAGGCGCAATTCCCTTTGAAAGATCCCATAAAACACCAGAAGAGCTAAATACTCTAGATAAGGCATCTCTTGTTCCATGAATCTACTATTTAACTTGATGTTATTTATTTGTTTTACCATTAACTAATATATGTACCCAGCTATAGATCTATTCCCAATATAACAACATATTATAGATACGTTCTTTCTCATTTTCACCATATATAGTTACACATTGTATGATTTTATTATCCCGAATAACAACATACAGAGACGAAAATCACGATATCCTCGCGATTTTCATAACAATCAACATCCCCAAATTATTAATTAGCTCCAAGGGTTCTCGAGGACATCATGTGGGATATAGTCATTCCACCTTTCATTACCATACTTGTTACTAAAAAATATGGTCTTCCATCGTCTCAAGTAGAGTCCGTCCTTCTTAACGACCCAAGTGCATTTGGTCCTGTCCCCACACCGGTCTTTTAGGTCCCACGACACAACTAGCTTCTTCTCCACGCGTCCATACCCTGTACGGAAGTGGCAGTAGAAGAAGGTGTGGAATAGCGAAATGGCGAAGGACCAGTCCTTGTACTGACCTGGCCAGTTCTGTCGCCACCCGAAATCATTATCGCGGGACCAGCATTTGTACACAAGCTTCCTGTACCTTCCCGATAGCTCGTTCTTGATCTCCAGTCGAAATCCATGGGAGTGAGTCACCATCATTATGGTGATGATAAGTATAAGAACAAAGTTCCCGTTGAGGGTTTTGGGAATCTTGTTAGTTCCCATATGTGTAATTCTGATTATGTTCGTTGTTCTTTAATTTTTGCCCACTCGATTTTGTTTTTGGATCTCTTGACGTTGATAGCGTTTGTACAGAAACTACTATTTTTAGACATATAACGGTAATGATTCAGTTATTGCCGCATCCACAACTTTGTTACTGTTTTTAGACATGTAACCTGTCAAGGGGAGGGAACAAGTCATTCTCCTACCTCCACATTTCTATTATCTTTTTGTTGAATTATTTTTATTTTAATTATAAATAATAACTCTACGTTATTCATAAGGGTTTATTCAGTTTAGCTTGTTAGCGTTATCTATATATACATTTTTGGATCACAATTAGCAAATAAATCCTGAAGTTGAGAAGTATTTACAATGATATGCCATTAGCATTAATTATTTAGATTTGTTTTATTTAAGTAAAAATTTTTAATTGAAATTCATTTCTCATATATTTAGCAAAAGTCTCTACAAAATCTTTCCCTATCTATTTAAGTAAAGATTTTAAAATCAAATATGTTCTCAACAATTTACCAAAAATCTCTACACAATTTTTTTAAAAATCTCGACTTAGTTAACTTCTGATTTTTATCTGCAAAAAAAAAAATTAATTATAACGAGTGATGTAAAAATCCGGAATGTTGATACTACAATTTCTTCTACTTCTTTTTTTTCATATAATGAAAATTATTTTTTAGGGATATTTTCTTAAAACCTCTAAACAAAACAAAGGGTTTCAAAAGATAGCTTCTCTTTTGGCGGGTCGACCCGCAAACCCGCAATTCTCTACGGGCTTATCCGCATGAACCTGCGACCCGTAGTGGATAAAAATATTATTAAAAAAAAATAACAAATGATGTTTAATTTTACGGGACGGGGTTATATGGTGCAACGGGTTTAGATCAATAATAATATTAAACAATATACTATGGATGAAATCCTAGAATTAAAAATCAAAATTTAATTATAAAATCAGAAACACTAAAAAAAATAAACAATATTAACTAAACAAATACAATTTAAAATTTTGCAAAATAATTTTTTAGTTATAAAAAAATCGACCCGCGGTGTACCGCGGGGTAAAATCTAGATTTGGAAGTTTAAGGAAGAAAAATCTTTTTTAAAAAATAATAGCTCCGCGGTGTACCGCAAGAAAAATCTTTCTCCTAAACTGAGGCAAGAAGAAGAAGAAAGCCAAATATATAGATATACCATTTAAACCTAAAACACAATTAATATACTCAAAATTATTAATATAGATATATGGATGGTACATTTATAAAATAGGTCGAAATATTATATTATACTCTCTATTAATAAACAAAACTAATTATATTTAGATTTTTTTAAAAAAAATTATAGCCCCGCGGTGTACCGCGGGTTCAAATCTAGTTGTTGTTAAAATCCACTTTGTGAAAAGAGAATGGCCTTTAAACATATAAGCAATGCGGGATATGTTAGTGATAGTTAGTCATTTGTTATAGTCGCTATTTTTCTAAAATATGAGATCTTCTCAATACCCGCCATTTCGAATATCGATGTCTATGCACGTCAGCCTACTCGAATTGTATACTCTAGGCCGGCTTCTCTGGCTAATCAGGTCACTCGCTATTCTATAGTTTTGAAGAACGGCATGCGTAACATGTCTGAAAAACATCAATCTGACCAACATAATTTTTTTTAAGAGGATCATTTTTCTTAAGAAGTACTTAATAGTTGAGACTACTGGTTAAGCAAGCATATCATTTAGAGGGAGGCCTTAATAAGCAAAAGAAGAGAAGTTTAAAATGCAAACAAAAGGCGAAGCCAGCTTAGCCAGTTGACTACAAATACTAATTATTCAGTACTTAATATAATACTAATATATACTTGAAAACTACGATCTTGAATAAATCTTCAAGTTAGTGGGAAGCCTCTACGAGAACTTTCAAGGACTATATATATAAACATAATTGGGTCTAAGGATCTCAACATCAACCTAAAATATGGTGTCTCTAGGACTTTCCTTAACCCTAGTTTTTCTCTTGGCAATCATATTCACAGTTGCTGAATCTAAAAACAACAGAAAACTCCTGCCAACTCCCACTAACTACCAACCACTATATTCTCCTTCTCCATCGCCTTATCGGCCTCCAGTTACTCTTGCTCCTCCTCCTCCACCTCCGGCTTATTCTCGTCCGGTTGCTCTTCCTCCCACACTTCCGATTCCTCATCCTTCTCCTCATGCTGAAAGATTCTACTACAGGCAATCTCCTCCACCTCCCTCCGGAAAACCTTGGTGGTGGTTGTTGTAGGCGGTAACTCAGCACAAGATATTTTCAATGCCTTGAAACATGAAGAGTGCATTATTGCTGTCTTAACTTGGTTTTGATGTTTCTCGTTTTTCCTTAGGTACTTCTATTTTGTAATGTGAGTGAAGTTTTTACCACTGGGTTAGTTCAATCCTTTTTCGTGGTTTTGCATGCTTTTTTTTTTTGTCATTTTGATACTATAAATTTCTTCAACTCAGCCGCTGCCGCATTATATTGACAAAAAAAAAAAAAAATCTCTTTTGACTATATATATACACATCAAATGTGAAGTATTGTTGACCGATTAGTACTTTTTTTTTTTTTTTTCAAAGTAAGGAAGGACCAGACGATATAGAATATGTCCTAATACAAACTCATCAACCAAATAAAAGTAAAAATCAAAAATCCATACGCAAGCCTTAAAAAAAAGGACGAGTCAATTAGTACCCACCACATGATACAAACGAAAATGACCAACATAATCGATTATATACCATCTGTAGATTATAAAAATTGTACATATCACACAAAGAAATTCAACTACTTCTAACGTTTGGTTCCCGGGCGGAAAGTCGGCCGTTTCATACCCGACTTAAATTCAAGTATTCAATTCATACATACCTGCTTCGTATGTGCTAAAATATACCCAATCTTTTTAAAAATTCAAATTTCATACTTGTATTTACCAAATCATGCGAAATCATACATTCTGCTGACGTGGATGCCACGTCGTTGATGATGTTGATGACGCAGCTGCCACGTCCTTGTTGACGTCGTTGCCACGTCATCATCACCTTAGAATTTTTTTTTTTTTCTCTTGACCTTTTTCTTCTTCATTATTATCATCCGACAGAACTGTGAAAATTTACTTTTTTTTTTTAATGTAAGCATTTAAAATCTTATTTTTGATACTTATAACCAGTATTTCAACCGGATATATTATTTAAACCGAGTTTATAAATTCGTAATTCAAATTCAAATCGTTTTTAGTGAAGAACATAAATCCTACAATAATCGTATATGGTAACCAAAAGACATTTTTAAGTTGAAGACAAAAAACAAGAAAACTTAATTTATAAATATTGGTTATTAGTATCGAAAATAAGAAAACAATCTCGTAATATCAAAAAAGTATTTTTTTTTACAGTTTTGTTAAATGATAGTAATGAAGAAGAAAAAGATCAAGCGAAAAAAATATTTTTTTTGAAGTTGATGATGACGTGGCAATGATGTCATCAAAGACGTGGCATCCACGTCAGTAGAATGTATAATTTCGCATGATTTAGTAAATTTAGGTATGAAATCTGAATTTTAAAAAGGTTGGGTATATATTAGCACATAAGAAAATGCTAGTTATGAATTGAATACTTGAGTATAGGTCGGGTATGAAATGACCGACTTTTCGTTCCCGGGCCGGTCCTAACAATGTTGAGGCCTAAAGCACCTTCGCAATTTTTTTAATTTATATATAGTATTATGTCTTATTGATTTAATATATGTTTTTACTTTGAGTTTTATTTGATTTAATATCTATTCGTAGTATAAAAATAGGGAATGAAGGTTTGGAAAAAATGTATAATTAAAGTATATATATACTATACATAAATATGTGTTTTACTTTTAGCTAGTTTTATAGTGTTTTATTTTCTTTTTTGGTAATAATTTGTTTAGTGTAAAATTTAATAACAGTTGCATTAAAATAAATTATGAGAAATAAAATAAGAATATAAAAGGTTTATGTGAAAAATTAATAGAAAGGGGAAAATGCTAATGTGAAATAGAAATAAAGAAAATGAGAACAATGGGGACTATATGATCAATCTCCACTTACATAATTTAAAAATTATATACTAATAAACACTCTCGATATGTTGACAAAAAAACACACCCTCGATATGTGGCCTAATTAAATAGTATTTGAATGGTGGCCTAAAGCATTTGCCTTATGGGAGGACCGGAATTTGTTGTCTATCTTAAGTTTTCTTTGCCTTTTTTAGTAAATAGTTTTGCGACATTACAGAAATGATATGCCCTAATCATCCACAAATCATTCCCCTACATCCACAAATTTGTTTTTTTTTTTTGTTGAATTATTTGAATTTTTATTAACCCGAATAAAAACTCAACAATATAAGGGTTTCATCCGGTTTAGCTTATAGCGTTATTGTTTTAAAAAATCCACTTTGTGAGAAAAGAATGGCCTTTAAACTTATAAGCAATGCCGAGATATATATATATATATATATATATTTATATGTCATATGTTAGTGATAGTTAGTCATTTATAGTCGATATTCTTCTACATATGAGATCTTATCAATACCGCCATTTCGAATATCAATGTCTATGTAGGTCAGTCTAGTCGAATTGTATACTATAGGCCGGCTTTTCTGGCTAATCAGGTCACTCCTCCTCTTCCGTACTTTTGAAGAAAGGTAAGCGTAACATGTCTGAAAAAACATTAATCTGATCAACATACTTTATTTGTCAAGTAATTAGCAAAATACTTGTATAATCCAAAAGAATATCCTTTTTCTTATTAAGTACTTAATAGTTGATATTGATACTATTGGTTAAGCAAGCTTATCATTTAGAGGGAGGCCTTAATAAGCAAAAGAAGAGTAGTTTAAAATGCAAACAAAAGGCGAAGCCAGCTTAACCAGTTGACTAACAAATACTAATATTCATTACTAAATAGTTATATTCCTAATATATACTTGAAAACTAATCTTGAATAAATCCTAAAGTTAGTGGGAAGCCTCTAAGAGAACTTCCATGGACTATATATGAAAACATAATTAAGTCTAAGGCTCTCAACATTAACCAGAAAAATGGTGTCTCTAGGACTTTCCTACACCCTAGTTTTTCTCTTGGCAATCTTATTCACAGTTGGTGAAGCTAACAACAACAGAAAACTCCTGCAAACTCCCACTAACTACCAACCGCTATATTCTCCTCCTCCCCCGGTTTATTCTCGCCCGGTTGCTCTTTCTCCTCCACCTCCAATATATTCTCCTCCTCCTACTCCGATCTATCCACCTCCAGCATATTCTCCTCCTACTCCGATCTATCCACCTCCAGTATATTCTCCTCCTCCTACTCCGATCTATCCACCTCCAGTATATTCTCCTCCCTCTACTCCGATCTATCCACCTCCGGTTGCTCATTATCCTTCTCCTAAAGCTCATCCTGCTCCTCAAGCTCAAAAAGCCTTCTACTATAGGCAATCTCCTCCACCTCCCTCCGGCAAACCGTGGTGGTGGTTGTTGTAAGCGGTAAGAGGTTTCTGAGGACAAGATATTTTCAATGTCTTAAAACATGAAGAGTTGCATTACTGTTGTCTTAACTTGGTTTTTATGTTTCTCAATTTTCCTTAAGGTATTTAATTTCTATTTTGAAATGTGAGTGAAGTTTTTATCCACTTGGTTTGTTCAATTCTTTTCCGTGGATTTTTTTTTCTTTGTGTCTTTGATACTATAAATGTCTTCAAGCCACGCGCATGTTATTGACCAAAACAAATCTCGCTTTACTACACATCAAATGTGCAGTTTTGTTGATCGTTATGACTTGTTTTTTTTTTCCATCAAACAAAAAAAGAACTAGACGATATAGAATATGTAAGCTATAAAAAAAAATATTAAAAAAAATTAAATTAAATCCATACGCAAGCCGAAAAAAAGGACGAGACAATTAGTCCACCACATGATACAAACGACAATGACCAACACGATCGATTCAATACCATCTGTAGATAAAAAATTTGTACATATCACACAAAGAAAGTCAACTACTTCTAACGTTTTGTTCTCTTTCTTAGGTTTTTCTTTGCCTTTTTTTAGTAAAACGTTTTGCTACTTTGGTAAGCGACATTACAGAAATGATCTGTCCTAATCATCGTCTTCCTTGTCCTCATCAACATCTTTTTCATCGTCTGACCTGGTTCTGTTGCTGGTGCGTTCCCGCAAAGCCTTTAGCTGCCGTGGAGACCACGCCTTCCATGGCTCGACAAGCTTGTCAACAGGCCTCACGAACTCAAGAAATCTTAACAAGATATTGTGCGGATAATAGGTCTCAAAACCAACGAAGTATACACCATTCGGCCTAATGATATATTTACACAAATGCCCTCCGCACAACGTAGATGTCATCGACAACGTCTTAATCTCAACCTCCGCTGTCCCTTGGCTTGACTTGAATTCACAACGGTGGATGACCACGCCGGTTCCAAATGGCGGGACTTCAAAATCCCATGTAAATTCCGCATGGGGAATCGATACGTGCCACCGAAGGGATTTGCCAGACGACTTGCACCGGTAGAGAACCGATGGACGTTTCAAGCCATACATTTCGTTCTTCATCATTAGCGTGAAACCCACGTCTCCTACCATCGAATCCCCTTGAAATATGATAGCTTGCAATACAAGACACCAAACTAGGGCTCTAATCGCAACACTATTTTCCCCTCTCATGTTTTATTCTTCTTCTTCTTCTTCTTTTGTTTTAATAACTTTCTCCAATTCTAAACTAGGGCTTTAATGGCAACACTATTTCTTTTTCCTTTTTTTTCTTCTATTGGTTTTCTTTCTTGATGACACTTTAATTTCCTTTTGATTTTATATATTTTACAAAAGAAAACGAAAAGTTAAGGAAGGAAATTAGTTTTGTAGGTACTAACGAGATAACCAATTCCAAAAATCAGTGTATATAGTCGGATAATAATAAAAGGGACCTAAGTTATCTCTAACAATGTAGTAATTAGTGATACCAATTGATTTGTTACAGCAAACATTATAAAGTTAACAACATTATTGTTAGAACTTCTAACAGTATTTTCCGGTGATGTGTACATTTTCCTACACGTTTATATTAGTTGCGCTAAAGCTTGTGTTTGGTACTCAAATTTAGTTTTCCGTTATACCATCGGACGTTAAATGTTAAAATAGTTATTAGGGATTAGGGAATAATCCAAAAACCTTAACATTGAATATGACATGATCTGAAAAAAATATGACATGATCTAAATAGTTCTTTAACAATATATATAAAAAAGACATTATCTAAATAGATTTATAGAAAACATTTTGGTTTATTAAAGAAAGTGTATCCAAATTTTACGTTTAGCGCCGTTAATTATTTATAAAATTTATGAAGTCATTTTGATTTTCTTTATCTAAACGAAATTGCTATCATTCTTTTCCAAACTATATATGATCAAATTAGAGATGTTCTTAAAACTTTCAAATATATAATGTAAATTTATAATGTGGAGAATAACACAATGTAATAATGTAGTTTCTTATAGACGAACCAACATCTAAAGTGTAATTTTTTAACCATCTTTTTACCTTATAAACGCAAAAGAGAAATATATATAAAAATAATTTTGTTTGTTTTGGCCTTGGTATTTGTATTTTACAGAATTTTTTGTGGGAACCTAATTTATATTTCTGGTAGAAAATAAGAACTTTACATAAAAATGATGAATTGAGTTTATCAAACACTACAACAACTTAATTATCGATAGCCATATTTTCCTTTAAAAGATTAAACTATGTTCTTGAATTCATTAGCAATGGATTTCTTTCGTCATAAAATGTTATTCAACAAAAACAACTTCTTCATTGTTAATTAGCAAGATTTACTTACGAAATTAAAATTTAATATATTATATTTAAATAATCATATTTTTAATTTTGCAACTGGTGAATCTTAAAATAAATAATCTAAAAATAATTAACAACGCGATCTACCAAGGGTCAATCTTTGGACTGGTGGTGATCTTAGTGGGACAGATCAGTTATAATGGCTTATAATATCTCTCAATAGTATATCTTATATAATATGAGAAGGTTTTCTTCTAACTTTTCCTACCATTGTGACATTTGGCACTCTCTTTTGGTGACATGTGTCCTCTTTCATTTCATTAATGTTTGTTTTAATTTATTTAAAATCCTTAGTTTTGAAATTTTGTACCTACAATTTAATTCCAAAAAGATATTTCTCTTATCCTATTGATACATTTGACATGTATTTAAATTGAAATTTGTGTCTAATTTGTTTTGCCAAAATTATTATCTACTTAATCACCACTTATTCATTTGATTCAAAATTATGGATCAGTTAAATTTTAACTTCACAAAATATTAGTACATTTTTAAAACTTCTCATAATAATAGTACATTTGGCATCTATTTTTAAATTTAATTGTTTTCCTCATTTTTCTATCTTACATAATATTTTCATATCTCCATAATATACATTTCTAATCTTTTCTAATTTGTCTCTTTTTTTTTCTTCTTTCCAATCTAACTTTTGAAAAAAAAAATTTATAACACCACTTTATTCTCACATTTTACAACTCCAAGTTGGAGTATTTATTTACAATTTTTATTACACAATACATTTACACAAAATATTAGTACATTTTTAAAACTTCTCATAATATTAGTACATTTGGCATCTATTTTTAAATTTAATTGTTTTCCTCATTTTTCTATCTTACATAATATTTTCATATCTCCATAATATACATTTCTAATCTTTTCTAATTTGTCTCTTTTTTTTTCTTCTTTCCAATCTAACTTTTTAAAAAAAAAAAAATTATAACATCACTTTATTCTCACATTTTACAACTCCAAGTTGGAGTACTTATTTACAATTTTTATTACACAATACATTTAATGTATTTATATAGTATAATATAATTTACAGGAATTATTAAATTTAATATGTCATCACATACAGTAAAACCTCTATAAATTAATACTCTATAAATTAAAAACTTCTCTAAATTAATAAATTCTTTCGGTTCCGAGTTAGGACCAATGTAAAATATGACATAAATCGATAAATTAATAAGATAATAATTTTTTTCAAGTTGGTCCCAACATTATTAATTTATAGAGGTTTTACTGTATATTGTTTTATAAATGTCTCAGTGAATGAAATTCTAACTTATGTAACACTCAATGTAATTTTAATAAAGAAATATAGTAACATGCATTAATTATATTAATGTATTGTTCCATGTGTTACGCTTCTCTCAAAATAAATGTTTGCGACGAGTTTTTTTCTCCAGTAACGCTTTTCATGTGGCTTCTAATACCGAAATATATTAGTGTTTTTTTTTTGTTCTGGAATTAGTTACCTAAAGTAAAACCCACAAATGAACTTATTAAAACATATGTAACGTCAAATAACTCTAAATTGATGCATTAGGCTAACAGATAACCACAATAACTCCAATTAATTCAAAACATTAAATCTAATTAATTTTAGAGTGTAAATTAATACTCTAAATATTGACTCCAATTAATCTACTTCTATATATTACCCACATGTGAAGCTAAAAAAACTATTGTAGGGTTTTTGCTTTTTCCAGTCCATTCTTTTATTTTTTTATTGACTTTTAGTTGCTTTCTCTTTATTTCAGGCTATCGTCCACATAGTAAAAATATCTACAAAAGTTTTCTCATTTGGTGTTCAAGTTAGGTTTGTGATTTCATATGGTGTTCAAGTTAGGTTCAACAACACCATTAGTTCTACATAAAAGTGTTCTATTTTTTTATGTTCTATTTTTAATTGTTTCACTATTTTTCAACTCACCAATAAGATTTATATACATACATTGAGAAAATTTATATCTATTATTATGGTCAGTTAAAGTGTAATTATAAATTTAAGTATTTAGATAAATGGCATTACATTATATTTATTAAATTTTTACTCTTATGATCTATATGTATTCATAAATTTGAAAACCATAAGTTTGTTAAAAAAGTTATGATATAAATTGAAAAACCATTTATGTAATTATTCTCAACATCACTTATCAAAAAGTTAAGAGTTTGTTTTCAAATTTATGAATACGTAAAGCTGTTTCAAGATGATTTTGTTCTTGAATACGTAAAACTCATGGGATCATGAGTCATTCTTTATTTGATAGTTTATGCCATTCTTTATTTCTTTTACATAATTACTCAACGTTTGAGAGGGATCGACGTTTGAGTTTCATATAGCTTGAGTAAATAGTTTTTTTTTTATTTTTAATATTGTATAACATTTGACTTGATTATGTTTTGAATTCAATTTTTTTTAGTCAATCATACAAATTAAGTAAGAAATAAAGATCATATGAAAGAATATAACATTTGTATTTATTTTTATCAAAGTTTCCATAAAACCAACCCAATGAAATTCAACCAAAAATTTTAAAAAGTTCCACCAAAGATTTTCTTTTAATCTATCCTCATGGGATTTTTGAAAAGAATTATGTTTGCTAAGGGTAATTGCATAGAATATCATAATTGACTAATTCAGTTAAAACCTAACATGCCATTAAAGTATTTAGATAAACGGCATTACATTATATTTATTAAATTTTTGTACTCTTATGACCTATATATATATACAAAGTTTATAAAATGGCATTTTGTTTTTCAAAGAATTGAATTTATATATATATATATCAAAACTGAACTAAATTTTTTTGATATAAACTTTCAAAGATAAAATTTTTATTATATCATCTGAAGTCATTTTCCTAAATTAAATATGATTATAATTAAGTGTAACATATATATTTGTTTTTTGTGCATAGGCTGATTCAATTTAACTTAGGTTTGGGCCAGACCCATTACAAGAGAAACCAGAGACTGTTTTGACAATGAATCGGCATCTGAGTTTTGCAAATGGAGAATGAAACTAAACAAAATAACATCAAAGGTAGAAGATAAATTCAGGATATCGAAAAGAATCCCATGAAGCTCCTTGTGTTGAAGCTCTGATTTTAAAGCTTTGACTAGCTGTGCTGAGTCGGAAGCGAGAGAGAGATGTGAAATACCCAGATTAACTATATAAAATATGTTTTTGCTCATTTGGACCACCTTGCTATTTTATTAAATTTAATCATTATCACAAATTATTTAAATTTTTCTTTAATTTTTAACATATATAGATAAAATTTAGCAAAAAATTAATAAATATGATTATGTTTTACCTTTGATATCCTAATTTTATTATGGATTATATGGATATAATATCTAAAGCTTATTGTCGAGGGAAAGTCATGAGATCAGGAAGATCTACCTTCTGATGAGATCCAACGAGGGAAAACGGCCAATATCAACCCCAATTATCAACTCGAACCCACATAAATTTCAAATAACAAACCTGAACTATGTAATCGTTAGCCAATTTTAACATATACCTGTTATTAAATAATGTAACAAACCTGAATTATTTAACCTTTAGCCAATTGAATAAAATGAATGATTCAGATACAAAAGAACAGATAATTACGACTTAACAATTCTAATCGACATTAACAAATACAAAAAAAAAAAAAAAAACTTTGTTGAAATTGGATAACGGTTAGATAGTTTAGGTTTGTTTTTTGAAAATTGTATGAGTTCGGGTTGATAAGTGCAGGGGGTCAGAGTTTGGGATGAAAAAAGTCGCATAGAAATAGTTGGAGTTGATTTTGACCGTTTTCCCGATCCAAGGATCATGAATCAACAAACAAGAGACTGTACGATGAGGTATGATATATATTTCCACAGTAAAATATTTTATGTAAATTAAGAAAAAGTAGTGGTATATATTTATGTCATACCATCTTGAATAAAAAAGAGCAGAATTTATTTTTTAGCAATTCACAAAAGTACTTCGAAAAGGAACATAAAAGTTAATATTTTAAAAAACAAATTTCAAAAAACTATATTAATAATCGAACGTATTACTTTAATACAAATTTCATTAGTATTCAGAATTAATATTAAATATATAACCCACGCATCGCGTGGGCAGCTTTCTAGTATATATATATACCTCAAGTGAATTTGTCGACCGTTCCAATCCGTTGGAACTTTTGTAATTTATTTTAGTCACGTAATTTTTTCGTTATAACAAATTAATGAATTTTGTATTTAATAGCATATTAGACGATTATATTTTAGTATCTTAATAAATATATTTTGTTTTAATTTTTTTAATTTATTTAAGAATCAAATTAGAGACAAATAATTATTTATATATATATATATATATATATATAGATATAATTTATTAATATTAATATGAAATTTTCTTTGATAGAAATTACAAATGGATTAGTGATATATTTTTTAAAAATTAATTATTCCTCTTTTGTCACTAAGCCACGATATACTGGAAATGTTTTCGAGCTAAATTAGCTAAAAGAACCCCCAAAAGTATGTAAATATATGAATATTTTAGCTAAAGAACGAAACGTAGATAATAAAACCTACTTAAAGTATCTAAATATCTTGTTACATCAATAATAAAAGTTTTGGCCTGTTTTTGTTTTGTCTTTTCTTCTGAGATATTGTTTCTTGAAATAAAATAAAAACAGAAGGATAGAAAATTTGTAATATTTTTGCAATTGTACAAACTAAAATGTAAAATTTCAAAGTGTAAAAGATAAATTAAGGGATTCAAATATTTCAAAAGAATGCACACTAACGTAAGATAAACAAAATTTCCACAAACATATAATAACTCCATAGTAATGTTCATCAGAAATTTCTTAACAAAGTTCTCCCTTTGAAACCACAATGATCCATATGGATGGTTTAGCCTTATGGGCACTAAATCATTGTGAACCCGAGGGTCGACGTCCGCTTCCCTGGCCCCCACTGCTACGGCTGGTGCGTCGTGGCCAAGGTTTCCACTTAGCTTCGAGGTATTTCTTTGGTATCAGCCTTGGATACCTCTCCTCAAAATTCCATTCTTTACCATCAAATGTTATCCCTTCCGGTGTAACCTCATGAATCGCACATGCCTTTTTAAAATTACAAATCTCAGCATCAATCGCGGTCATACGGATATCGACATCCGCTGTACCGAGCACTGACCGAAAATGGCAGCGGTGAATCTCCTCCTCTAGTTTTTCGCCGCCTTCCAAGAGTACATGGAAGGAATGGCCCAATGGTGGCTTTGTGGCTCGTCGCCATCCATAATCAAGGCCACTATTTATAGCATGACAGTGGTAAACGATCTCTGGACGTTTCAAGCCTTGCATTCCATTTCGTATCTTCAGCTCCGTTGTGACAAAATGTGACCTCCCGGCGTAGGAGACCACGGTGACGTGTACTACAAGCAACCACACAAGGATTCTTATCAATTTATGAATGTTAAACGTCATGACTTTAATTTGTTTTCCCTTGTCGTGAGAATTTGCCTCGTTTCGTTATCTTTGGTTTTTGGGATTTGGCTTGTTCTCCATGCTTAGTTTTTAAAAACGTTTTGAAAACTGAAATCTGTTGCAAAGGCCATATAAACATTTGTTGTTATTTTTCATGTCGACATTTAGTTTTGATATGAAAAAGAGCCACAAATAATAGTCCATAAGAATGTTAGAATAACGGAATCGGTACTTTGTAAAATTAAACCTTTTTTTAGTCGGAAAACGATTTTTACATATGACTGTTTCAATGTCTTGACACATTTACGTCTGTGTTTGTGCCAACTATTACAATCCTTTTACCTTTGTATTTAGGGTACAATTTTTAATTTGCGTCTATATTTAGAGTACGTTAACTGATTATTACTACTACTATAGAGCTCAGAGCTCTCCGAGATATCGCGGGAAAAATATTCCAAATATATATAGATAACTAGATTTTAACCCGTGGTGTACCGCGAGATAATTTATTTTTTAAAGTTAGTATATAAAAAATTTTGTAAATTGTATGTCCTTATAAAATATTTAATAAAATATTTATATTTTATAGTTTACAATTGTTATTAAGTAACGGTATACCACGAGTTCGAAATTTCTGCATATACTGTGATTCGAAATTTTAAAAACGGACATATATTATCCAATTAACGAAAATGTGTGTTTAACGTTTTACATCGATTAAAATATTTAGACAATGATTTAGAATCATATCATAGATAAGATCAACATTAATAAAATAAATGAGTTTTTTTTTGCCAGACGGGTTTGGCGGAACGGGTTTTTGAATCAACAATAATAAAAATATCAAAATATCATTAATTTGCCGCTTCAATACGGATTAAATCCTTAATTTTTTTAATACCACCAATATTAGACATATTAAATCAGTCTCATTTAGAAAAGATTGTATAAAACCAAAAATTGTCCTGTGGTATAATGTTACTTAATAACTATTGTAAACTATAAAATATAAATATCTTAGAAAATGATACAATTTACAAACTTTTATATATAATAAATAATCGTAAAATTTTAAAAATTACTACATTTAGAAAACAAATCACGGGACGGGTTAAGAAGCTACATGACCGGTTATATTTTGGAACGAAGTTATATGGTGGACGAGTTTGAATCAATATTTATAAAATTTTAAAATATCATTATCATGCCGCTTTAATACAGATTAAATCTTCAGTTTATTAAAATATAAATGTCTTATAGAATGATATGTTTTGTAAATTTTTATATATAATAAATAATCATTAAATTTTAAAATAAAAACAAATCACGGAACAGGTTAAGAAATTATGGAACGGGTTATATTACGGAACGGGTTATATTTCGGAATGGATTTATATGGCGGACGAATTTGAATCAATATTTATAAATATCATTAACATGCCGCTTTAATACGGGTTAAATCCTCAGTTTATTAACAATTGTCTCGTTCATGCTCTTATGGAGAGAATCCGAAGTTGGCAAACAGATTATGTTTGTAGAGTATCGATTAATTGGGTAGCCTCACGTCATTCTCAAGAAGACAGAAATAAGAAAACCCTTACCGAAACGACGATTGATGAGGGCTTGACTAAGCAACGCATGGAGGAGCTCTTAAAAATCTTCGTGGACACAAATCAATTGAGAATGTGTGTTATTATGACCATTTTTGATGCTTTGACTCCAGAACAAGCAACCATATACCTAGTGGACTCGTGGTACACCGTTACTTAATAACAATTGTAAACTATAATATAAATAAATATTTAATAAGGAGATATAATTTACAAAATATTTTTATACTAACTTTAAAAATAAATCATCCCGCGGTACACCGCGGGTTAAAATCTAGTTTTATTGTACAAATTCATATAGCCACATTCAAATTTGTACTCAACTTGTACTCCCTCTGTTTTTATTTAGATGATGTTTTAAGCTTTTATTTTTGTTCTTAAATAAATGATGTTTTCAGTTTTCAATGCAATATTAATTAGTTTTTTTTATGATTTATATTATGCATATTGTTTTTCTATTAGGTGATTAGATTATAAATGATGTTTTAGTTTAGAAACATACAAAAATTAAATGATCAATAAAAACAGAGGGATAATTTGTACTGAGAATGACAGAGACCTAATTACATTGTTCGGTGGGCCATGCTAGTTACAAAAGACAAAGTGTTACCGGTTTTTATCATTGAACATGTGTTTTATATGTGACTATGGGTATGGTCTAGCAATCCTAAGATAATGAAAGATATAGGAGCTGATATATTGACGCTAAGCAATGCAGCATCTTTCGAAATCAAAAAGTGTGAAAATGATGTACCTTATGCGGAAGAAGCTTTTGATCGGAGTTCTCAAAAGAGTAGATGTCCCTTGAGTTTCCTTATAGAAATGTGTTCGTTGAATTAAAGGCCGAAAAAGCTTTATTCGATCATTTTTACTCGATTTTTTTAACCTGTAATTTTGCGGTTAATAACTTAATATGATTTCCAAAAGTAACAACTAGTTAGACCGATATAGGATTTTCAGCATTAATGGACATTATAAACTCTATCAAGTGTTCTTTCGAATTTTCAAACTTGTGTGTCTGTGTGTTTTTTTTTTAGGTTGAAGTCATTGGCCAATTGTAGTACTTTTGTTTATCAGTTTTTTTTTTTAAGTTGAAGTCATCGGCCATTAATTATTTTTATTACAAATTAGATTTTGTAATTTGACTCGAAAAATCATATGGTTGTTTCAATTACTGTTCCCATTGTTGATCAATTTTCTAAATTATTTTTAAAAGTTAATTAACCTTTTTTGTCGTGATTCTTCAAATTTGATTCCTATTGTTTGATTTCTTAAAACTTTATTTTATTTACTACAAAAATATCTAGTTTGAGTGATTAGTGGTCAATTGACAATTATTATCACCTTTATATATTGATTGATGCTGTTTTGAATGGATCTTTTTTTTTTTGGTACTTCTGTTTTGAATGGATCTAGTTTATGTGTTTTTGTGTTTGTTTTGTTAACGATATATATGCATAATGTAGGTTTAATTTGAACCCGGGTACTCACAATATGATAACACTAAAACAAACCATTACGTTACATTACATGGACCATAAACTATACCATTTAAAAGTTAAAGAGATGTCACAAAAAAAAACAAGCACTCAAGAAATATGTGCACCGATGTAGCCTATCATTAAATCAAATCAATATACTTAGATTTATATAGTAGCGATACAGTCCGTACAATTTCTTACAAAATAAAAGTTAGTTCTTCAAAATGTTTCTCAATGAAACCTTGGAACTACTGCGTCCTTTGGCAGAGCGTGGAAACTGCCGCCATGGAAAGAACTTATTCTCATGCTTGTAATAAACTCCATCTTTTCTAATTGAGTACTTACAAATATAACTAGGGAAACAACGAGCGGATAAGTCTGGCTGCATAAAGATATGAAAATTCACAAACCCGCGGTTCGACCGGATATGGCAATTTGTGGACATGTACCTGACCCTACCGCTGTGCTTGAACCGAAGCAAACTGTACCGTTGTCCTGGTTTGGTCTTTCGCCAAACCTTTGGACCGTGAGTGCATACGAAGCCAACGTTTCCTTTCTTTAGACCATACAATTCATTGGAGACAACGATATGTGTGACGGTGTCTGGATCTACGGTATACTCTGATTTATAATCTTTTTTATATCTCGCTTCAAAAGATAAGACAATGGTGGAGAAGTTGGAGATTTGCAACAGGATTAGGAGGAGGAGATTTGTAACTATGGTTTTGGGATTCATCATCATCATCATCTTTTGAGTTATGTTTCAGTTCTTTAATTGCTTATCTTTTATATCTTCAATATATAAATTTCAGTTTTCGGGTTGTTTCACTAGTGCTAAACTAGAAACGGATCTCCTTTATTTATTATATGTACTCACTAACGGACTACTTAGTGTAGAACTGTTTTCTTTTTACTGATAAATGATTTATAACGGTTTAGCTCTTTTTTTTTTTTTTGACATTTTTGGAACGACAAGACCCGATCCCGATTCATAGCCAATTCCTACTACGCGGGGTAACACAACTTAGTGGAGTCAAACTCCGGTGGAGAAGGTGGAGTCAAATGGACTTAACCACTTGACTAGAGGCACATCCCCAACGGTTTAACTTGTTATTAACACGGTATATATATATATATATATATATATATATATATATATATTTTTTAATTTTATTTTGTGGTTGCTAAAATGAAAGATAGAGGGAAGCAAGTGAGGTGCACAAAACCAATCAGTTAACCGGCATGGACTAGTTAGGAAATTAGTGGTTTTAGGGAAATTTCGTTACCAATTTCTTCTTGTTGCAAAAAAAAATTATTATAAGAAAGCAAAATGCAAAAGAAAAAAAAAAGTAGAATTTTGTTTGTTTGTCCCAGACGCAGTTTCGCTCTCTCACTCCTGTGGCCACCTGGGAATTTACCTGCGGACTTGCTCAGGCGCCCCAGACCACCAGTTTATCAGGGGGCCCTTAAGTGGAGGCTTAAAAATCCCTGTGACGCGGGCTTAGGCCCAGTGGGCTAGTCAGATCACTGTGTGGTCTGGATACTGGGTTATCAAAAAAAAAAAAAAGTAGAATTTTGTTGATGATATGTCATTGTGACAGTGATAAAAGTTATCGATATATGTTGCTGTAAGAGTAATGTGATGATGTTTATGTTGTTGTTTCAAATGATACATTTCAAGGAGATAAAGAGAACTCAAAAATAAATTATTAAACAAAATCATAGAATGAATAACTAGTGCGTATACTCAACACAATTCGATTCCTTTATAAGAAAAAAAAACCTTATATTTGCGTTTGTTAAGCGATCTTCAGGATGTTACAAAGACCTAAGTAGTAAGTAATTTGAGGACAGGATAAGTACATTGGATTTGTGAAATTGCTTTTGCTTGCTTCCAGAATATTTTTGAGCTTATCGGCATATTCCTTCATGTGATCTTGATCCCTTGGAATCTTGAAGATTGATATATAAGCAAAAGCATTTTCATATCAGACATCAAGCTTTATGAAGACGAGCCGTGGCTTCTTCCGCACGTCAACAATGATCAGTTCAAAAAGGAGTGGTTCTACTTTGTTAAAAGGACACTTAGAGCTGAACGAGGACTCGAGGAGGCAGCTAAAGAGGGGGACATGGACGAGCAGCTGCTCACCAACGAAGATCTTGGACAATAAAAAGGTTGTTGAAGTAAATTAAGTATTAATTCATTTTTTTTGTTAAAATTTTTAGGTTAAGTTTGAATTCATACCTCAAAGTTTATAAGCTTTTTAAAAAGAAACTGCGATTGGCAGAGGTTTTTCTGTTCCTCTAATTGTTACTACTGTTGGAATATTTTTCTTTTGTTATGGAAAAAATCATTTCATTTGCAATTCTTAAATTTTGATTAATGTTTTCTGAACTAAACAATGTATGTATTGTATATCACACAAAAAAAAAGGAAGAAGAGATATGTATACACCCTCCCATAATATACAATTCAGAAGAATCAATTGGTGATCTTAGGCAACTTAGGTTGAATGTGGCGGCGAGGCCAAGGTGTCCAAGGAAAGAGTTCGTTAGTGTCTTTCATCAAGAGACCTTCACGTCTAATTGCTAAAATGCATCTATAACCGGGACATGATCGTCCGAGCGTTGGGGTTATCTTGATATATGCGTCAACATAGCCCAAATTCGATCGGAAATGGCAATGTTGAACGACCTTTGCGTGTGGATTAACCCGGTAAAAGAAGAACTTGGCGTAGAAAACGTCTCCCGGAAGAGACCTTGTCCATTGTTTTTGGCCATAGTTGCACATGAAACCTGCTTTTGGTTTCTTGATCCCTTTCAATTCATTGATGGCTTCGAATATCACATTGGTTCCGTCTTTGAGTTCGAAATCGGAGCTGTAGTATTCGCTGGGATGGATTGTTTCGTAATCAGCATAATGGTTTATCAGAGGGTTGTCCTCCTCGCCGCTGGTGGCTTGTATCACAAGGCATAGACAAAGGACTCCAAAAACCAACTTGTTTTCCATTTTCTCGTTTTGAAAATTACTTTTAGGTTTATCTCTTTTTTCTTGTTATATACGAAAAAAGTGTTCGGTTAGAGAACGAAGCCGTTATGTGCTCAAATAAAAGGTAGTTGAATGTTTTTGTAATAATGTTGTGTGACATTCTTTATTTGTCATGTTTGTTGAGACGATCGATAAATATAGTAACTTCTTAACTGTAACTAATGGGGAATAATTTTCTTTACTATATTTATAGTATAATTAAGTTTAATACCATGTATAAATATTATATAATTATATTTAATACCTAGTTTTAGAGTCGGTTCTGGATATTCTGAGAATCGAACCACCGATCTGTATCGGAAGAAACAATCTATTTAACAAGCTATTCTACCTTATCTGTGTGAAATATTAGTTCCTCCATATGATATTGTGGATCTTTGATATCAAATTTGATTTGTTTGGGCTGAGAGCCGGCCTTGTCCAATACATATATTGGGTTAAATGTTAAAACAATCCACTTTACTAGTTATTCTATCGTATCTGTGTGAACTATTAACTCCTCGATATGATATATATTGTGAATCTCTGATATCAAATTTTATTTGTTTGGGCTCAGAGCCGGCCTTGCCCAATACCTATTTTGGGTTAAATGTTAAAACAATCCATTTTAACTCTTTGATATGTTATTTATTGCGAATCTCTAATATCAAATTTTATTTGTTTGGGCTTAGAGTCGGGTTCGTCCAATACAAATTTTGGCTTAAATGTTAAAACAATCCATTTTACCAGCTAATTCTATTATCTATTGAAATATCAACTCCTTAATATAATATATTATATGAATATCTGATATCAAATTTTATTTGTTTAGTTCCGTCCAATACATATTTTAGGTTAAATGTTAATTTCATTTTTTTTTAAACAGATTTGCAATGGAATATTGAGCGTTACCAAATACATTTGCATGTATTATGTGAAGGTTTTAAAAAAATTAGCCATATAAAGTTTTTGAAGAAAAATATTAGAAAACTCCAACATGCATATATATATATATATACTGATTATTTCTGGCTGAACAAATGAATAAATTTCTTGATAAAATTTGATTCATATATAAATATATCCCACGTTGCACATGCAAGTTATGAGCAGATTTCAAGAGATATCTGTCTACAATAATACGTCAACGGATCGGGTAATATTCCAACAAAGCATAATACAAACAGAAACATCCAACATTCCAAAATTATTTAAATTGGTGTTGTTAATCCCATATTTATAATATATAATAGGTATTGTAATTACTGTCAATTTAATATGTACGTATCACCAATTCACCATATACATTAAAAGATTTTCAGCCACCTATTATAAAATAACTGAGTAGGCAAATAGGCCAATTATTTGAGAAAATAATATGAATTTCAAAATATGAGTTTTTACGTACTAGTACGAACAGTCGTCAAACATTCTTGAACTTAAAAAGCAAAACGGTGTTGACATTCCGAAGACATCCCTTTTATTTTTTGTCGTCAAGGTAGTTAATTAGTTATTTCATTAATTATAGAACTAATGATACAAACACCGAAGACATAAGTTAACTGTATTTATTTTTGGATCTTTATTGTTACTTTTCCGACGTTGACTCCATCTACTAAATTTTCTGTGTCTTCGATCCAACATTTCCGCACCATGTATATAATATATATATATATATATCAATTTTTTAAAAAAAGATTTAATGATTTATGTTTGCTAATGTGTCGCATTTTTTTGGTATAATGACTTGTGCTATATAATATAAAGGATTACGTTTGAGAGGAAAAAAAATACTATGTTTGCTCAATATCTCACATTGACAGTTTACGAGTTAATTAGGAGCTCACATATTATTTCATGTGTATGGTCATCGCTTGAGAAGAAAAAAGACTAAATTGGATCTTCAGCATGTACTGGTATGTTTTCTTGTTAAATATATAACATTGGAGAAACTCAAAGCCATTTAAATCTAATCGTCTTTTCGCGTTTCAGTGCCTTCAGTTGTACGTAGTTGATGACAAAGGAGAGCAGCAACAAATAGGGTTCCATACATTGGAGATGGCAACACATCTCGAATTAGAACCCAAACCACATCACGTGACTGCGTTCGAAAACGCAGTGCGCGGACTATAATCTTTGTTACATTATTCAAGCTCATTTGGATATTCTTACAACTGGAAATGTTCTCATTGTTCCGTGCCCGCCAAAGGTAAAGAATTTTACCAAGGAAGAAACTTCAACTAGACCTATTCTCTTACCAAATAAAAGTTGTTCTCTTTAGCATATACACAGTGCGGGCCCAGTAATATTCGAGACCCAATACTAAAAAAAGGTTGAGGCCTTTTGAAAAAATAAAACTGATAACTTTTCTATTTCTGGGTAATTGTGGGGCTTTTAAGAAAAAAAATTTCATCCACAATAAAACATATTGCTATTTTTATTTTTGTTTTTATAAAAATGAGCCTAAATATATGTAATTCACTCTTAAAATGGGGTCTTAAAAAAAATTTCTATTAATTTTTGTTCCACATAATGAGCTTCGTAAATTAGAGGCCCAATACCTATGTATCATAGAAATCTATCAAGGGCCGGGCCTGCATATACATGATGCATTTCGAGAAGCCAAGGCGAATATAGGTTTGGTGTAATGGTTGTTAGGAAAGGCGAACTGAAGTTGTATATAGACGAGCTATTAGAAGAAGTAGAGGAAGAGATATGTGAGATAGGATCTTTGCATATAAGCTCTTTGATGAAAGGTGTCTTTAACCCGAAGACCAAACCTACTGGCCAAAGAAGAATACGATCAAAGTGGGCTCTGAAAGATTTTGTAATATAACCCTATAAAGATTCTAAAAAGATAAAATATTTTCTTAGAATATTACGATTTCCTATAAATTAAACTAATCTATATATACATTTTCGGAGTACATTTATAAAATAAATCCTGGAGTTTGAAAGTATTTACGAAGGAATGCCACTGGCATTAATTATTTAGTTTTGAAAATTTAAATCAAAGATATTAATTGCCAAAAAAATCTTAACATAATATCTTAGCCATAACTATTCTTTCTCACAATTACATCTATATTCAATTCAAATTTTTAATATTATTTTAATTTTTAATCATTATTGAAAATTTTGGTCAAAAGTAATCATACAGAAAATGTATCTTAACAATCTTACCAAAATATTTTGATCCTCAAATTTTTTTGGTATGATTTCTCTATCATTAATTGAAATGTAATAAATTAAAAAAAAAATCCTTTTGTTTTAAAAATTTTTTAACGACAAATGTGTTGCAAAATAAATAATTTCTTAAAACAATTACATAACCTAATAATTGTTGGAGACTTTTAAGGAAAATAATAACGTAAATACTAAATATGTAACTTAAAGATAATAATTACTCATCAAATCTTTTTTTTTTTTATTAATATTGTATCATAACAAGACCTAAATCAATGGGCTATTTATTCTCTATACATACGTGAGGTTATTTAGTCACCAAATCAATGGACATGGTGCCACTCTCGCCGTCCCTCAGCTCCGCAATTATCTGCCTGTGGCTTCATTTTCTACATGTCTTGGACTAAGGTTTTTATAAATATTTTAAATTCTATAAAAAGTTTATAGTATTAATGTTATTTGAACTCTATAACAATTAAAAATATACTCCCTTTGTTTCACAAAGAGTGTCATTCTACCATTCTTCACACAAATTAAGAAAAGTAAACAAATTTCTTTTCTACCCTTTATTAATACACTAGATAATACCCTCTCTCTCTAATTAATAAGCTAAAAAAGTAGGGATAAAAAAGAGAATTAGTCTTAAAAACTGCATTAAAAACATAAAACGACACTCTTTGTGAAACAAGATTAAAACCTTAAAACGACACTCTTTGTGAAACGGAGGGAGTATATATTATGGGAGCCATTTAAAGGAAACTTTTAAAATTGATTCAAATTATGTCTTTTAAATTAAAATATTAGAAAAAAACTATAACAAAATTATGTTTAATTTCACGGGACGAAGTTATATGGTAGGACGGGTTTGAGTCGATATTAATATAAGACGGTATACTACGAGTGAAATCATAGAAATAACTATCAAAATACAATTATAAAATCTTAAATGCTAAACAAAACAAACAATATTAACAAAATAAATTCAACTTAAAATTTTAATTTTTTAGTTATAAAAAATCGACTTGCGGGTTTACCTCGGGGTAATCTATATAATATATACATATATAAGTACATTTAAATCAAACAAAACAATATGTTATATCTATAAATAATTTTCAAAAAAATTATAGCCCCGCGGTGTACCGCGGGTTAAAATCTAGTGGACTTTATAAAAAATTATCCACGTATTTACACTCAACACAAGATTATTTAAGAGAATTAGTTAACTTTTTCAAGCAAATAAAAATGATTAGGAGATACTGCTCTTATATTACCAACAAAATATGAATCTCTAACCCAAAAAAAAAAAAAAAAAAAAAAAAGAAACTGAAAACAACATTACAACTAATATTTCTAGTTATAAAGTTGAATTCTAGTAATCATTCGGATTTAAATTGAGGCATATACAAAGCTATCATTTGCTAGTAGAGAAGCTATTCCTTTATTAGGCTTTCTCAAAGTCAAACTATTTTTCTAAGAACTGTTAGTGATTAGATGTGGTTTTCTATATGGTTGATGTGCTATGAAGATTTTGTATCGTTTTCGAAATATGCTAACTTTTTGTCATTTGTTTTATTCCTTATATCAATTGTAGTGATGATTTCACTTTTCGAGAATTATGAATGTCTGTGATAGCAAAACAAAGATTTTTTTTTTTTTTTTTTTTTTTTTTGTCAACAGCTATATTAAATTGGCTCAAATGAGCAAATGTCGTGGTAAGTTGTTTACATAGGTAATAAGTTGCGGCTGGGTACGAACATTACGTGCCAGTTTATCCGCTTTCACATTCGCATTTCGAGAAACTAAAGATAATGAGAATACGTCGAACTCTTCCTTGTCGCTCTGAATCGCCTCTAAGTATGTTGCGAACGCTGGCCACTCTTGCGGGGAAGACACCATCTTCACCAGGTCTGAGCAGTCTGTAAAGAAAGCTACTTCTCTCTTGTCTTGGCCGATCATACATCTCATCGCCCAAATTAATGCTTCGACCTCTGTGTGAAGTGAGGTTAAGCTTCTTCGAAGATTAGCAGCTCCCATGTCTTGCGTTCCATCATTCGGGTTAGAACAAAACCAACCTAATCCGGAGAATCGATCACTCTCCTTCCAAGACCCATCTGCATAACACTGAAACCCATTTCCAACCTGCCTTTGCTCGTCAATCATGGAATGTGAGTGTGTATTCCCCACTACCGAGTCTACAACGTCATCCGGTATTTCCACCTGAGCTAACTGCCAAGCTTGCTCTTCATTCTCTGCTAACCGCAAAATCTCTTCTGGACTTTGATCCACATTATTATAAATTTTATCATTTCGTGCTTTCCATAAATACCAAATTATCCATGGAAACGTAGCTTTATAAACATCCGATGATATTCGCCAAAATAAATAATCCATGTTTGCATATAGTGAACCTGAGGGAAAAACTGCGGGGGCCGTTGGAATCTGTGATAAAGCCCATGTTTGGCGTGCAGGCGGACATTCAAAAAGGACATGGTTAATTGTCTCTTCAGTATCCCCACATCTGTCACAACCTACATCGCAATTAACCCCACGTTTTCGGAGGTTTGATGTAACCGAAACACATCCATTTAAAGCCTGCCACATAAAATGCCTCAATTTAGGAGGACACTTTATCTTCCACGTAAATGCTTTTAGTGGTGTAATATCTGGTCCGAAACAACAGATAGAAGAATCCTTTGGATTATTAAGACGGGCTGTATGATACCCTGATTTAACCGTATATTTACCAGATTTTGTGAAATGCCATCCCATAACATCTGGGTTTGACAGCTTCCCCAGGGGTATAGCATTAATCAATTGAACATCTTCCGGATCCACAATAGCGTTTAAACTATCCATATTCCAGGAGTTTGTCCTTGTATCGATAAGGTTTTTAACTTGGAGTAAAGGTTCGGAAATTGAACCATTACTTTGTGCTGGTCTCGGGAATTGAGCTGGAATCCATGGGTCTTTCCATACTGAAATGGATTCACCAGAACCAACTCTTTTAATTAGTCCTTTATTAACCAGAGATCTAGCTGAAACAATACTTCTCCATCCTATGGATGGAGAATATGATTTAATTGGATTCATTGGATCCGACTTCCTGTAGTACCTTCCTTTAAAGACCTTCGCAAAGAGGGAGTTAGGAACCGTAATCAGCCGCCATAATTGCTTTGCTAGTAAAGCTGTATTATAGTCATCCACATTCCGGAATCCTATCCCTCCATCAGCTTTACTATGACACATTTTATCCCAAGCGAGCCAATGCATTCCTCCTGTTTGCCCATTTGTACTCCACCAAAACTTAGCTATTGCACTTGTTAGTTTCGATGTAATTGTTTTAGGAAGTCTAAAGCAGGACATGACATAAGTCGGTAACGCAGTAGCCACCGATTTAATCATTACCTCCTTCCCTCCCTTCGATAAAAATTTTGCCGTCCATCCATTTATCCTGCTTTGTAGTCTATCTCTTACAAACGAGAAAATTTTTGTTTTCGAGCCACCCAAACTTTCCGGTAATCCGAGGTAAGAACCCATGCCGCCTATTTTTGTAATACCTAATACTGTTTTCACCTCATTTTGTACATCATCTCCAATGGTATGACCAAACTGGAGAGAAGATTTGTCAAAATTAATTTGTTGACCCGACACCGACTCATACTGTCGAAGTATTCTTAAAATCTCCCCACATTGTTGGGCGTTTGCCTTACAGAAAAACAAACTATCATCTGCAAAAAGTAGATGTGAAATCGCCGGGCTCGGAGTTGCCACCTTAATACCAGTGATTGCCTTAGTTTCTTCTGCTTTCCTAATATTAGCAATCAAAACCTCTGTGCAAAGAATGAATAGATATGGGGATAGTGGATCACCTTGCCGTAATCCACGTTCCGGTAAGATCAATCCTCTAGGTTGTCCATTAAGTAAAACCTTATATTGGACTGATTTTATGCACCACATCATCCACGTTATCCATTTCTCACAGAAACCCATCTTCCGTAACAGGTTCTCTATAAAGTCCCATTCTATCCGATCATAAGCCTTACTCATGTCTGTTTTAATCGCCATAAACTTTCCTTTACAAGACGGGTTTGTTCGAAGGGCATGAAACATTTCCTGCGCTATAAGGATATTATCTGAGATCAATCTTCCTTCGACAAAGGCCGATTGAGTCTCAGAAATAAGATTTGGTAGCACCGTCTTGAGCCTCTGACAAAGTATCTTCGAGATGACTTTGTAACCTACATTACAGAGACTGATAGGTCTCAACTCTGTCATCCTAGTTGGTCTTTCCGTTTTCGGGATAAGACATATATTCGTCATATTTAACCGTTTATCAAAACTTCCTTCTTGAAGAAAAGAATTAACCAGGTGTAGAAGATCCGATTTAACCGTGCTCCAAGCCTTTTGGAAAAACAATGCTGTCATCCCATCTGGCCCTGGTGCTTTCTCCGGATGCATCATGAAAAGTGCAGTCCGCACTTCCTTTTCAGTAGCGGGAGCCGTTAAAAAAACATTTACTTGATCCGTAATTGTAGTCTTAATCTCCTTTAATGAATCCTCGAAATCCTGTGGTTTCGTGGTTGTAAAAAGATTTTTAAAATAAGATACCGCTACATTTTGAATATCCTTATCTTCATCCAACCAGTTCCCATTTTCATCATGAAGACCAACAATTCTGTTCCGAGCTCGGCGCTGTTTTGTTTGAGCATGGAAATATTTAGAATTATTATCCCCTAAGCGCATCCATAAACTCCGACTTTTTTGGTACCAATACATCTCCTCCTCTCTATAAGCCTCCCTCAACCTTAATGTTAACTCCGTTATCACCTCCGATGGTTGGCTATCATCATTTTGCGCTACTTCTAATTCGGTTTTAAGCTCTTCAATTGTTTTCCGACCGTAAGGACTCAATTGTTTCCTCCATTTCGAAATTGCACGTCTGCAATTTGACACTTTATTCACAAAATTTCCTTCTCCCAAATTATCCTCTAAGTGCCACCCTTCAGAGATTGTTTCTAACAATCCTTCTTTTCCAATCCATCTTTTATCGAACCGGAAATTTTTCTTCCCCCGTGGGACCTTGTCCGCAATCGTTGCCACTATTGGTTTGTGATCTGATGCGACCATTGGTAAATATTCAATAAAAGAATTGCAAAACAACTCATGCCAATCCTCATTAGCTAGAGCTCTATCCAAACGACACCGAATTGGTTTCTTGTCACGCCAACCACGCCATGATAAAAAACCACCTATATGTGGGAATTCAAGTAGACCGCAATCTCTAATCATTAAATTGAAGGGTATAAACGAAGACGCATGTCTTAATTTACCACCTCTTTTTTCATGATTGCCTTTGAGTTCATTAAAATCTCCTATCAAAAACCAAGGAGTATCCCGATTTAAACCAATACGCGTTAGTCTCTCCCAAACTTGTTCCCGTTTATGAGCTACTGGTTCTCCGTATACAAAAGTAAGATGAACTATTTTACCTTTGATAGTAACCTCAATATCAATTAACCGATTGCTCTCAAATAAAACTGAAACATGATAATCATTATTAAAATAAAGGGCTAAACCGCCACTACAACCGATAGGATCCACTGTTTTTAAATTTTTGTAACCGAAATGACCTATAAATTTTTCCATAAAAGAAGAGGATTGTTTAGTTTCAGAAAGAAATAAAAAATCCGGCCGATGTTGTTTCCACAAGTCCCGAAGATACCCAATTGTTGCCTTATTTCCTAAACCTTGACAATTCCAACTTAGAATCTTCATTTATTCAACTTTGGCTTTGGTGGCTTTGCGCCGCCAGGTCCTCCTCTACCTGCGTCGCGATTAATACTCTCCCCCACTGGGTCCTTACTTGTTCCTGTTACCCTTCTTTTAGGAGACAATAAAAGTTGTGCGTTCATTTTCTTGGAACTCACCCCTTTTAGCACACCTCCATTCCTCACTCTTTTTCCTGTATCCACCACCCTGTCATTCCGAATCGGCGCCTCTGACACCACCATCGAACCATTGGGGTTGCTATCGTCTTCGCCATCACTCATTTGGCCCTCTTCAGCCTCTCCCGTTCCGTCCGCATTCTGTTCCGACGAAACCGATATGTCCTCAAGTAAATCGTCCTCCGCCAGACTTTTATCTTCCATTAAAACTTCATTTCCACCCATTCCAGATTCCATTAAAGGAGTGTAACCACTGACCTGATTGGTTGTAATCCCCTCCATCTCCTTAGACCCTCTAGTATCAGCATGTTGAGTCAGGGATTCAGTCCCATCCGTACAATCTGCCATAACCAAAGAAACTCCCTTCTCCTTCTCCACAACCAATTTCGCCTCAGCCCCCGCCACACCGACCTGTACCAATGACTGATCAGAGATCTTCAATGCATCCTTTTTCTGTCCGTCTGTCCCGCTGTCCCCGTGAAACAAAGCCTTACGGGTTTGTTTCGATGGCACCTCACCCTGTTTAACCACATTTGTTTTTACCTCATAATGAGCCCCAGCTTGTTTCTGCTCCACCCTCGCCGTCACCTTCCTTTCACGATGCTCGTTTTGCTGACCATAACTTTGGTTCCGCCCATACCGCGATGACCCTTCACCATGATAACTATCGGCCCTTGGCTTCTTGTTCCCATGTTGATAGCCATTATTATGCCTCTGCTCCTCCTTGTAACTTCTCTCCCCATAAGAAATCTCCTGTGAAGTACCCTTAAGTTTTCCCTCTTGGCCAGAGCCATTCCTTCTCTCGGAGTTGACCGCACCACGGTAACTAAGCATCTTCCGATCTCCTTCTTCCTCTCCGGACTCTTTGTGTTTACTTTGGACCCTCTCCTTAGCTTGGCAATGAGATGACTCATGACACAAACTAAAACACACCTCGCAATAACCATGCAGCCTCTCATACCATAGGTTAACCAGCGTCTCTTCCCCATTGGAAAACTCAATCTCAGTGTCAAAAACTAACGGTTTGAGACCATTAATCGTGACTTGTACTCTACCTTTCTGCAGATCAACCGCTCCTTCATGCTCTTCCACATGACCCAATCCTTTTCCGATGTATCTGAATGTCGGTTCAGCCCAAAACTGCAGAGGTACATTCATAACACGAACCCAAAACTTCAAAGTAGACGGGTAATCTGGATCAACTGAAGGCGTCCATCTCACCATCGATACCATCCAATTATCAAAATGGAAAGGTTCCATTTTGAGCACCGCAACGATATCTTCTTCATTATCAAAGTCAAACTGAAATTTCCCCATCCCTAAATCAGCCCCAGCGACCTTCCCTTCCAGCCCCCAGATACGAGGCATCATATGAAGCAACGCCTTCATCTCTTGTACCTGTGGATTAAAACATCTCCCAATAACCGTCTTGGAATAACCCGCAATGAGTGCAGAGTTATCAAAGATTTTTAGCAAAACAAAGATTTTAAATGTCATATTCAACGACCCTGAAAAATATGGCCCAAACAAAAAAAATATATTTTTAGCGGATTTTTAAATCTTTGGTTAGTCTTTTTAGCATTTCTGGTTTATTTTTTCTTAAATCTTTCATTAGCTTTTGTAGTAATGTATGTTTTTCATGTTTGGTAGGGAGGAAATGGGTCGATTTGTTAATTGACATTAATACCATTCGTTCTCGGATTTTAAAAATCGAAGCGGAATAGTGCTTCAATGTTGCTAGCAGACGGTCAACCTATGCCTTTGGAGCGCAACACCATTTGGTGAAACAGAGTTGAAGGGACGTGTTAGCAATGAAGGCATCGATTGTGTTCTCCAACAGATTTAGAGTCCCGGTTTGTTTTTTAAAATTACGTTGGAAAATCGTTTCAATGAGAGTCCATTCATTGGATTGACTATTGTGTTTGAGGCTTAAAGCAGAAAAAAACAAGATCTTATATAACTCTTTTCTTGCAATGTTTTCCGGTAAGATTACTGCTATTTGAAAACCATGGTATTCTTTTTTAGTATGAGTCTGTACTTTGTAAGTCACACTAAAGAGCAAGAATTTGAATGTCAGTGGTAGCAAAACGAAAATTTTAAATGTCAATATTCAACAATCAGGACCGATCTGGAAAATATGGGGCCCAAGCAAAAAAATAAAATTTGAACTATGTTTTAAAATAAAATTTAAAATTTGAAACCAATCTTATAATTTCTGAAAAATGAAACCTATTTTGCAATAAAATATCTTTTTGGAGGCTTAATTTTATTATTAATTGACTCAAAAAAATTGGGGACTCTAAACCCATGTTTCAGTTAGATGGGCTCAGAACCGGCTCTGTCAACAGTGACATTAATGTAGAGGATTTATGTTGTACAATACAAGTACACAAATCAAAAACTCTAGAAATACTAACAAGAAACATTTTTTGTGACCATTGTGAAATACAGTTTGCTAATCACCATCATCAATGTTTGATATTATTTGTAAATAAAATTAGTTTTAACAAGGATATAATTTATCATTTAAATCATTTTAATAAAACAAGAGCTTGTCTAGCTATTTGTACTAATATCATTGTCATGTCATAACCAAACTTCAAAATATATGAATGCGTATGTAAGTTTGTAGATGAGAAAACAAATTGATTTTTAACAGTACCTCTGATCTCTCTTACCCAAACTTCTTTTTTGCATACAATTGCGAAAATGTCTACTACAGTTTCTTAAAAAAATAATTACCGATTCTTAATCTAGTAGACAACAAACTATCAAAAAATTACTGATTGTCAAATCAATAGACAATGGTGAATGGTTGGAAAAATCAAGTTGTTAAGTTCTGCGAGACTTATGTTCAGTTAGCTTTTTAGAGTGAAACATAAACAGACATTGGTGTGATTATCTAAGCCGGATTGCTTAGATTAAAGTTCTTAAATCGAAGAAACCAAGGTCGTAAAGTTGCGATTGAAGCAATATCGAGACTAGAGAATTAGATATCGCACATGGCTGAAGCAAATTTCTCGTATGACTCTTGCCTTTAACATTTGTTCCCTTAAAACATGTGCATTGCAAGGTTTTCATAGAAGTTCTTAACCAAAAAAAAAAAAAAAAAAAAAAAAGAAAACAGAAAATAGATGAGAGAGATTAGAATCCATTCTCAAATGAAATTTTTTGAGAACCCATTGAGAGACTATTTTTACACATGTCAACATATGATTGGCTTTAAAAATATTATTATTTAAATTTTAAATAAACAATTAAAGTAAATTATATATATGAAAATAATATAAATGATAGATTTCAGAGTCTTTTTTCCCACTGCACATGCTCTTAGGTTGGTGTCATGCAATGCATACTCAATTCTCTTTCATCGAAGAGAATAAGGTAGTGCTTATAGAATAATCAAAGAAAGTAAAGTCGTATTTTACAATAAGTTTAAAGAAAAAGATTGTTACTGATTTAATCTCTTTCGGCATTGTGTTTACGTATAACTAAAAAATGGATCGCACATCAAATAATATTGTCTTATGTCCATTTTATCAAACCTCATCCTCCGACCGTAAAAGCCAACGAACGCCCACTGAAACTTTAGCATCGACAGCTTCATACTGATCGAACAATAAAACAGAGTAGTGTACATGTATTTAAACATTCAAGCCATGAGTTTTCCCACCGCTATTCAATCATATAGAAAAATTTTGGGTGGCTTTGTAGTCAAGTTCAAATACAGGATCACTGGAGATCTTGACTCATCCAATCATAGTCCGTTTTCTCCCTCGTTGCCTCACTGCATAACCAAAAGAATACTTTTTTAAGATTTGAAAACAGAGTTGGTTTTATGAGGGGACATGGAAGAGGATTAATGTACCTTGTGCGAGCTTGTTAAACGTGGCTGACCATTGCTTCGAGGACTTCCTATACGCTGTCAATATACGATCCATCTACATTTGAATACAAAATACACCATTTAAGATAGAAAGACCCATCAAAAGTAGTGAAGTTATAATATATGCATCACTCTTACCACATTCCCGCATGAAGAATGCATTGAGAGCAAGGCTCTTTCAAGCACATATAAATCAACAGCTTTGTCTTCAGGCAAGGTCGATGTGACACTCAAGCCAAAATCGATTAGTACCTGAGAGAAGATATATCCATTGTCATAAATCATAAGTAAACTAATCGAGTACAGAAGCTCTGCAGAATGCAGATACTTACCAGCTGATCTGTTCCACTTCTGACTAACATATTTGATGTAGTCAAATCACCGTGAGCCAAGCCACCATCATGGAGCTTAGCAATTGCAGCCCCAATCTGAGTAGCAACATCATCTAACCGTTCCTCAACAACTCCATTGGCCCCAAAGTCAAGGAAAATGTCTTTAACAGAGACGCCCTCAATGTACTCAAGTGTTAAAGAGTGAAGCAGAGTATCCACAGCATAGAGGACTGGAGTACAAACCCCGAGCTTTCTTGCCTTTGTCATACACCTAGCCTCCTATATACAACAATGTACGCACATACAAGATGAAACACTCGATTTTTCCATTTCTCTCTCTCAGATTCAAACAACGAAACAAGTAAAGGTGATGCGAAAATAAACCAACCGCATTCAAGCGTTTGAGTGTGAGTTTCGCATCCAAAATCGGGTGTCTATATTTCTTCGAGAATCGTTCTTTCACAATGGATCTTCTTCCAGCAAATGTAGACTCAAACACCCTCTATAGATAAAACTGAAAACAGTTAGTCTTGCCACAAAAAGCAAAAACATATACACTGATTCCTCCATATACACTTACAGCTTCTGCTCCTTGCTTTATCAGAACGAGCGATTCATTCCCAACGTTTTCCTCACAATCCATACTCAGGATTCTACACAAGCACCAAAGCCAACACAAAGAGAGAAACTTTAGCAATTTTTTAAAGCTCTAGCAATAAGGCCACATAATAGTCGCTTCTAGCTTAAACCTACACAAATCTGCCCAAATATCAACAACCATTGACCAAAGAATCTGCCCAATTAGAAAAATCCCAAATAGCCAAAGCTCAAAATAAAAAACATTCCCATCAAACGCAACTTTCTTCAAAGCCCGTATCATCCACAGAATCACAGGTAATGAAACAACCAATTCAAAGTTAGAACCTACGACGTTATCGTAAAGATTGATTGAAGTCACGAAAAAACGAATTCCTAAAAAAACAGCCTCATGTTTGTTCATCGTCAAAACTTAAACCAACACAAACCCTTATCGACCCACAAGTTCATAGCTACACAAAATTCAGTTTTTCCAGCGACCCACAAGTTCGAATCCAAAATTACCTTTAGAGAACACACGAACACGAACTCACTTCAACCCAGATTTCTTCGAGCTGAGAGTGTAAAAATGAGAAAGATGAAAGATATAGAGAGAGCAATCGAACCCTTTCTTATCGCTTCTCACAATCGATGAAAAAGAGATTGAATAAGAAGAAGACGAAGAAGAAGAGAGCGTTCGCCTGAGTTTGTCGTCGGCGACTCGCTCGTGAACGACAGTTACAAATCAAGTCGAGGTCGGAACTAGGGTTTTTAATTTTAATTTGATTCTGGTTATCTAGGTCGGAACTGAGAACCGAAACTGTAAGAACATGAACCGATCCGGTTCTTTGGTTTATCCGAATTTGAATCGGGAAAAAAAACAGATTTAGGATCGGTTCGGGTCGGTTTGGCTTGGTTTGGATAATTTGCCCAAACCTTATTGATTTTTTTGACTTATTTTCGCAAGTCGATATCAATTTCACCAAAATTAGATTAGTTTATTGGTTCTTTCTTTTTATTTTTAGTTCTTCCTATCTCAAATGTTAAAGCGGATAATTTAACACAAAAAATTTGTACCGTATTATATCACATATATAAATAATATTTTTTGATAAAAAAAAAAGAGAAATTGTTAAAAATGCCTCTTTTTCAATACCCCTTTTCACAAATGCCCCCTTTGTGAGTCCATTTTTAAGTTTGCCCTCTTTTAATTTTTAATGACCATTTTACCCTTATTTGAAACAAAATTAGGTCCACAAAATACAAAATATTTTTTGGCGGGAAAAGTGATCCCGCAATTTTCCCGCCAATACACTTGTAAAAACCTTTAAAAATACCTTGTAAAATTTTTCCGTAAAAATTTTTCCCGCCAAAAATTTTTTTTTGCGGGAAAAGTGATTCCGCAATTTTTTTGGCGAAATTTTTTTGGCGGGAAAATTTTTGGTGGGAAAAATTTACAAGGTATTTTAAAGGTTTTACAGAGTATTTACAAGTGTTTTGTAAGGTTTTACAATGTATTTTAAAAGGTTTTACAAGGTACTTATAAGGTTTTATAAGGTATTTATAACTTGTAAAACCTTATAAAAAACTTGTAAAACCTTATAACTTGTAAAACCTTATAAAATAGCTTGTAAAATCTTATAATATCGTATAAATACCTTATAAATACGTTGTAAAACCTTTTAAAATACATTGTAAAACCTTATAAATACCCTGTAAAAAACCTTTAAAATACCTTGTAAATTTTTCCCGCCAAAAAATTGCGGAATCACTTTTCCCGCAAAAAAAAATTTTTGGCGGGAAAAAATTTTACGGGAAAATTTTACAAGGTATTTTAAAGGTTTTACAAGTTTTTACAAGTGTTTTGGCGGGAAAAATTGCGGGATCAATTTTCCCGCCAAAAAATATTTTGTATTTTGTAGACCTAATTTTGTTATATTTCCTTATATATTTGTGATATCTTTTATTAAAAGAAGGGTAATTTAGTCATTTTTTACATAAAAGGGGTATTTTTAAAAATGGACAGCCAAATGGGGCATTTTTGAAAAGAGGTATTGAAAAAGGGGCATTTTTGTGAGTCTTCCAAAAAAAATTATTTTATTGAAATGCTCTTCTTCATAGGAAAAAGTGTAAGAGAGAATATTAATCGAACATACAAACTATTAATTGTGTTTGTCGTTGATGTTGTGTTGTGAATTTTAATGATTTGAAACAATACGTCCAATAAGTTTCCATCTTCTTCTTTTTCTGGCCTTTATAGGTTTTGCAATTTTATTAAACTTTTGCATGTTGTATGAACTAGATCTGGATTTTAGAGTAAATTTTCATATGATAATAAATGCATGCGTTATTTCTTGTAACTAATAGTGAATCATACGAAAGGGAGTATATAATGTTGAAGTTATCTTTCGTCTTTGAAATTGAAATCTAGAAATTGTGCAATACCAAAAAACGAAACAGAAGATAATTTAGAACAACTCAACCTAATTAATCTTGTAATTAGAAATTATATAAATTCCGAGCAACATCACAAAACCTAATTGTGAAATTTTTTAAGAATATAGTACTGAAAAGTCAAATGCACTTTAACTATGAAAGAAAATGAATATTTTTTTTAATAACTAAGATGTTTTAGGTATAAGTTCGCAGGCAAACCAATTAATAATCTCAAGATTTAGTTTAACATAAATTACCATTTGAGTTATTGACATTTGGTGCAAATCAATTCGTTTAAATTTTCGTGAATCAGTATCTACACTAATAAATTAAAAAATTTAAAACTTTTGGGAGTGTCCACGTCAAATTATTTGAAATTTCCTTTCGAACTGCCACAACAGTCAAAGTTAAACACAATATATAATTTAGCACAACTTAACAAGTTGCCACGTCAACAAAATTAAATCACAGGCTTGTCATTTTATTTTACGTTCTTTTTTCGTTTCTCATCCAAATTATTTAATACCAACCATTAAAAACGTTTGTAGGCTCACCTCTTCATATTCTAAATGTACAAATACAATCAATCACATCAGACACATATTTGCTCAGATCCGCTCAAAATCTTATTTGGATCTCTAGTAATATTTTCTCAAATATTTAAAAATATCTAGGAAGTGGAAGGTTTCCGATGAGTCAAAACCAAAGTGGTGGATCCCCTTGGCTTATTTTGGTTATTGACCAAAACTAGCCAATGGTATAATACACATGGCTCCCTTCCTATCTCCATTCTTGGAATGTTAGACAATGGTATGTCCACTTCTCTTTTCCAGCTTTAGAATCTGAAGTGGCATGGTGGATTGCAAGTCAGAATTATGTGGGACATTGATAGAAAAATATTTCAAATGAGAAATAATAGAATATATCAGATTCAGGTGAGGCTTTATTGTTGTTTTAAACCATATACATCTTTATTTTTTATTTTTTCATCCAATTTCCAATATGTATATTAAGTATTATATGTGAGGTACTCTCATATTTGTTTTCTTACATACATCAAAGCATTTTTATAAAAATTCTCAAAGCGACATACTAAAGGTGCAATGCACCATTTACAAAATTTAATTTCATCCTAATTTTATTGTACTCCACATAGTAGATAGAAAATAACTTGTTTTAGTTGAAAAATGTTTATCCTTTTATTAAGAGATGAATGACATGAAGGGTGAAATTTTTTTTATTCATCTCAATTTTCTTATTCAACTCATTTTATTCATATGACTATTATACATTCTATCAACTCGTTTATTTTATTTATAATCATTTGCAGCCTAAGTGAGGTAAGTAATCTAATTGAACTTTCAAAAGCATTTATTGTTTCTTCATTTCTTATCCATCTCTTCATGTAAGATAGTTCTTATCCTTTTTTTTTTTTTTTTTTTTTTTTTTTTGTCAAAGTTCTTATCCAATATTATATAAAAGTACTTATGTGTGGCTTACTCTCTTATTTGTTTTTCTACAATCATCATTGAAATGAAAAAAAAAAAAGTTTTGTACCAAAAATACAATCTCAAAGCACTCGATTCTCGTCAATCTTTTTCTGAAATACTAAAGGTACAAATGGTTGATACATTTTAGGAGGTTAAGAGAGATAAATCTAGTTTTCATTTATATTCAACGAGAAATGCACCATTTACAATAAAATTGTTTTTGTCGGAATTTTATTAGGCTCCACTTAATTGATGAAAAATTGCTTGTTTTAGCTACCAATTTGTTCATCTTCTATATAGGAGATGAATGAGAAGAACGATGAAAAATTATTTATTCATCTCATTTTTATTATTCAACTTATATTCATTTAACCATCTACAGTAAAACTTCTATAAATTAATACTCGATAAATTAATAAACTTTATAAATTAATAAATTCTTCCGGTCCCGAGTTGGGACTAGTGTTAAAAATAGCACAAATCAATAAGATAATAAGATAATAATTTTTCTGAAAATCCTATGTAAACATGTAGTCCCATCAATTTCATAACTTATCAATATATATATATATATATATGAAATTAATTATATATGTCATATATGAATTACTATGATATATATTTAAAATATTATATGTAAAAATAATTAATGAAATATGACTCTATTATTGTTTTTCTTAAATTTGTATTAATTGTTGGTAGAGTTCATTTCTACTTGTAATTGGTTTAAAATAGATATTGATTATAATGTAAAAACTGCTTTTCAGATATAATTTTTATAAGGAATTACAAAATTAATAAAATCTCTCAATAAATTAATTATTAATTATTAATTTATCGATAAATTAATATCTCTATAAATTAATAGAATTTTTCGGTCCCAACATTATTAATTTATAGAGGTTTTAATGTATTATATCAACTCGTTTCTTTTATTAACACTATTTGCAGCTTAAGTGAGGTAACTAATCTATAAAAAAATTTAAACCATTTTGTTGTTTATTCAATCTTATCTAGATACGGTTATTGGAGTTTAGATGTTACTTACTCTCTTATCCAATATGAATATAAAAATTTATATGTTACTTACTCTCTTATATGATTTTCTAGAGTCCGTTGAAAATAAAGAAGCTAAAATCAATCTCAAAGCATTTTGTCTCATAAATCTCGTAGTGACATACTAAGAGAAATAAATGGTATAGATACATTTTAGGAGGTTGAAAGAGATACATCTAATATATATTACAACTCTATTCGTTTCAAAAGCTTCTTTTAAGTCATTATGTACTTTTCTTTATCATGATCCTTCAAATGAAATTGATGGTATCGCTCTCCATCGAATTTTTCACGATAATGTCACTCTGATTTATGAGATTTGACAATTAACCCCTAATCTTGGGAGTTGGGATACACCCTGAAGCTAATTCATTTCAGATTCTTTTTAGATATCATAATATTAGATCTTTTGTTTAATAATTATTTTCCTTCTTTTTCACTGAGTCTTCTGATGATGTTACTTCTACGGGAATTGCATTCATATCGATGTTCGAGTTAGTTCTCGAAATCGAGATCGAACTCATGGATCTAGGACGATATATTCTGTTCTTTGGCATTCTTTGGCTATGATCTTCATCTCCTTCTTCCGCATCAAGAACCCTACATCTCTCTCCAAGTATAATTGGACGTACCAGAATCGAATTCTCTGCCTTCAGTTTCTTATTCCTCACAGATTTATCCTCCTCAACGGCACGTTTAAGGACCATGGACAATGATCTCGGCATTTGGATCGTTAGGCTCGCGCTCAGTTTCTTCTTAGTAGACAAAGATCTTCTTAACACCATGTTGTTACACGAATATGTTCCACGTAACGCTCCTTTTCTCGCGGGAGGCAACGGAAGCTCAGAGTTTGTGTCACTATCATAGTCGTTAAATGCATTAGTATCTTGATCATCGCTTTCCTTGTTCTGCAAGTCATCGCTTTCCTTGTTCTGGACGTCATTCCATGTTTGTTCTCTTTCTGTGGTCTCCATAGGAGATGACTGGTTCTCCGTCTCGATCGTTCCCAATGGCCGAGTTTTTTGCTTGAAGCCACAAAGGCCGGTGAATAAGGCGATGAAGGGAGCCATCTTGCTCTTACATACAAAATAATATAATAGAATTAATCAAAATTGTGTGAAAGTAATGGAACATTTTCTTTTAATGGTTTTTAATATTTTGGTGTCTGTTTGTGAAGTCTTTTTAGCTTTGAAAGGCGAGTTAAATTGCTGGAATTTAGGAAATTTAGTTTCTCAAGTCATAAGATTTGTTACTCGATGTCTTTCTAATTATAGTTTCAAGAAAAGTAAAACAAGAAACTGTGAGCAGTTTTCACCAGTAAACATTTTAATTTTGGGCTATTTTGAGCTGCTTTTTGACTACACAATCTAAGTTCTTTTGATTAAACAGTTTAGGGTCCAAATGTATTAGCACTGGTTGTTTTCTCTCGGCCTTCTTGTAACCTAATACTATATTGTTGGTATTAACCTTGCGGATCAAGTAATCCTAGGGCAATAACTTTGTTTATTATTCACGAACATATACATATATACGTTTATATATTTAATGACCACTGAAGAGTAAAAAACATGAAGTCTCCAACATGATGTTTCTCTTCACATTGTTGAAGTTTTGTTGTAGGAATCATATTGGCATCTTGATGATATTTTCAGATTCTTTCAACAAATCGAAGGAGGAGAACGAGTGCGGCGGGAGAACAAACATAAGGTCTTCCTCCTCAGTCATCTCCAGCAAGCTTTCCTGCGGCACGATCTGTAGAAATGGAACAGAGAAAACAACTTACCAACATTTTCAAGATTTAGAACAAAACTAAGCCTTAAGTCATGTGTATCTGTTTTACCATCTCTGGGGTTGAGAAAGAATTCTCATCCATCACATTGCCAGATGTAAGTACTTTCTTCTTGGATCCATAAAAATTTGCGATCAATCCGGTCACCGTTACCTTTAGATTTACTGATTCTTCTCCAAAGTTTACAGCCTTCAATATATGAACATTCATATTTTGTCAGAAACAGAACTCTTATATCTCTATACATCTGTTTTTTGCGAATGCGAAATAACCAAACCTTGATCTGAATGTAATCTTTGCCATTGGCTTGGAAGGAGATAGCAGATGCTTCAATAGAAGAAGAGTTTCCCTTGAGTTTAGAATCGAGAAGAGTTGCTCCGCTGGACTCGGTGAAGAACTGTTGGACCCAATAGCTAGGAGTTCCATATAGATGAGACGAGTTAAAAACTATTGCATCAGGGATCCACCTGAAAAAAACAAAAGAAACCGGCTTGTTTCTGATTACCGCATTCAAGATACCGATAAAAACCGTTAAAATTAAAGTGAGAGATACCTTTTATCGTTTGTGTTGACAAAGAGAGGTGCATAGCTAACCATTCCTACAATGTCACTGCAACAAAAACAGGATAGTGACTGTTTTAACTCTTCTTTTCAAAACCAAAGAAGAAGATAGAGTTTTGAGAAAAACCTGTTCTTTTCCAAACCAAGGAGGAAGGCTGCTTCCCCAAGAGCGGCCAAAAGGTTTCCATTATTAGCATCCGTTTTGTTAACAGCGTATTCGCTAACAAAAGCCTTTAACCAAAAAAGTGTTGAAAGCTTCTTCATTAGAAGAAGATACAAGGCGAAGTTTTTTAATGTCGAAAATAAACTCTTTTGTATCATCTATTACCGTACCTTTGGACCGTTGCGCGGTGTATTGTCAAAGTCATGGGACCTGGAAAACAAGTCCTTTGCAAGAGTATAAACCTGGAACAAAAGGGAATAATAAGAATCTGTTAAAACCCAATGTTATGCATAATAAAATTTGAAACGGTTCTTGTTTTTGGTATTTTTACGTGGTAATCAAAGTAATCAGCAGGGTGATCGAGCGGTTTAAACGATGCATCGCAGTTGGAGATGATTTTAATGTCTGGATAAGCTTTTTTGATAGCATCATAAAACTCAAGATAGTTTCCTGAAAAAAGCTCTCTTGTTTAGTATAACCAAAGCTCTCTTGTTTGTTTCTAATGGTTAAATAACAGAGAGAAATGCAAAAACCTCTGTAGTAAGTCTTATTACAATCTTCATTCCCGACCGCAACATATTTCAGTTCAAAAGGCTCTGGATGTCCCATTGCAGCTCGAACCGATCCCCATGTAGAATTAGGATCTCCGCGAGCAAACTCTATACCGTCAATCGCTTCCTGAACCGAGAAAAAAAAGAGACATTTTAGTTTCATTTTTTGGCTCACTAATGAACCACTCTCACTCTTTTAATCAAAATAGAGAGTTCCATGAGTATACTTGAACAAAAGGCTTGACATTTTCTGTTTCAACTTGATCATTGTGACTGATCCCTGCAACAGTTACACAGAGGTGAATACATGCAAATAAAGTCATAAGATATAGAGCTTAAGAATTACCATTGTTAAACACCCATATTGGGGCTGCACCAATGTCTTCTGCAAGCTACAAGAATATTTGTTTCGACATTTGATATCGAGCTTAGCTAGGAAGAATAATTGAAACACTTGAAATGGTTATAGAACTAAAAAGGAACAAAATCTTTTACTTGAAAGAATTCAAAGTGGCCAAGGCCATCATCAGTCCAGTACTTCCAAACATCGCCATAATGGCCAGGTCTCTCTTCCCAAGCTCCCACGGTTTCTTTCCAGCGGAATGCATTGCCTAACCATTCACCCTCCACAAAACAACCACCTAACTCACAAAATATTGATAAGTCTTTTCTCATCTTTATTCATATATATTTTAACAAGTGAAATGCTATTTTGCTCTCTAGAAATTACCCGGGAATCGGATGAAACGCGGTTTTAGACCGACCATCATTTGGAAAAGATCATTTCTGAAACCATGTCCCTGTGACCAACCAAAAGAAAATCATAATCTTGTATTTATCTTAGATAAATTTCTCTGTTTTGAATATGCAGCTAGACTCTATATATTAGCCATCGTCGTCTCAATGAAGTAAACAGACCTTGTAAGTATCCATAGGCATGGCTGAGACTTGATCAAACCAAATTGAACCTTTTTTGGTAGTTGTAAATTGAAGTCTTGCACCATTATCTGTTCCATTTGCTTCTAAAAGCAATTCTTTTTTAGTCCAATTTGAAACATCAGAAGCCAAAGCTCTACAGAAATAAATGAAAAACATCATTAAGAAAACATTCAGAAAAATATTGGAGGATGTGAAAGTTTCTTTCTCACATAATATTTTCTGACGCAAGAGTCAATGATCCATTCGAACTTGTAAACGATACAGACACATCGATGTCCCCGGTCGAACGCACATAGAACACCACTTTGTATTTCTTCCCTTCTTCAATGTTCTAATAGAAAATATAGACAAATGAGTAAAACTTGTTTAAGCATTAAAGGAAATGCAAATTGTAATAGAGAGAATAAAAATGCAACCATGCCCCAATAACCCGGGTTATAAATCCCAACTCCTCCTGATGGACAAGAATTGCTACTACCATTGCTGTCACAAAGCACTTCCATTTTAAGAGCAATCTTGTTACGCTCAAAACACGAAGAACGGTCTGTAGCGACATATATGGATGATTCATCTCCAATAATGGACCAAGGCCAGATATTTGAAGGAATGGTTTGTCCACCAGTTTCAAATCCTAGAACCAAAGATTGTTATCACCATTCTTTTTAATGAAAAGCTTTATAGAAAAGTTCTAAAATGCAGAAAAACCTCTGTTGCTAACAAGTTCAGCCCATAGTCCACCTGCTCCAGCATGATTTATTTCCTGTCAATAATTTTATCAGATTCAAAAACTTTATTAGAGCTAAGTTAAATTAAAACACTAAACATTAGGACTAGTAAAGTTACATAAAAACAGTTTAGATTTAGCTCATGCATGCTTAAAAAGGTCACAAATTTACCATTACTTCTTTAAAACCAAGATCTATGTGAACTAGGGTTGGGCATAAAACCTGAAATCCGGAACCGAACCCGAACCGAATAGTCACAAAACCCGAACGGATAATAAATTTTCTTATCCAAATTACCCGAACCGTACCCGATCCGAACCGAAAACCGAAAGGATATCCGAAAACCGGAAATAAAATTATATATCCAAAAATATTAGTTAGATTTAGTTGTAATTTTATAGCAAATAACAAAAATATCCTAAATAACCTAGATTTCGGAAATTTTTAGTTATATTTATTAAAATTATACATATTTTTGCAAAATTTAACCAAATTTTAGTAAGATTAAACCAATTTTTATTTAAATTGAATAATTTTTAGTTTTTTTTTTTCCTGAAAACCGATCCGAATCTGACACCTATCCGAACCGAAACCGAACCGATGACTCATAAAATCCGAACGGGAAATAAACTCTCCTACCCAAATTATCCGAATCCGAATATATCCGAACCGAAACCGAACCGAAAACTCATAAAATCCAAACGGATAATAAACCCTCATACCCAAATTATCCGAATCCGAATATATCCGATCCGAAATCCGAATGCTCAGGCCTAAATTGTGAACAAAGAATTTTGGTGGGAAAAATCCTATAGTAAAGTCATGAAATTCTGCAAAACCTCAAAGAAGATTCCGAATAGAGTTTCGGGAATTGGTCGTCTTGTCATGTTAGAAGCATCTACTTGCAATGTTACAATGGCGTCTGCTTGATCATCGACAAGACAAAGGCTTTGGTAGACAGAACAAGCGCCAATGAGAAAGGAAAGTATGCAAACACTTTTGAGAAATCTCCAAGAAGTCTTCATGTCATCACCGGATCTAATCAGAGCAAAGACCTTGTAAGGAAGAAAAAAAACATTATTTAGTAAAATTTAATTCATGAACCTTCAAAAATAAGCTATAACCCTAAAATGATGAGAGTATATAAAAGAAAATTTAAAATCAAACACAAGATTATCAAAACTGAGATAAGAGGAGACACTAAAGTGAGTGAAGCATTGTAGTAACTTTCAAGATCACAAAAAATCCAACTTTATTTTTTTCAACTCTGAAGATTTCAGACATTATTACAAATGTCATCAGAAAAATCGGTCTAACTCTTGTCAGATCAACAAAAAGTAAGAAAATGTGTTCGATTTCATAGATTCTTTGTCAAGAAATAAAAAATCCTGACGGAAAATGACAACAAGAGAGCCGAGTAATGTAGTTATAGAAGCAAAAATTTCAAGATCAAGACCAGAAGACCCATGCATTATGCAAGAAACAAAGATTAGACCTAGAATCAAAGAAAAAAAAGGTAATTAACTTTGATAGAAGAAAGACACGAATGAGCAGTGAAACGAGGATTAAAAGTAAGAGTACAATGTGTTTATTTGCTTTGCTTTTATAAGCAAATTCAGCAAAGACATTACTTTCACGTCTCTTTAATTTGCTTGTTGAGAGAACTTGTTTGGTTATGACACAAATCAGAAAAACCCTTTATAACGTTTAAATTTCTTTCTCTCGAGCGTTTGCGTTGGCCATGGTATAGTGGGTGGTTGTAAATAAGAACTATTATATAAAAAATACACAAAATTATCCAAAAAAAAAATGAAGAAGATTTTCAGTCGTAACTCGTAAATTATCAAATTTTCAAATTAAAATCATTATATTATATACATGAGATATATTGTAACCCTCTCACATTCAAAATATTTTTAACTATAGTCTATAATTAATCATGAATTCATGATGCTTGACGTTATTAAAATTAATGGAGCATGTAATAATATAAGCACTGACACGAATACGCGACGAATATGGGCATAAAACAAAAGTTTGAAAGCAAATTTCCTCCGCTTTAAGGAAAACGTGTGAAGAAGAAATTACAACTTTTGTTTTTCTCTTTTCCTTCTTCGGTATTCTTCTAACTATTTTCGTAGTTTCGATTATATAAGCAAAGGCTTTTTTTAAAAAAGAAATTTATTTAAAATAAAGGAGAAAAATTAATTTAAAATGTTGCATGATCTTTCACTTATTATTTCTTTTCATTTCAACTTGGGTTCAATTATTTTATTCGGTTCAATTCGGTGAAGTTATGATCAACTCGAAAAAACCGAAAATCTGAATAAACCGATCAGGATAAACCGAACCGACTGAATGTCCAGGCCTAATATTGCCCATTATCTTTTCAAAACATTAATTTTTTACTCTTTTTTTCTTTTTTGCAAATAACATTAATTGTTTACTAGCTATCTTTTTTTATATATGAAACATTAATTTTTTTTCCTGAACTCAACATATATATATATATATTTTGTTTTGGTTTAATGTTAAAATATAGTATATTTTTATTTGAAAATTTTATTTGGTATTGCCTTATTGCGTCCATAGTACTACTACTACTACCAGAGAGTACCAGCAAACAAAGGATTCATTTTGTCGCTTTCTTCGTAATTCTGCTTCCTTTTTTCATCGCGATTTTGGTTTTATAACGGCTTCTGGAAATAAAATTTGGATTTTGCATAATCACTAATGGAGGAAAATCAGAGAACCAAATTCAGTAAAATCTGTGTTTTTTGCGGAAGTCACTCTGGTCACAGAGAAGTTTTCAGTGATGCTGCAATCGAACTTGGCAATGAACTGGTTTGTTCTTTTTCTTCTTCTTTTTAATCATAGTTTTTTCTAATATTCTTGGATAAAGATACGAACTTTTGCTTGCAAATGAACGGAAAAATCAGAACTTTTTAGTGTTTTTGAGTGCCAAAATACAAACTTTTTGAAATTTGGTTGTTTATGTGAATGATTTTAGACATGGGTTTGAGATTTTTCGCTCTATGATAACTTTTTGGTGGACAATGTTTAGATTTTAGTGTTATTGAATGCAAATTTGTTCATCTTTAAGTGTTTCTGTTTTGTGGGTGTTGTTCTGATTGTTTAAGAAGAAATAGATGAATCAATAGTTTCCCTAAAGATTGGTGTGAATTTTTAGGTGAAGAGAAAGATTGATTTGGTTTATGGTGGAGGAAGTGTTGGTCTAATGGGTTTGATATCTCAGAGAGTCTCAGAAGGTGGTTGTCATGTACTCGGGTTAGTTTAAGTGTCTCTCTTCCACTTTTGTCTTCATTTCCATTAGATGCAATTTTTCAAACTTTAATCTAAAATATCTTTTATATGGATTTAGGATCATTCCTAAAGCTTTGATGCCTATTGAGGTATGTTTAAAACTCTACAGACTTTGTTTTGGTTTTGTTAATTGCTTGTGGATTGAATGGGTTTTAAGCAGATATCTGCTGAGACTGTTGGAGATGTTAGAATTGTTGCAGACATGCACGAGCGCAAAGCTGCAATGGCTCAAGAAGCTGAGGCTTTCATTGCGCTCCCTGGCTAGTTTTCTAATTCCAAAACTTCTAGCAAGTTTTTAAAAGTTTGCATTTTTAAATGATGGGGGCTTCTTGGTTCATCAGGTGGTTATGGAACTATGGAGGAACTACTGGAGATGATAACATGGGCACAGCTTGGTATTCATAAGAAGACGGTATTTGACACCATTCCCTTTGCTGGTATCTACATTAGATACTATGTGGGTGATGAGGATTGTCTTGTTTTCTGCAGGTTGGTCTTTTGAATGTTGATGGTTACTATAACAATTTGCTTGCTTTATTTGACACTGGAGTTGAAGAAGGTTTTATTAAGCCAGGCGCTCGTAATATCGTTGTTTCTGCTCCATCGGCTAGAGAACTTATGGAGAAGATGGAGGTACCTAAAACACTTTAGATTATATTTTGTTTTGTGTATTTAAACAATACACTTGTTTTCAGTTTTTGGTTCTTCTTGGCAGCTATATACTCCTTCACACAAGCACATTGCTTCTCACCAAAGCTGGAAAGTTGAACAACTTGGAGATTATCCACTACTAAATCAGAACAGGCCTCAATGAAACTAAATATAGTCATGCTTTTGTGCATAAGAAAAAAATCTCTTTAACATTTTGAAACAGCAATTATGTTTGCAGTCACAATCTTTTTTAACAGTGCAAAGCTTTTGGTGCATGGTTAAGGCCATTATATCTTCTTATTGTTTTTGTTTGAAAGTTTGGGAATCAATCACAAAGTTTGTCATTTTATTCCCCTCGGTTATTATATTATTTGTCCTCTTCCTGGATTTTATAGGTCTAGGATTATGTAAACTGGTGTTTTGTTTTTTAACTGACCTCCTTTGTATCATTTCTCAAATCACAAACCGGTTTTGGATGCCATCAATGTTCATGCCACTTACACTAGGATATGATCTCATATAGGGGTGTTAATTCAGGCGAGCGTCCACGGCGGGTTAATTCGTTTCGACACCCATTGTATCACGCATAAAGAAATAGCACTATATCTTAGCAGTCCCGGCCCAAATAAAATAGGGACCTTTGCGCAAATAAATAAACAAATATTGGCCTTTAACTACCCCAAATTGTTTTTTTTTTTTTTTACTATTTTTAGTAACCTTTTTGGTGTTTTATTATTAAAAACAGATTATTTTAATAGTTTTGGGCTTTTCAAGATTTTTTATTAAAAATTTGGGCCTATTATATTTAATTTTGGGGAATATGTAATTTTTGAAATAAATGTAGGCTTTTTTGTATGTATTTTTTTTAATTTAAAATAAGGTCTTCGGGCGTCACACCCGCATCCTTCCTTACCATGTGGGTTGGACCTGCATCTCAGCTACAATATCTTGAAGATAGAAAAGAGACATAGTAGGCCAAATTTTGATCTAGTCTTGGAAAGTCCGAGTTTGAAAATTTTAAAGTAATCCTAGCTCTAATACTTTTACAGCCCAAGTCAACAATTAATCCAACATTACTGAATAAATTCTATGTAAATTCCTAATATTGTCGCTTTATGCGTTTTGTCAATTAATAATCTAAATGAATCAACAATCTTTCGCTAATGTATTTTAGATGGCGATCCCATGAAGAATAAAGATTGCAACAGTAGGGATGCAAGATTCAAACTAATCTATGTTGGGGTCGGATCCCACACATTTTCGGTAGGATCCACTTAGATCTGTCAACGTCATTATTACATAATAATCCTCTTGGAATTAAAGATATTTTATTATATATAAGAATCGCACTTAACCAGTCGGGAGTTCGATTCAGTCTACTAAAAGAGTTCGATCTTTACCAGTACGGAGTTCGCTCTTATTCAACATACAGTTCGCATAGAGAAAGGCCGAAGCGAGGAGAATACTGTTCGGGGTTCGCCGTAGCATCAAAGCATGGGAGTTCGAAGTCAGCAAGAAAGAGTTCGGAAGGCCCACGTGAAGCCCAAGACAAGTTCAAATTCAAGCCGTTTCGGTCAAAATGTAACTTATGTGATTAATGCGGATCAATATGATTACGAGTAGTAAATAGCCGCCTTAATCATGTTTTCTCTATAAAAGCAACCTCAAACGCATGTGTTTGGGAGAGACAATCTTTTACCCCTTACTATCAAGCAATACTACATACTTTATCTCTTACAATTTCTCAAATCTCTTTGTATTTTCGTTCTTATCAATTTCTTTTCCTTCAATCGTTTCTTGGTTATTTTCTCTTTCGAACTCTTATTTTTCATCCATTGATTTTAGAGTTTTTCTCCGCAAAAATACTTAAAGATAATCGAGTGTGAATCCTACATCCACAATCTAGAGCAAATGGTTTTAATGTTTTTGTTTAGATTAAAAGATAAAAAAAATGCAAGAAGTAAAATATAGAGATAGCATTGGAGCATGGGTTTATTATCATGAGAATAGATTAACAATCATGAAATGATGCAAAATGTTAAATTAAGCACCATCCTAGAACTTGGAACTCATATATATGACTAATCCACTTCCGTAGCGGTAATCACTTAATTATCAACTTTCGTTCACAACTAGATGATCAATGAGCATTACAAACAAGTCCAATTAGTACACTAAACACCCTAATCATCAACCTAATTTGGATTACCTGGACATCTTGGTATAGAGAATCCAAACAGAGAACATTCCTCACACCTCTCAATATGAGCATCACATTCAATCTCTTCAATGCCTTAATCATGTCATCAAATTTTAAACCCGAAAAGGCCCAAACACACGCAGCAAAAACACAAAACAAGAGAAATTTGGTACCATACTTATCAGTCATTCTATCAATTTTTTTGTCAATACGAGCACACTTATTTTTCAAGTAGTTACAGATATTTCTAGCTGCTCCCTTCCCATAATCCCAAAAAGCTTGGAGAATGTATTTCAAAATGTTTGCAATGGTTCTTAAAATGTACTTCAAAATCTCATTCCGACCCTTTGGAATGTTATCAACAAGGTTCCTAATACCAAATCCACCACTCTCATCTAAAAAGTGTCTCAGCTGAGAGAGATAATGCGTCATACCATGATTAGGATGGGGGAGAATAGAGCATCGTTGCTGGGAAAGAATGGAGAACCGTTGTTGTTATTGAGGATATTGGCCTCCTCATGCAGCAATCGTAGCAACATAGAGCTTGCGGCGTTGAAACTGTACATTAATGGAATAGGTTAAGCTATAAAACAACACAGTTGGACAGGTAAAACGCTTAAAAGGAGAAAAATGAAGTTTTGATTTACCTGTGCGAGGACGGATCTGAGATTGTTGTTCATCGTCATTAGCGAAAATAAAAAATTAGGGTTCATAAAAGTTATGAAGATCAATTGTTTTCAATCAAGGTACATGAATTCCATCATATTTAAGTTTCAACCATGAAATGTAAATGATAGCATTAAAATCTATTGTTCTTGAAATATTGTAGAATTGAATGCATCCATTTGTGAAAATTAATACTTAGTCAATGAAAAAGTCATAAAAGAATAGTAACAATTGATCAATTGTCATGTAAGATCACGATCCATACCCACATCATTCAAAAAAATATGTCTACTTCAATTGGACAGATCACACAATCCCTCGGCCGAATACATATCAATCACATTGTAACGGACTGCACAAATATTGTTAGAAGCACATTACATTTGTTTTTCAGAAAACCCATGAGTTCCATGACTATAATGATCCGACCTAACTAGGCAAAAATCTGATCGTAAGACCTGGGCCCGGTCTGTTTTTAGAATACTTTTTCATTCCCTTTGATCAAGGAAATTTGGGGCATAATATGGATCAAATGAGAGGAGACAAAAATGAATATCTTTAAATCATAGAAAACTAAATCATCTACATTATCGCATACATTAGTTTCACACTAAGTAGATGATTCAACTTTATGTGGGAAATAACATTTTCATTCATATTTATCAAAATCGTTAGTACTGTTCGTAATCATTTCTCAGAGAGTTTCATCCATTAAAGATAATAAATATAACATTTCAAATAAGAGAATGACATGAATATTAGCCGAAATATTTTCACATATAATGGGAGGGGAAATAAGCGATTCATATTGGCAATTTTCTAAAATACCACATTTTTAAGCTTTTATTTCAAAAATACCATTCCAAATTTTTTTCCCCAGTAATACCAAAATTTCATATTAAAATAAATCAAAATCTCTTTTAAATGGTGGAAATATAAACCATAAATTGAAAATAGGGAACCCAAATATAATATTTTAATTTTATTTGTAATTTATGTTGGTTGAAAAAATATTCTTATACAAATTTTTTTGTATTATTAGAAAAATAAACAAGTAATGGTATTTTTAGAAGAAAAAAAAACTTAATATGGTATTTTAGGATATTTTTCTTCATAATTTGTTATGATAGACGTATTGTAATATGTAATATATATGATAAGATTCATGTTTGCAATGTTAGCATATTACGGTTATTACCTCTTTGCATATATATTCAAACAAAAATAAACTACTAATATGTTGGATCATAAATATGAAAAAAAACTTGTTAACAATAAACGCATCAAATATGTGTGGACTAATTGGATTAATATTATTATCTAAACCATTTATTTATTTTATTCTTGCACATTAGACATGAGAATTACGAATAAAAATAAATAAACCACCATACTATTTGAGAATTCTAATTTTTAGTAAAAAAAAATTATTATAATTTCACTTTGTTATTAAATTTTAAATAGACGAAAAATAAACTAAAAGTTGAAAATAAGATGTGAAATGGGAACATGAAACAATTTTCCCGAGACCTAATTTTCTCTCTCAAAAAAGCCTACTTCAAAAAGCGCCGCCGCCTCTTCTTTAGATTTGAGATCGGTAGCCGGTGGCTTCTCCAGCACCGGTACCGGTCTCCCCTTTGCTTTGCTTTTGCTCTCCGGCATCTGTAGCTTCCGGTGGTGATGATGGTCTAGTCGAAGTCCGGGTTCGAGTTTGGTTATTGTGTTGATGGTGTGGTCGGAGAGCCGGCCTTCTTTTGACGGTGTGTGTCTCCTCCACCCTTCGTTCTCCTCTCTTGAAGCTGGCGATTTTACTCGGCTGAACCTATCCTTTTTCCTCCGGCGTTGTAGTTTTATCGTTGGGTTTAATTGTTTCTCTTACTGAGATACCTTTTAAATCTGGTCTTTTGTGGTTTAGTGCTCTCCTTCCTAATGTTTTCTTCTTCTCTGGATGTTGTCTTCGTCTCGCTCCGGTTTCGATCCTTCACCGGTTTCGTTCGTGTTCGGTGTGGTCCGGTTCGTGTTTGGTTCGCTCTTTGTCTCTACTCTTTAGGTCAGATCGTGATCTGGCTTGTTCAAAGGCTTCTTTCGAGGTGTTAACTTGTCGGGGTATATTCTTTCGACTTCGCCGCTGCTGGGAGAATTATTTGATCTTGGTGCTTTTGGCTGGGTTCTTGTCTTGCTAGTGTGGTCGCCTAGGAACTCTTTCTCTGTGAGGTAGTCTCAATCCACTATAGGAGGAACCGCTTATCTTGTCTCGCTTTGCTGCTTCGATTTGCTTTGTGTAAGGCTTTCCAGTCCTGGGTTTGAATTGGTAGGTTTGGAGTTTGTGCTAGATTCCATATTTAATTTGTTATGTCTCGTTTTAGTTTTTTTAATCCCTGTTTGTTTCCCTCGTTTGGGTTTAGTTTTTGGGGGTTAAAGTCCCGCCGGCTTAGTTTCTGGGGGTTAAAGTCCCGCCGGCTTTTGTATTCCGACAA